CAAAATTACAAACGAATTTTAAATAAAATACTTTATTAAGTAAATTAAATAATAAATTCATACATAGACAATAAAATTTTAAAAATATTCCAATGAAATAACCGAACGCTCAATATGTCTTTCGAAGGTAGCTCGACAATTTTAAATAAAAAAATCATTATTCTGACGATGCAGACCTGAAAAGGCTGCGAAACGTCAATAAATAAGTAAAGTTTCGTGCATTAACCCGTAAAAACTAGTTTTATTTAATGAGTGATGTGCGTGAAAACCTAAAACAAATATGTGAACCTTAATTTAAATATCATATTGCTTTGGTGTATGCACAAATTGCTGTGATGCATTCAGTTTGTTTTGAAGATTTGTAAACATATTTGCAAATCACATCATCGTCGACTAATTGTTTGTCTAACGATCTCTGAGCATATGTAGTTTTTTTAATTAAAAAAATCTCAGAATGGTCGTTTTTCTTTTCTACCGACAGTGGTATGTCTCCTCCAAGAATTAAATCGTAACTCGCCAGGACAGTTCAAACAGAGTCCGGCTTTTTTGGGCTTTTGTGTCAAATGTAAAAGGTGGCGAATATCCAACATATATGTATGTATATACAACAACATACATAAATGGTCTTCTTGCACTTGTGTACGTATTTGCTATTTCTAAACTTCACATTAGTCTCCTTTTTCCTTCCTTCCCTAAAGAGTGGAGGACAACCTGCTGTCAAAATGGAAAACTGCAAATACGAATAGCCACGTGAAGCTATTCCTTGCACCATTCCATGCGAATTCTTAACATGCCGGCAGATAAGAATTCGCAAGGATACCGTTATTTATTATTACGACTTTATTACCCACAAACTGGTTAAGAATGGATGTTTTATATACATACAAACATTCTCGATTGATTCCCTTGATATATACCACTATAGAAATGATTTTCGTAATTTTACTCATTCTATGCTCTTATGTCTTCCATTTTTACCCGACTGCGCAATGCAAGAGCGCGAAGCGCAACGCGCAGACAGGGTATAGTGTTTAACAGTCTATATATGTATGTTTGTTCCTTTTTTGATAACTTGTTACTCGAAGAAACTACAAGCCGTCAAAAATTCCCCAAATAAACTTTTTTTTTATCAGCATTAAAGACGCATTTACAAAAAAAAACGAAACATAGAGGCCTAGTAAAACTACTTATTATTCTATGGGTAAAATTTCTTGTGGAAATATGTAATTTTCGGGGAGGAAAACGTCGAGAGCTAAACCTCGAATTTTGCAATTTTCAGCGTTTATTACTGTTGTCGACAGATTCGCTTTGAAGACGTAGCATAGTTGAGTCGTAGGACATTGAGGAATCAGGAACGAAGGGATATTTGGCTTGAAAGTAGAGTTCATGTTATAAGTATTTAGGTAATATAACTAAAAATATTAACACACTCTTCATTGGTAAATGAAAAACCGTGGTTTGTTTCAGCTTTCTCTCGGTGTATTGACTCAAGTGTTGTGAGTGAAGAAGATCGTAATGTAAACTTGCGGTATATGAAAACGTACATAATAAATTATGTTATGTATGTATGTGTTATAGTAATTTAGGTCACGGTTAAATTTACAACAACGCTATCTCCATGAATCATGATAATGCGCACCCGCATGCCTGACGGTAATATAATGTTCTAGCCAGATAGAACATTCGCAACATTTACATCTTTAAAGTTAGTTCAGATAAAGATTGTCATTGTTAATGTTACCTAATTGCTGCATATAAACAGATTTCTAACTAACGATGTAAAATGTTTTTAATTATAGCATTAACACTGCTGCTGGTTTTTAATACATAGAAAATTGACGACTTTCTTCCAGTAGAATGAATACGATATCTTTTTCTGTAAGCGGATAAGATAATTTGTTATACAATATTATAAATACAGTTTTGTACAGCAATTATGTCGCAGACTGCACACAGCTCGCTAGGTAGTGTCGAAAAGTTATTGGCATAAACTTCCTTGCCACAAATATGTATGCCTAATTTGTTATACTTTTCTGGATCAAATGTTACTAACAACACTACAGAGGGCCTAGAGTAGAGACAGAGAGTCTGTCTGTGAACTGTGAAAAGATATGCAAACTTTGACCTTTTAACTAAATCAACACGCTTTGTAGATGAATGGGTAAGCAATCTATCACTGTTATTGTTGTTTTTAGGGTTCCATACCTCAAAAGGACCCTAATAGGATCACTTTTTTGTCCGTTCGTCCGTCTGTCAAGACCGTTTTTCTCAGGAACACGTGGAGGTATCAAACTGAAATTCTACTCTAATACTCATTTCTTCTGTTCCTTGGAGCTGTGAAAAAATCAAACTTTTAAGCCAAAGCAATCAAAAGCTACAGCCGTCTATGCCGCAAATTTTCGAAACTCGCACGGGATTCGAAACCTACAGGGTACTTCCCGTGAACTTAGAATCTTGAAATTTGGTACGAAGTAACTGCTTATAGTACAGATAAAAGAAAAATTGCGAAAACCGTAAATTTTTAGTTACATCATAATAATAATTTATTTTTTCGAAAATTTTAAAGTTAATAAATACCTTTTTCTCATGAACGCGTAGAGGTATTAAATTGAGTTTGTACGGAAACCTCGGTGCGTGAGTCCGACTCGCACTTGGCCGGTTTTTTTTGTCTGTGTAACAACCTGGTAGACAAGAAATGTTAAATGTAGAGAGAGACATTCGGCCATGGTAGTAAAGTTTGCTACATACTTTTAAAGTGAGTGTTTATTTGTCTCATTGTAGCGTTACTTTGGTCCACGGTTTGTACTAAAAACACTTGAATAATTTATTTTAGACGATGTCCACATTGAATATTGATAACTCTTTGTCCTTAGAAGTGTGTATCTTTATGGATAGGAAGTTTCCCATAAACAGCGCAGTGACTCTTAGAGCTACCATGCGTCACACACTAAGTTCCATCACTAACGATAAATAAACAAATGATGCGTGCAGCCTGCAACACGCGACTGCGACTTGATACTATATAAGAATACAAATTTTAGCTTGCTCATAATTTCAAATCTAACAAATTATGGTGCTAAAGACTGAGGAGAACATAACAAAGACTTTTAAACGTCATTATGATAATTATGATGGATACTTAATGTTATCGTCAAATATCCCTTTGTTTTGAACTCTAATAATTCCTCTAATGTATCGTATAAGGAAGACACTACCGATAGGCATAATTGTAAGTAAAACATCCACCTAATTTATAAACTTTGTATTGTGATAATTAGAAAGAGAAAATGCTGTCACTTCTCTCTCCGACGTCTAATAACTTAACTTGACATTATCAATTAAACTGACAACAAACAATGAGTCTGCGTGCAACAGTTTTCGAACTGAACGTATCAGAACTTTGGGACTGTGTTTGAAATCAGCAAATTAATTTTTAGTTCGTTAAAAATGTTTGTGGCTGTGGTAGATGTGGCGTTTTTGAGTAAACCTTGGCTCTATGGTATTTTTTGTGGATGTAAAGTAAATATTTGATTTCCCTGTTAAGTATATTTTTAATTTAGTATTTTATGTGACTACAAAACTTAGTAACACGTAACACAGTCTGTATTGTTTAGTTCTTGTTTTGTTTGTGCTTAAACTATCACGGACTTTGGAAAGATTTCGCAACGTGATGTTATTATTTAAAAATCAAATATACTCGGTTTATAACCCGTTTAAGTGTGTTTTATTAACTCATGTGTGTGTTATGTAGTGTGACACTAACAACATAGACATAAAAATGATCAGAATAGACATATTATTCATATTTTTTGAGTCAGTGTGATCTTAGAATAACCTGTTTTACATTTGTACTAGAGATGTAACGACTCGACTTTTCAAACCGGTTCAAACCGGTTTGAGCATGGACCGAGTTGAATCGGTTAACGTCTTCGTAAACCGGTTCTACCGTGGCATTCGTTCGTATCGAGCTGCGCGCATACGCGCCTGTCAATTCTTGTTTATACCGCCATCCACAAATCGCGTGCGGCTCCTGACGTGCTTTACCGACCCTAATAAAACTTGACCGACCAATACGAACCGACTTACAGCAGCGGATACGGTTAGCGTGCATCGTCAATTTAAATACAACAGCCATAACCGACTTACCGACCGCACCGAAATGAAACGGACTCTGGTAGATTTGACTGACTTGACGGTGTAATTTTGTTTTCATTATTATGTAATATGCGACGTAATTGCCCAGCTTCTAAAAAAATAGACCAAATATTATTCCTAAATAGTTGTAAGAAAACTTTTAATTAAGTTGTTTGTACCAAATTAAGTTTCTACGACTCAAATGATTTTACAAAAATAAATTACGTATTTATTATATTATTGATTATTAAAATTGTATTTTATTCTCAAAGTTAAGAAGTACGGTTTTATGTAATTAATAGAGTTTATATTTTTTTTTTGTAATTTTTTAAACACGGTATTACATAGATATTTGTTTATTTTTATTTTGACATTTTTAATTCTGATTATTATTATTTGTTTTCATATTTTATTTGTTATTTTTCAATTACCTTTAAATATTTGCACGATGTAATATCAACAAAATATTGTAGAATTAAAAAAAAATAGCACCTGTTGTTTCGTAAGTTTCATTCGTCATCTCGTCAAACGGTTCAAACCGGTTCAAACCGCGGTTTACTGAAAATTTGGCGGTTCGGTTCGGAAACCGATTTGCATGTAAGTATTACTAACCGATCAAATCCGGTTTGTCAAAATTCAAGATCGTAACATCACTAATTTGTACCCGATTCGAACCCATTGATCCCCGGATTATTATTAAATTGAGTAACTAGAGGAGTGGTGCTAGTACTAGGGTAATGTTGCCTTTTCAAACTATTGCGCTGTTAATCTGTGATATATCTATTAAGGTATTTGCTCCGTTCAGCGATAACTATGTAAATTTCTCCATCAATCGTCGGCTTGACCCGATCGTCTTTTGTCAACAGGTGTCATCGTCCGCGGGCGAGATGAGTGAGCGCGAGCGGTACCGCGCGCCGCCGCAGCCGGAGCCGCCGCCACACCGGGTGCGCGCCGCTGACCTTTATCCGCGCCAGCGCACGCACTACGACGAGCCTGGCCTCGACGCCGGCTTCACACCGATATGTGGCGAATTTGTTCAGGTAACCACTATATATATACGATCAGTAAGAGGTTCTCTTCCTCCCACTGCTGAGACATAGGTTTTGTCTCATGTTTGCGAGAAAGGTTCGAACTTTAAAGCAATAAAGGTGAGCCATAATTAATTTTTGGCTACTCATTTAATAGGGTTCAAGTTGCTTTTTACCTCAGCGATTGCAAATTGAGTGCACTTACCATTCTGCTATTCTAACAACCACCACAGTTCAAATACTGTACTAAGAAGCAGTAAAAGTTATTAATTTAGGCCGTAGTAAATTGTAGTTGTTTTCCTTGAGAATTTTCACTGAAACGTTCGTTGCAAACGGAAATTGTATCCGAATTTGTACAAAAGAATTCTTAATACTTAGACGGCTGCTTGCCAAAAATAAATGGATAATTAACATTGTTTCCATTTTGTAAAGTTAACTGTGTTCAATGCTTCACTTTGTAAATACAATAATCTTTATTAGAAATAATAAGAGGTCAGTGAATATTGTGGGATTGTCTATTTGATTTTAAGCTCTACACTAACCGTTAGTGACACACGCCACACAACGCTACATATTAAACTATCTGGAACCAATCAGCAAAATGACTGACTAAGGACGTAATAGATAAGTTTCACTTGTGTTTGGTATGCAGTCGGTCTAAAGGTCAGCGGGACGATGCATTTAGGTTGAACGACCCAGGGCTGCCTTGTCGCAATGATTAATGTACTAATCTTTATTATTGTCCTTTAACTTAAGTGTGTGGTCATATCTAGTCGCGTCAATAAAACCGAAACAGGCAATCTTTCGAAAAGTCGTCAGAAGCAGCTCCGATTTTGATATATATATATTTTTATATCATTCATAATCAAAAACATTTCGGGGGGGGGGGGGGTGTTAAACGATACGATATTTTTATTTATAATCTATTTATTTTGTACATACACAATAAAATATTTGAAAAAAGAGAAACAAGAGACATGTACATTTACAACTGATTATAAAATGTACAAATCATGAACCAGATAAATATTATTTTATACTTTTTAGTTCCATTTTCGATTTTGAAGTCGGTTTTATTTTATGTTAGAAAAAATATTTCATCCATTTTAGTGAAAATTACATCGTCCAAGAAAGATAACAATCACATAATCGACGGAGAAATCGGTGAACATGCATAAAAGCATCGGGGAAATCGGTTTCCCTCGATTTCTCCTGATTCCAAATTTCAAAGCCACCATCAGATCTTAACTTTGTTGTAATGGGAACCACCTCGGAAGTGCACTCTTTCGAATAAAAAAATTTGGAAATCGGTCCACAATTGACGGAGAAATCGGTGAACATACATAAAAAAAATATACAGTCGAACACAGAACCTCCTCCTTTTTTGAAGTCGGTTAATAAAAACAAACAAGACTTTGACCCACATTCATAATTTTTTTATTGGTTGAAAACATAATTTCATGCCATGCTGTCATTGATTGATGATTCCTAAGCCAAACACTAACTTATACAGATCCGTAATCGTATCGTCATCAAAGAATCGCTGCCAAATGCGGCGTTTATTTGATGGTTTTTATTCCTGTTTCATAGTGTCTATCTTAAATTTAATTAATGAAAATAATGCCAACTTAAAAACATTGCCCTTTATGTGTAATAGGAAGAGATAGATATATCACTTTATAGCTAACATACAAACAAAATAACACGGTTACACTACACGGACAGAAAAAGTTTCCTGGGATATTATGATTGCGACAGTCAATAATTAAGTGCAAATATTTATATAACAGATAGGAGAGGTTTATATTTAAGAACTTTGGAAATTTTGGTTAACTGCTTTATCATCATGTGATAACCTATAACCTGTACCCCGCAGGCGAGGTCTCAGTTAAGCGGTTTACCAATAGATGACTGTTATGCTAACTAAATGTAAATATCAACTTAGTCCTGTGTATAATAAAACATTATGAATGGTTAAAGCAATAACATTTTTTTTACTTTAATTATTTTAAATTGTTAGTTACTACTACATAATATAATTATAATTTATGCTATTCTTTCGTTAACGTTATATAATGTTATGTACAATTTATCAACAACTAGGATCACATGTATCAACAGGACGTGTTCTTTTGTTACAGTGGGTTGGCCGCATGGCGGATGGAGGCACAATAGCTATGTCAAATTATAGACTGCACATGCAACCCAAGAAATGTACCGGGCCAGGGCCTTCCGTACCCACGCGGCTTATAGACGCTGTGGAAATACAAGATCTACTGCATTTAATAGTACTATGCAAGCACGGCAGACAACTAAAGTGAGTATTTAAAACTCTTTGAAACTCCTGGCGCTCTGGTACTTGGAATGGGTTCAACTTTCGTTTGCTACGTGAAAAGTTTTTACAATCACGCCAGTATGCGGAAGTGCATTGTAGTAGTTCCAAGAAACCGTTTTATAGCATTATGGCTGTATAGTTTATATTGCAAGTGGGTGTAAAGACGGAAAAATGCAAATGTAGGTTTTTTATTTGTGTTGTTGTTATATACTATAGCAAAAAAGGATTATGGGACTAAATAATTGTTCTAAGAAAATTACGAATATTTAATTACGGTCGGACAGTGGACCATGGAACCCTAAATAGTGCCACATTTTTTTATAATACATAGAGATCCGAGTATATTTAAAGATGTTTAAATCTAAAGAAAAGTTTACTAGAAAAAAATATAATATAAAAATATAATAGCAGTTAAATGCTTAAAAATCAATAAAAACATAACTATATTTGCTTTTTCTTCTTTCAAATGTTTAATACTTGAAAAAGTATTCATTTGACATTGTGGGCTACCTACAATGCGAAGAGATGGCGTTGCCTTGCAGCTTAAGGCTAGGAAAATTTCGACGCGGCCAATAGGGCCGTGGTAGCATAATGGTCAGTGCATTCGCCCGGATTGCGAAGGGTGCGGGTTCGAGTCCCGTCCGCTGCCTGGTCCGCGTGGATTTTCTTCTAGTAAACTTTTCTTTAGATTTAAACATCTAGCAGTTAAATGCTTAAAAATCAATAAAAACATATTTAAAGATTATAAAAATCTTTGGTATCTTGAGATATAGGTGTGGCAGCTTGGTAAATAATTTGCCTGGTTTCTTACAAGAGTTTATCGTTAGAGTTTAAGACTAAACGACGCTTTTTTTAATCTTAGCTATTTCGATAAAGTTTTTTTTATTTCGAGTGGAGATACTTTTCCCAATGCAATTTTTTATAATACATAGAGATCCGAGTATATTTAAAGATTATAAAAATCTATGGTATCTTGAGATATAGGTGTGGCAGCTTGAGAAATCATTTGCCTGATTTCTTACAAGAGTTCATCGTTAGAGTTTAAGACTAAACGAAGCTTTTTTTAATCTTAGCTAGTTCGATAAAGTTTTGTTTTTATTTCGAGCTGAGATACTTATGCCAATCCTACCATTAATATTCCGACTTGATCCTAGAAAAAAAATGTTGGTGTTATTATAATAAACAATAACAAGAAAGACCCAAAATTCGCTTGTTGTTTTGTGTTACACGACTTAATTTAGGCCTTTTTCTGCAACGATAACTTTAAACGATTCAGGTTATATCGATAATTCAATATAGCAACAAGCAAAGTGTACCAAAAATGTTACTATGCGGTACTTTCCATAATAAAAACAAGATAAGCAAATCAAAATGTTCCTTGTTTTCGTCATCAACACAAAAGTGGAAATTCTAGATTATTTATGTGATAGAGAGGTAATTGTTTTTGTCCTACTAATACTTAAGTGTGAAAGTTTTTATGTTTGTTATTCATCACGCAAAAACCACTGAAAAGATTTGGATGAAATATGGTACGCATATAGATTATGATCGGGATTGAGACATAGATTTTTGTATACGTATAATATGGCTCCTATCAATTTATCATTCATTACTTAACATTTTCAAGAACATACACTTGTATATGAAAGATACATTACATTTATAGAGACAATAGCGATTATTTTTAGAGTACTCATTTGTCTACAATATTTACTGTTATTTACACCAGTTTAATCTCCGTGCCACCAGGGCAACATTCGCCACGGGAGACTTGTGTGTGGAGTGGTGGCGACGGCTGAACACGGCTCTGGTACCCATCAGTTCAGTACAGGAGACATTTGCGGCTGCTTACGCCGCCTGGGCGAAGGAACAGCCTCCCGCGTCTGTACACAGAGCCCTGATGCGAGCATCACACGCCCCACACAGACATTGGTTCGGTCCTGAGGTGAGTCAGTCTCCTTGTGATTTCTGTCAACCCGGTAGTTGTACTCGTATGATTATAAAGATGCAATCACAAGCTGTGACTTAAAAGTCACCCAACTGATGTTAAAGTGTCAAATTCTTAAGCGGTGACAATACGTATACACCTTGAGCACTCTCTGTCCACTTTTATTCATTGCAATGGCTCCATCTTGGATCCTAGAACACTTTTTTTTCCACCTGATTCCTTCATGTCGGTCAATACCAAATAATAGATCTTCAAAGTGTACTTGAATCCTACAAACAGTTTTACATGTTAACTACAGAATTGTTAGTTCTATGTCGTTATCCATATATGCTTTCCAAATTACAATTTTTTCGGAGTACTCTCCGAACATGAGTCATCTTTTACTAATATATTTACGTTATTTTTGACAGTTTTAATTCTGTTGTTATAATTTCTCATAGCTATCAACAAGATTAGCTAACCTTACCTTTTGTTGTCTACAGGTGGAGCGACTGAGTTTCACCAGCAGGGGAGCGTGGCGCGTAACAGCGGCCAATGCTGACTACAAGCTTTGCCCTTCATACCCGCCCTTGCTTGTGGTGCCCGCATCCATAGGAGACGAAGATCTGGACTCTGTAGCGAGGTTGGTATAGCTGATGTCTCCATAGAATTATGAGGGTTTTATAAAATGAAAGCGTGGTGTGTGACAGCGGCCAATGCTGACCACAAGTTTTGTCTATTGTACCCGCCCCTGCATGTGTTGCCCGCATCCATAGGAGACGAAGATCTGGACTCTGTGGCAAGGTTTAAAGTTATATTTATTTATTAACTACTGTGGAATATATAAAAAATATTGGCTAACGTACATAGGAATATGAAAAGAAACACCTTTATTGTTAGTAGGTGGACATAACACCTATGTTATATAAAAGTTATAGCTGGTGACTCGTGGCTTCATATGTATGGAATAATTATGGATTTCTAAAATAACAGGCGCTATGTGGCAGTACTGAGGCGGCAGGTCCACTGCTTATGAATTAATTTAAAAGATATAATTATTAAATACGACGTAGGAGCTCGCGTCAAAAACCCTTTAAACATCTTCATCCCACAGTGGTGTTAGCTAGTAGTGTGAATTTTCCATAAAACTCTCGTTGATTGATTGCACAATATTCTTTGCTTTAATAACTCCTTGCACTTTTTTTTTGTCACAATAAGTGGCCACTTTCAGCAAGGTCCATTTTATCTCTATAGGCTGTATTTAACATCCATATAAGCGACACATACGTTCACGAGCATGACGCTGGCATTACCTACTTTGTTACAGTGCACTTTACTCTTATGAGACTGGTCTCTAGAACTTTAATCTTTAAACAGTTTTACAACATTAACACAAACAAATATGTAGATATATCAAGAAGAAATATTGACTATAATTTGTCCCAGTGTCGGCTAGTTGTTTGTTCATACATAAGTTAATGCTCAACCTTTCGATAAACTAATGACAGTTTGACCCAACTCTGTTCTATGTTAGAAATAGAAACAAATATTTATCACTTATTTGTCAGTTAATTTGAATGAGTTATTGATTTGCTGAAATACCAATCAGCTATAAATATATTAGAGTGCTAACGTAGCCACAGGAAGCCAGTCACAGTTCTTCACCGATAAATATTTATGTTTTATAACTGAAATTCACGCGAGTAGCAATTATCGCAATGCAATGCAATTAATGAGTAAGATATCCGCTACGAAATCCCCATTACTCACTTAATATAAGACATGGCGTATAACTTAGAAAATTACTCTGCGCTAACAGATTAACCCAAGCGCAGTACACTGCGCCGGCTCATTGCTCCATGTTTTTTCCTAGCGTAAAGATTTCATAACAGGCAGTAAAATAGAACTGTCCAAGCTTAATAGCTCACTGTCATCTTTCATGAATAATCTATCAAACTGTCATCTTGTCATAGCTGGAATTGCACCGTGCGTCAATAAACTTAAGATAAGTGGGTAACAACATTGGGCCTGCTAAAGTCATTATCATCATGAGTCGTAGAGTCCCCACTGCTGGGCTGTGGGGCACAGGCGTTCCCTATGAATGGAATAGAGTGTGAACTGATAGGCGGTAACCGACTATCGATGCAGTCGGAAACAACGGCTCGACGTGACTTCCGAAGCACGGAGGAGCTTGAGTTTTTTTTTTGACGACCTCTGTGGCCTTTTGGTATGTACGCCGGGTTTCAAGGTATCCCCTACTGGATAGGTCCCGGGTTCGAATCCCGGCAGATGTTTGTGTGATGAATACGAACATTTGTACTCCAGTTATGGATGTTAAATATGTATTTCTATATAAATATACTTATATTTATGTATTCTATCGGTTGCCCTAGTATCCTATAACACAAGCCTACAGTGCTTACTTTGGAGCTAGGCTAATTGGTGTGAGTGTTTGAAATATTTATATTGGTCATCCATGCTATGGTGTTTATTTTTTACAATCGCAAGATCGAATTTGCCAACCACTGCGCTTTTATCTCAATATTGGCGCAATCGCGCGGTGTATCGCAACTTTATCATTTAAGCCCAAAGACAAAGATAATGGACAGAGTATTAACTAAAAAATGTAAAGTAAAACAAAATTAACTGTGTGAGTCATGAAATGATCGGGAGGTCTAATCTCGTCCCCTTACGCAGTGGCGGGGTATGCGTAACGTATTTCCCAGGTTAAATCAGGGTCCATAGTTCGTATAGATATTGACAGTTTTTTCTCTATTTCTAGAGGGTGGCCAATTTCATGCGAGTCTATTGTCGCTGAATTCTATATTTTAAGCCTTTATTTTATTGTCAATCAGGTTTCGCGCCATGCGACGCATACCGGCGGTGGTATGGCGTCACCGAGGGAATGGCGCCGTGATCGCTCGCTCCTCGCAGCCCGAGGTGGGCTGGCTGGGCTGGCGCTCCGACGAGGACGAGCGATTACTGGCCGCTTTCGTGGCCGCCTGCAACGCCGATAGGGGCAGCATGCCGTCTCACTCCAACAAGGTATGCGGCCCTAATACCATCGCTCACAATGCGCGTCATTAACGCACGGTGCTACGACAAGTAGTTACTGGTCACCTTCTTGACCGCCTGCAACGCTAATAGGGGCAGCATTCCGTCTCACTCCAACAAGGTATGCGGTCCTAGTACCATCGCTCACAACGCGCGCCATTAACGCCTGGCGCTAAGACAAGTGGTTATTGGCCACCTTCGTGGCCGCCTGAAAGGCTGTTAGGGGCAGCATGCCGTCTCACTCCAAGGTATGTGGCCCTGGTACCATTGCTCACAACGCGCGCCATTAACGCCTGGCGCTACGACAAGTGGTTACTGGCTACCTTCGTGGCCGCCAACAACGCTGATAGCATTCCGCCTCACTCCAACAAGGTATGCGGCCCAGGAACCATCGCTCACAACGCGCGCCATTAACGCCTGGCGCTACGATAAGTGGTTACTGGCCACCTTCGCGGCCGACTGAAACGCTGTTAGGGGCAACATGCCGTCTCACTCTAACAAGGCTGGCATACTGTACTAGGCTTAGTAGTACTCTGTTATGGGGAGATAACTATTCAGACAAGCAGGGGGAGTAGCTTTTTGTTTATTATATTTTTTATTCCTACTATGCGAAGAGATGGCGTTGCCCTGCAGCCTAAGAAATACTAGAAGAAATTCGACGCGGCTATTAAGGTCGCAGTAGCATAATTAGTCAGTGCATCCGCCCGGATAACGGAGGATGCGGGTTCGAGTCCCGTCTGCGGGTTGGACCTCGTCGAATGTTTTCTAGGTAAATAATTCTTTAGCAGTCCTTTTGTTTGTTGTTTGATAATTTTCCTTACCGCATTGCATGTAAAAACTTTGTTTGTTTTTTAAAATTACTGTATCCCCCCCCCCCCCTCCCCCCCCACAGACTGTTTTCCGCCCTCTCCTAGACGGATGCTCCAATATTAGTTACTTTTGTTGTCATTATTATAACATAAGACGCTACAAGCCGGCAAGGTGAGGATGATTGGTGTGGCAGTTTATAACTGCTGTACCAGCTATCTTCGCGTTTGGACTTTATCACCACTTTACATCAGGTGGGCTAGAGTCATTTGCATATCTGGCTAAATAAAAAAGGCTTTCTTTTTTGCCCATATTCAAACATTATATTTCCTTACAGCAATTGAAACTGCTGATAGTCGACGCGCGTTCGTACGCGTCCGCGGTAACAAATCGCGCCCGCGGCGGTGGCTGTGAATGCCAGCAGTACTACCCGGCGGCCGACATACAGTTTATGTCGCTGCCCAACATCCACCACGTGAGGAGGAGCTTCCAGCAGATGAGGGCGCTGGCTGCCGAACCCAGCGATCAGCCCAAGTATGTGCATAGCCTTCAATATCAGTGTTATTATAAGAGACGTATAGCTGAATAAAATAATAATAATAACATAACACAACATATGCTGCGCTTGGTTTCGGCCCGTTATTGTAGTAAAAACCAGCCAAAGAGCTGAGAAGAAAAAACACTAAAAATAATAATAAATCTTTATTAACGAAAAAAGACATCACATAAAAACATGTGCACATTAGAAGCTGCTGAAGTATAACTCTGTGTTGCAGCAGCTAACGCCCACCTCCAGAGAAAAAAAAAATAAGCAAAGATTACACAAAAATAATTAAAATAAATAGTCGCTTGTGCTTGCATGACCGCGAAAATTTAAACTGTCAATTTTAAACCGCATTTATTCCGATAAATTACAATGTTTTAATTTTTTAATATATCTGTGGTTTATTCTACATGCAATTCTTTGAAATTAAAACAAAAATATTGCATCTTCCCTATTGTATATCAAATAGTCGTCAATTGTTATTGTTACAAACACCAACTTTATTTCTTTTAAATAACTTGTTAATATAGCTACTTACGCTATACACGGCTGTAAGTTTAATAATTATTTTGTTTGTGTAACAGTTGGCACGTGAACCTGGAGCGCACACTATGGGCGCAGTACGTTTGCGGCGTAGTGCGCGCCGCGTGCGTCGTCGTACGCGGCGTACTAGACGGACGACCCGCACTGGTGCACTGTAGCGACGGATGGGACCGCACGCCGCAGATAGTGGCCACGGCGCAGCTGCTGCTCGACCCGCACTACCGCACGCGGCAGGTACGTGATCCGGGGCGGGGGCACGGCGCTGGTGCACTGTAGCGACGGTTGGGACCGCACGCGACAGGTACACGTGACCACAACTTCACCATCTTTGAATCGAAGGTGAAGAGGCAGACCTGCATCATTAATCTAGATGTTAATGTTTGTTAATCTAGATCGATGGTTTTTAACCGGTGGTCTTCTGGTCTACCCGAAGTGGCCTGCGTAAGCATTGCAAAACATGAAGGGGGGGGGGGGGGGGGATACGCATTGGTGATCTGTTGCAAGACAGAAACTTTGAAAAAGGTCCCACATGTAATTACACACACTACTGGGTGTAAAAGTCGATTAAGTTTAAAGTTTTATAATTTGAAGTTATTTAAAAAGCCGATCAATATAGTCGAATGAATTACGTGGAGTTATATTTATAGTGGTTTTTTTACCCATTTAGGGTTTCCGCACCCTAATCGAGCGCGAGTGGTTGGACTTCGGCCACAAATTCGCCGATCGATGTGGCCACCAGTTTGGGCCCGAGGAGCCCAACGAGAGGTCCCCCATCTTCCTGCAGTGGCTGGATGTGACGTACCAGTTGATGCTGCAACACCCTTGCCACTTCGAGTTCAACGAAGCCTACTTGGTGAGTGAGTGAAAGTAGTAGTATAAGGTTATGTTTTAATATTAGAGAATCATCATTTAAATTTCAGTACTAGACGTAGTGACGTCAAACGCACAATTTTTATATATCGTTAAATTTATCTAGATGTGATTTTAAACATGTATTTGGAAAGCAAAGAAAACTCAGGTCGCTGTTCAGTTAAAAGCGCGTTATTTACACTTTTCACAGAATTAAGTATATGCGGACGAAATCCACTCACCAATTCGAATCTTTTTAATTAAACATTATTTAACATTAGGGAATTATCCTAGTGCGCTATCTAATAATGTCTTATTGGAACGAAGTTCCTTATCGCACAGTAAGGACTTGGTGGATATACAAAGAAATTTTGCTAGAATAAGTTCATTTTTTTATTTATTTAATCTGTTCAAATGGAGTATAGTATAGCAATAAATGTTTAAAAAAAATAAGTTATTATATTTTTTTCTCAGTTAAAGCTGGCAACGCACGTTCACTCGTGCATGTTCGGCACATTCTTATGCAACACTGGGCGAGAGAGGGCCGAGAATCGAATCCAAGACACCACCGCCCACGTGTGGCATCTACTGCAGGCGCCGCCCTACAGGAACCACCTATATGCGCCTCTCACAGATCAGGTACGAGCTGTGTGGATATCCACACGTATACATATGTATGTACTACATTTGACGCTATATCAGGTACAAATATGTCATCATCAGCCTGCACTAGTCCACTACTGGATATAGGTATCTCTCATAGCCCGCCATTGAGCTAGATCCTCAGCTTTTTTTTTGAGATAGGTCCGACAAAAGACTCTACCCCACCTGATGTTAAGTGAAGGTGTATTCCAGACGCGAAGATAGCTGATCCAGCAGTTCTACCTACCACAGCAGCCATCCTCACCCTTTCCTCATCCAGTCACTGCCGGACCTTGTCGCTCCATCTAGACACAATACGTTTGCCCATTCGCGGTTTCCACACCAGAATATCTCCGCCTCAGCGGTCATCCTGTAACGGCATATTATGTGACCACTGCCACTTTTGCTGACTTGTTGAGCTATGTCGGTATCTTTCGCCCTACGATAACGGCTAACTTGAGCCAAGGTTCGAGTCTCAGAGACACCCGCTAATTGAAGTTACCCCTGTTAGGTTCGAGTGGTCTAGCTAGAGGTTCCAGACGGAGAGTAGACTTCCCCTGAGGGGAGATGCATATTACAAGAGGAAACTCTTGTAATATGCCTAAAACCCTCCAGTAGCTTCTATTCAAAATACTGACGATTTGGATGCGACCAAATGTCAAGGCCATTTGTTGATTTATTTTTGCTGCCCCAGGCGTTCGGCACTACTTATAGGGCTCAGGTATGGTGGTAGTTCTTCACAAGGTCAAAAGGTTACCCCCTTTACGTTATTCTGCTTGACCAAATCTCTAAATCCCCGCTTGGGATCCTCTACTACTAGATTGAACAGCTCATATAAAAGAATATTAAACATCTTCCAAATTTTCCTATTGTTTAGGCAATGGAACAGCAAGTGCTATGGCCAGATTGCAGCGTTCTAGGCGTCAGAGTGTGGACGGGTTTGTTCAGCGGAGAGAGGGACGAACCGGAACGGACTGTCCCGCCACCGCCGCGACCCGAGACTCACAACGGTAAGACTAAATCTAAAGGAAATTTTACTAGAAAAAAATCCATGCGGTCCACGCTGCAGCCGGGACTCAAACCCGCTTTCTTTTCAAATTTGGATTAGTAGCGAAGAAATTTGCAAAGTATTATACTATAAATTTATCCCGAATCCTACCACCCGAACCCTATATTGATTGGTGGATGTTAATGACTGTAAATAGAGTGGGAACCAACTTAAAGGCTTAAAGAGCCTTCCTAAGCACGAAGGAGCCGGAGATAAATCCGATGACTTTATCGAGCTAGCGAGCCGAACGCGCTAGCCTCCTGCGCTATCGATTACTTGATTAATCGTTAAAAACAGATAACTAATTAAATTTAATCGTGCTCCCAAGTCTTTTATATTTATGGAAACCAACGGCGAAACATATCGACAAAAGATTTTTATGCGGTAAATACGAAGTTTATGTCATGCCCACTTTTGATGGTGACTCAGGATAGCTCATAATATAGATGTTATTAAATTTATTTTTTATATTTCATAATGTTATCATTTGCAGGCCTCATGACAAAGACGAGATCGTGCGACAATCTCCTCAACGAAAGCGAGAAGAGAACAACACAAAGAAGATGCAGCGATCCGAGTTTGGCGCCCGATGTCATGTGAGTACTCCAGTAAATCTTAGAGTTCTTGAGAAACCGTCTGGTGACATTGAGTTAGCGCCAAAATTTAACTTTGGGACACATCTATCTGTCCACTTAGTGTTATAAGTTTCAACGGTCTGTAGCAAAAATATATGTTAGGTTGCACAAATACCTTAATTATTACTATTTCTTCGTAAAAAAATATTACTGTAATAAAAACGGAGTAAAGGCTTTTGTGCAAAATAATTTTTGCTTTGATCCGTCAAAACTTAAAATGCTAGGTGGGCCGATAGATGTGTCCGGAAGTGTATCCACAGAATAAGTACAAGAAATGTAAACCAGTTTACGAATATTGCACTGAAAAATGGTTATTGACGATTTAGTATTGTACTCTGTTTACGGAAATGACACTAATATTATAAAGGCGAAAGTTTGTGAGCGTGTATGTTTGTTACTTCCTCTCTTAACGGTTCGCGCGATTTTAATAAAATTTGGTATGGAATTAGCTGACACCCTGGATTAACTCAAAGGCTACGTTTTACTGCGGGAAATATCCGTTAAAAACCGCAAGTAACACCGCGGGGCACAGCTAGTTAATAAATAACAACGAAAATTCAGCATTGTCGCGTGTCGAAATTTCCACCGCTGTGTTTTGTAAGTAATGGTGTAAAAGCAAGCGCTCCACTAGATAGTTTCCTTTAATATTATATAATGTTCTCTATCTTGTTTGAAATAAGTGATTTGACGTTAACGTAAAGCTTCTGTGGAATGAAAGGAAATTACTTTGTGGTCTAAAATAGGATAAAATAATTTCCTTTTTTTTCCACAGAAGCTTTACGTTAATGTCAAATCACTTATTTCAAACAAGTTAGAGAACTTTGTGGTCTAAAATAGGATAAAATACTCTTTATAGTTACTTTTACCGTAAAAATCTTTACTGTTCGAGCTTTATCTTGTTTTCACTTTGCATTGATGGGACGAGGAGCTCGATAACACAAGTGGTTAGTGAGTTCGGTAGTAATTGTTTTAAGATAAGCAACTTTCGTGACCAAAAATCTTGTATCTCGAGTTTCTCCGTGCTTCGGAGGGCACGTTAAGCCGTTGGTTCCGGCTGCATCTGCAGTCGTCAGCACCCGCCAATCCGCACTGGGTCCGCGTGATGGGTCATGGCCCAATCTCCCTATTCCATCCATAGGGTAGGAGGGTAGGCCTGTGTCTCAGCAGCGGGGACATTAATAGGATGATGAAGCAACTTTCGCAGTGGTCAATCACCGAAAATTTACTATTGCGAGCCACTTCCTGCTTCCGAAGACATGTTAAGCTGTTGGTCCCGGTTGCATTTGCAGTCGTTAGCACACACCAATCGGCACTGGGCCAATCTGCCTATTCCACCCAAACGGAATGCTTGTGCCCCAGCAGTGGGGACATTAATAGGCTGGTGATAATGTTTTATTCATTTCTGTATCGTTTGTTCAGGAAATTGTCTGTGGTCGGCACGGAATGCGAATCTCTCCGAGTTTGCCGCGGGACTCTGACGGACAGCTGCGTAGACGAACTGCCCGGTCTCACGCCAAGTCCCATAGCAACAGACCAGGTAAGATAATTATATCTAATATATAAAATTATCGTGTCACGGTGTGCGTAATTGAACTACTCCGAAACGGCTCGACCGTGATTTTCGTGAAATTTTATATGCATATTCAGTAGGTCTGAGAATCGGACAATATCTATTTTTCATCCCCCTAAATGTTAAGGGTACCCTTAACTTTCTTTTGTATTTATTTTTTATGATACATCATACAACAATACATACAACCCTAAATTTTCACCCTTCTATTGGTGGTAGACCTTTTTTTATGGCGCTACGAAGTTCGCTGGGACAGCTACTATATTTATATAGAAAAATATTTATAAATATCCATAAATAAAGTACTAGTAGGCGACACCATGAAAATGAAACCCGGCGTATATACCATTCGGCCACGGAATTCGTCAAAGATTAAATCTGACAACAAAAACATCAACAAATACTTAATCCCGACAGAACCCTGTCGGTTCTGTCCTGGCTGACGGAAAAATCCTAAAATGTGACTGCAGTGCCACCTGTCGAGTTGGGTTGTAAGTTATGACGTGACCAAGGGAAATACGGATTCATTAAGAGTAAATCTTTATATTATTTATTTATTTGAGTTTTATTTAAATAATAATTCTCGCTACACTGTACACTCTTTTACGCCAACATTGCATTTGGTAATCGCTTCCAAGTTACGTTGCAACTTAACCGAAGTACACAACGCCGTGCACCCAAGTACTTTAAGGAGCAAAGCGATTATCTTTTGAAAATAAACATCGCGCAGTGTCATGCTTAAAAAAATAAAATTATATTTATGTATCTCTTCTTTTCCTCCAGGTTGACGGCCTCCATCCAGATCACTTCGAGAACTCCAACACGCCGCGCGACATCACCAGCGGCTCGTCATCGCTGGAGCGCGAGCTCGGGCCGCAGGTCGATGACCCCGCGGCGACGCGAGCGGCCGACACGACGGACTCGTCCGATCCGACCGATGCGGCCGATCCGACTGACGTGACGATCGTCACGCCCGAGGTGGACTCGCCTGAAGAGCCCGCCGTGTTTATTGGCGACGCCTACACTGACGTTTTGGGTATCGCCGATGTGAGTACTCATGTATATCTCTAGCACCATTATTGCAAAACGTTGGCTAAAGTTAAGCCCAGTCTCAAAATTATACTGTCTCTCAGAATGAGAAGACAAAGACATCATAAGGATTAAACCATGATTGACTTTAGTCCACGTTTTGTAATGAAGCAGTAAAAGTCGTACGGCGGCAACCGACGCGTCCGATCGGACCAATTCGGCCGATCCGATCGACGCGACGATCACCACGTCTGAGGAGCTTATTACGTCCTTTTTACGTGTACACTGATGTATTGGGTATCGCTGATAGGAGTACTCATTCATAATAATCTGTACTATATGAAAGATTTTGTGTTTGAATGTTTGTTATCCAATTAGGCAATAATGGTTAACGGTTTTGGGTGAAAATAGTAAATTCCTCGGATTAGGTCATAGAATAATCATAGAAACTGATGGTATCTGTAAGATTTTAATAAAAATACAGGACGTGTAGATTTTCTTTCACATTTATCCCCATTAACGTTACGTATTAATTATTATTTTAAAAATGTCACAATTTGTAACAAAGTATAAACTTCCTGGATCTATTATGCCGGCTTTTCACCTGGCTATTATTTGTATTTGCTATTTGTAAACTTGACAACAGACTGTCCTCATCATGCTTATGTCAGGTTTACAAATAGCTAACAAGAATAGCCAAGTACCGGCATTAGAAATTAGAATTTCATTAATTGTTTGAAATCAGTGCTATTTGCCTGTAATTAAATTATTATAATCATGATCACCATACGCCCTTTGTGTGAAGTCGAATTTTTTTAGAGCTTGTTATTCTAGTAAAACCGATGTAGTTTCGAATTAACATTTACCTGAATAGCTTACATAAATATGAATTTCTCTTAACGCGCAGGCGGCGAGGGAAACGGGCCGAACGCGGAACATTAGCATCACGTGGCGTTCGATCTCCGAGTCGAGCAACCAGTCGTCCAACGGGTTCGATCTAGCCGACAGACCGGCTACGTCACTAGACCAGTTGCACGACCAGTCTCGAGACGCGTCGCACGAGCCGTCGCCTGACAATCAACTAGAGGCCGACCGCGCGAATCACAACCTACTCGAGTTAACCAATGGGAACGGTACGCTCAACGGCGTCAACGGATTGGTTGACGTCACCACAAAGTTTCTGGAGGTTGAGTTGAACGGTGAGTTTTCATTTTTTTATGTTAAATGTGTGACAGTCCAAGCGTAAGGTCCGGCTGGTGGTAAGCGGCCACCATAGCTTGTGATACCAATAATATCATTCACGCCGTTTCTTACCCTGACCCAATCTGGGATCCTTTAAAAGAGGCGTGAAGAAGCAACATGCAGGCTGGCTGGTGTGGCAGGTAGAACTGCTGTATCAGCTGTCTTCGCGTCTGGACTTCTCCGTCACTTAACATCAGGAGGGGTGGAGTCATTTGTCGGACCTATCTATAAAAAAAAACTTCTACCCCGTGGAGCCCTAGAACATTGTCACTTATACACAACACCACCAAAAGATGTACTATATGGATTTTGTTAAAGTATATATGTCCCGTTTACTGCGTTTATAATAATTGATAAAATTATATATTAAAAACATTACTTACAGTTCACATTGAGATGAAGCGCGGCGTGCACTTTTTTTTTGTGTCACTTTATAAAAAAACTTATTGTTTTTTTTTTGTAGTTAACAAAGGTATTTTTTTTGGTTCAATCTTAAAAAGTGCGCGTCGCGTTCAGTTTTTTTAGACCCATAAAAGGCACCAGAGGAATTATTGTTAAAATAACAAGTATAAACGACATTAAAGACCGGCCAAAAAGTAGTTTCTATAGTGCGACAAGGATGGTTATGAATGTGGCGAAAAATAGAACTAACGCCCGCCGTCTTTATAAACGTCATATTTTGTTTGTCATTTACGTAAACAGTTTAGCCCTCTCTGAACTGTCGCTCACATTCATAAACATGGATGTTAGATAGAAGGAGAACGATCGCTGCGTGCTAAAGCATAAGCCCACCTGTCCCTGAAAATTTGTAGAATTTATAGTTCATTTTTCAGCCACCAGCCGCGCTGCCGTCGGTAAGTAAATTATAAAAAAGAATTTATAATTTATTTGTTAATAAATAATAATAATAATTACGTTGTTTTCTTTTTTTGTCTTTGAATGATCTTATATACAAGTATACATATTAAACGTTGATAGATCATTTTAAATTAGCGCACAACAGCCCGCTTTTATTGAGACAACTTAGCGATCGCAGCGCCTCACCTATTTTGTCTATATTTCTGGGTCACTATTTTCTACAGCGATCGTTCTCTTTCTCTCTAATCACCATGTTCATAAATATCCTTGTCGCACTGTATAAATTTTTGTGTCGTTACATCTACCTTGAAGGTCATCTATTGGGTTGTTTCGTAGGCGGTACTACATCCAGCAGCGTGAGTTCAGAGAGCGAGGGGGAGACCGGGGCCACGAGACGAGCGGGAAGAAGGCACGGCAGTCAACTAACACTATGTCCCGCATCCCCTAGAAGGTGTTGCCGGTGTAGCCGCGCCCACTCCACTACTAGTAAGTTTATTACAACGATTTTGAAGTGAAACTTCTTTACACACTTTCTACTAGGGGGTAAGCTGGCGAATGCGTTACGAAAAGTGTGTTCGAGCGAGGCGAACGGGAGTTCAGTGGGTGATATAAGGAAGAGGAAGCAGCGCGCGCGCATATTTTCTTTCTCTCTTTCTCTTATAGCTAGTAAATGAAATATGTATATGTACATACATGTATATATTGTACACATATACATAAATATACATACAGATGGAGCTAAAGAAGTTTCACTTCAGTCGTGTGGTCATAAGCACACTCGTTTTTTATAAGTTACACGTGTTTTAGGTGAGAATTTCTACATCTTTTAAAACGTCAGTTTGATTGAAATTTCTAAATTAAAGATTTACGACTGCATTTGCTTGTTTTTATTTTCTTTGCGAAAATAATTGAAGAAACAACACGTCGGTCGTGTGTCAATTCAGGTCATAAATTATATGCGTACTGAAGACCCAAATCCGTTGAGCAGTTTTTGCGTGATTGAGTAAGAAACATACAAACTTTCACATATAAGTAGGATTTATTTATTTTCCACTATTCAACTTCTCTCTATTTCACTTCCTAAGAGACAAAAGGTAAACAAACAAACCAATGTTTCCAAATCTTTTTTATCGAGAGTAAAGATGGTCCAGTGTAACCAGATTGATTACAACATTTCACAGTTCAACGTTAATTATTTGCTTTAGCACGGCTCTTTAAATTAGTAGTATTATAATGCGTTCAAAATTTGGAAATAGGTACAGTTTTAAGTCTTAAAGTAATTTTACTAATTAACGATTTCTATGTGTATGAAATTTGACTTATGGAAAAACCTTTTTATCATTGTTTTTATTTTTTAATTTGACTGCTAGATGTTTTAATCTAAAGAATAGTTTACTAGAAAAATATCCATGCGGTCATTTGACATTGTGGGTTACCCTACAATGCGAAGAGATGGCGCTGCCTTGCAGCCTAAGGCTAGAAAAAATTCGACACGGCCGTCAGGGACGCGGTAGCATAATGGTCAGTACGTTCGCCCGGATAGCGAAGGGTGGGGGTCGAGTCCCGCCTGCTGCCTGAACCGCGTGGAATTTTTTCTAGTAATCTTTTCTTTAGATTTAAACCTTTTTATTTTTTTGTTTAACTTTCGGCTCAAAGAAGTTGAATATAAGTTTCGCGTTTGTCCCCGCAGGCGGTATAGAGACGTCAGGCGACTCGTTAGGGGAGGCGTGCTGGTGCTACGTAGCCGTAGACATGGACGGGGAGCCTGGGGGCCGGGCGCGTTGCGTGTGCGGCGCAGGCGCAAGTGGTGGGGGCGCGGGTGGGGGCGGAGGCGCTGACCCACTGGACGGGCTGCCCGTGCCCGCGGACCCCACGCAGGCCAGGCTGCACCAGATCATACTGCAGCACCAGGTTAGTATCATCATCATCATCAGCCTATTAATGTCCCCGCTGCTGGGGCACAGGCCTTCCCCATGAATGGAATAGCGAGATTGGGCCTTGACTCACCACGCGGGCCCAGTGCGGATTGGCGGGGGTGCTAACGACTGCAGATGCAGCCGGGACCAACGGCTGCATCTGCAGCAGGTTAGTATTTCTAGTGACATATTTTATTACAAATTTCTGGGGCTATGCAGTTCTATGGAACTTTAGTCACCGCGACTTAGAAGGTCTAGTGTAATTCGCTACCTAGTTAAGGTATTTCGTTTTAGTCCGACTGCTTTCAAGAAGTTAAGATCGGTTTTAGCTTTTAGAGAATTGATTTCCTCCAGATTAGTATAACTCGAGTCCACGCAGGCTAGGCTGCTCTAAATTATACTTCAGCACCAGGCATACCAACACCACAGGCAGGCCAGACTGCACCAGATCGTACTGCAGCACTAGGTTAGAGAGTGCAATTGAAAATTGTCAACTCTGTAAAAACGACAAAAGCAAAAAATGTATTGTGCTGATGAATTATGGACTAACCTATTATTTCGTCGCTCTCGCACTTATCTACCAAGTTTTACTTCATAATTTTAAACATGGACCGCTCGGTCCGTTGTGTCTCTGGTTCAACCATAATTTACCCATCTCACCTGATGTTGAATATAAAAAAGACTAATCGCGGCTATCAGCCATCCTCACTTCGCTGGACCGGAACCAGTCCCGTCCTCGCGAAGCACTGAAAGTTTTTCTCATCGTACTATGTTTTGAATTTACGCCATTAAATTTTTTCCTTCAATATTCTCAGTAAAATGCAATGCTGTGTACATAACATAGTTTGCAAAAATCAATAACAAATCAATTGGTGGATTCTTATTACCTTTTTAAACTAATCCGAAGCTTGTTTATTCACAACAGAAAGTAGTCGAAGAACTGAGTGGACAACTACGAGAAGCACGCGAGCTACTGAGGCGGGCGTCGCCCCACGCCGCGGCGCCGCCCCTCGCGCCCGCCGCCGCCCCCGCGCCCCCCGTCGCCCCGCCGCAGGTAGCTATACTGAGGCTACCGCACCACACATGTTAGATTTATTGCTTTGTACCGCACATACTAATATCACCCTGAAATATGTCTAAAGTACGGTGAGATTCAACTAAGAATAGGACCGACTGGGCGCCATATTGTGACGTCATAGCTGTCAATTAAACTCTGTTAGGTAGAGTGAGCGAAAAATTTTTTCTTTAATTAAACTTATTTACCAAGAATAAGTGAGAAAAAATATCAGATTTTTAATAATCATTATATTTTCTTTTATGAGAAAAATAAAAATATCATTATGAATATTATTTATTTATTAAGACTGAGTTAGAAAAATCATTTATCAGAATCTAGCTCTTTAATGCCGCTCATCTCTGCACTATCGTCGATGTAGTCATTATCATCATCACTGCTGTTTTCAGCTATAAAATAAAATGTCGATTATTGTAGGTTTTAAAACGACAACTTTATTTAAAATAGAAACGTTCTATTTATTACCTGTATTTATAATAAAACTAAAGTTCTTATATTTCCCTGTTCCAGTACTCATTTTCTATACGTTCACATGATTTATTTCATTCTTTTGTTTACAAATGTGTGGTTTTTATTCTAAGATTAACTCAGTGCTAAAAAAGTGTTCCAAGATTATTTTGCAAACCGTACTTTTCAAGCGACATTTGACAGATGGAGGTCATTGTCTTTTCTATTCTTATTTGAATCGCATAGTACGGCCAACGAGAAGCGATACAAAAGTTCATTCACCTTATACGGTCAGATGACAGGTGTAAGGCGCGCGTCAAGCGTGCGTTTTGTTTTCGTATCGGGTTCATATGATTCGCTGAACGCGCGTTGAGCGTGCACTGCGACAGTTTGATAATATGTATTATTGGAATTTTTCGTTATTATTTAATTGTTACTAAGTTTTTAACGTTATAAAATGTTGCCAACGCTAATGACCTTTATCGTACTTTGTTCACATTTTGCATCGCTTCTCGTTGGCCGTACTGCACACACATACCTTTGCGTTTGATTTATAGGTCAAACAACCGCTTTTTCTTGACAGTCGACTAGTGGCCGCCCGCATCTTCATCCGCGTTAACTTTAGTTTTTTGAGAATCCTACAAGAAACTAACATTGTATATTTAAATCCAGGTCATAAACTATATGCATAGGTACCAAATTGTATCCAAATGCGTTCAGTAGATTTTGCATGAAAGCGTTAAGTTTGTAACCGACCACGGAAAAGCTCGAGATAATAAATTTTGGGTCATCCATCGAATGATGGGAAAGTTGCTTAGCTTGCACGTAGTAAACCAAACGTGCTAAATACGTGGTATACGTGTGTGTGAGTCTTGAAGTTCAGTCGTATGAGTTTCGAACGCAGTTTTAGCTCCTTTTGTTTGGGAGTAATGCTTCCATATCATTTGTAATTTGTTGGTCTTAACTATATTGATCATTAGTGAATCGTAAGAATATTTGCCACAATGTATGATTGTCGTTAAACAGAAGCGAAGCACTTCGGGCAGCGGCACTGGGAGCGCGTCGAACAGCAGCGGCGGCAGCAGCGGCAGCGCGTTCGAAGTGGAGGTGGGAGAAGAGGCGCGGGGAGTGGTGTGGTTACCCGACAGCGCTGCGTCGCGCTGCCAGCACTGCAGCAACCACTTCTGGCTGGCGCGCCGGAGACACCACTGCAGGTTTGTGATGTTTATGGACAAAAATCTCATCATTATCATCATCAGCCTATTAATGTCCCCACTGCTGGGGCACAGGCCTTCCCTGTGGATGGAATAGGGATATTGGGCCATGGTCCACCACGCGGGTCCAGTGTGGATTGGTGGGTCCTGACGACTGCAGATGCAGCCGGGACCAAACGCTTAACGTGCCTTGCGAAACACGGAGGAGCTCGAGATAGTAAATTTTTGGTCACCAACGCGCTAACCACTTGCGCCATCAAGCTCCTCTCGCTAATCGCACTATACTTTGTCCTATTAGAAAAATAATGTATATAATAGCTATTAACGGGATTGTTACCATGTACCTTGTTTTTTATGAGTCTCCGATATTTCGGCACTGTTGCAAGCGCCACGATCACGGAGTAACAACCCCGTTAATAGCTAAAATGTTAGTGACCATGAAAGCTTAAAACAATATATAATTAATGTATGTATTCTGTTCGTTGACATAGACGGTGCGGCGGCATATTCTGCAGCTCGTGTTCCCAGCTTAGCCCGTGGGGCGAGTGTGGGGCCGTGCGCGTGTGCCACCGGTGCCGCGCGCTGCGGTGACCCGCGCCCGCCTGCTGCACACGGTGAGCCACCACGCATATAACAACCATCCGCTCATGAACTCGCTGCGATTACCCTGCCACCAATCAATAATAAGCGCTGCGGCTGTGAACGCCCCCTGTTACATCAACTACCCGCTGATCGAGTCGCTGCGATTACTCTACCATCATTAATGAGAGCGCTGTGGTGACGGCGCTGCGGCCGTGAGCTCCTTGTTACATCAACTGCCCGCTGATCGAGTCGCTGCAATTACTCTGCCACCAATGATGCATCTCGACCTATGCTAGAATCATCCTCCAATGATGCGCGCTACGGAACGAAAGTGCGGTACTTATCTCAACTCGACTCTGCCACCGCTGCTGGGTACTACATTGACGGTGCTACGGCCTTGCCGCCCACCACCGCCCGCTATGCGTTATATCAACCACCCACTGATGAAATCGCTGCGATTAGTCTATCACCAATGATGTTCGCTACAAAAAGAAACGCTCCGATTCCTCTGCCGTCAATAATATGCGCTACGGAACGAACGTGCGGCTACGGACTACCGGCGCGGCTACGATGACGCGTGCTCGCTGATGTAAACCACCCGCTGTTGAAGTCGCTCCGTCTACTCTGTCACCAATAATATTATGTGCTACGAATGTGCTGCTATTTACCACAAACAACAAATCTGCTGTTTTAAGTAGCTCCGTTAAATGTGGCAACAAAATCATTCATTTCATTGCAGTAGCTGATGCAATGATGTGGGCTACGGTAAGAACGTGCGGCTACGTTGAGCGCAAACTCGCACCTCAAATAAACAAATACGCTGCTGTAATCGCTTCGATTATTTTGACACCAATAATAAGCGCTACAGAACGAACTCGCGGCTATTTCGAGCGTCCTTTTCTACATAACTACCCGCTGCTGAAATCGCTCTGTTTACTCTCTCATCAGTGATGCGCGTTAGGAAAGGACGCGTATCTTAACCCAACGAACCCGCTGCTGAAATTGCTACGTTTACCATGTCACCGATGATCTTGTGATGTATTTTGCAATATGAAATGGTACGCCGCTTCTAGTACTGTAAATCAATTTTTGATCGGTCACTATAACATTGTAATTTTTCTTGTTTTATGCTGTGAATTAAATTTTGGACGAATTGTGGTACGTTGTAATGTAGAACCCTATTTTGTTTACCATAACTGCTGTATTTCAAAATCGTAATTTTATAGCGTGCTGCAACGATCCGTTATTTGAATCTAATGAAATGGATTGCTAACTGTGTATATTAATATTAAGAAGCGACGCTCCTAATTCAGCAGTTTATCAAGACGGAACTGTTTTACATTGTATTTAATAGGAATAATGTATGAATGAACAGTTCACGTCCACTCTCGACTAGTCAACCGCTTTGATAAGTGACATCTATTCATCATATTTACCTTCCGTGTAAGGATAGACGCCGGACTGATGTTGCTTTATAATCCACATATAACTTATTGAAATAATGTTCATAATTGTTCCTAATGTTCTCTCACGCACATTAATAAACTTGACTAAAGAAAAATTCAAGTTCAAAATTCTAAATTCACTTCATTTGGTTGGACTGTATTTTGTTGCTTCTGATTTCACCGTGATGTTCAAATACTATCTGTATTATTAGTGGATATAAAGGTTTAAATCGCACAACAAGCCTCATTGGTCCTGCGGCTGCCCGCATCGATAGCGCCATCGCATGCATCGATTATATTTGTTTTTTTATAAAATGTTTATCATGAATCGATTGACTTGTAGGGCTGTAACTACTACATTATAAATAAAATGTGAATAATTAATTTTACGTTCTTTTGACAAAGAAGTTATGAAAGATTCCTTTATAATAATAATAATAATGATAAATATGGCAAACCAAGTGCTCTCATTACCTCGGCCGTTAGTAGATAAGTGTTGGTGAACAAATGAAGGCTCACTTGGAAATATTTGGAAGTGCATTTGAATAGACGCCTGCCAAACTGAACTCTGTTTCCGGGGATTAAAGTCGAATTTTGTCTATTATTAATTTGTTCAGTTGAAAATTAATGTGCGGTGTTGTTGTCTGGATGTGGAACTGGCGATCTAGTCTTTCGCGGTGTTTGCGGGCAGATGGTTAAAATAGTTAGAAAAAGGTATAGTGAGTGAATGAATACGCGAAGGCTGATTTTCTACTAATGTATAATTTAATTATAAATATTACGACTCATTTTGTTATTATTTAAATGTTCATGGAACTGGTAGTATACATCTTGTAGAGTTTACCCTTTTGTTGATTCAACGGTATTCAGTGACTGAATCCTTATTTTATTAAGTGAATTGTAATAAATTGGTTGCGTGTATATTTAGATAAAAAACGAGGATGTGTATTGCCAGGTCGATTTGTTCGTGTTAAATGACTTGCAACATTTCCGACACGAATGTAAACAACTTTGTGTAAAGTACTGTTTTCTTTTTTGTTTATTTTATTTTGTATTATAGCGTTTCATTTGTTCTATAATTATTTTTGTACAGTAAAGTTTTGTTTCACACATCGTCAGACGTTCGGCTCAAGTTGGTCGGCTGACTGTGAAGAGAGACAGATGTATAGGCGGTCAGCGCGTGCGAGGGAGATAGTTGTCATTTGTATAGGAGGCTTAGAAGACTTGTAATGTATGTGTACGTCTCCTGCGTGACATAATGTATCAGATACATTTTGTAAAGACGACGACACTCGACTGAAATTGGTTTACGTATTTAAAACAAATGTTCCATATAGAAATTTCTTCTCTTTTTGGCTCTACATAAGAGTCATAATGCTTTGTTCTCATCGAATTCTAATAGCAATGAAGGTCGAGCGCCGGGTTCTATATTTTATTTGTGATATCTATGATAATTTTGTATGATAGTTAAGAGTTTAATAACATGTTATTAGGCGTTAAATTTTACTGGTGATTATTTTATACCCTCGTACCGTGCGTTGATGTAATGGTTGTTGTGGGACGGTCGGGATCCAGCGGACCTACACTAAGCAGCTAACGTGTTATGAGATAGCACATTTGACTAAAATTACAAGACATACCTACCCGTTAAACTAGAGGCGTTAAAAACGAGTTTGAGAAGAAAATAATATAGACATGATTGAAAGTATATTTACTTTCATATTGTATAGGAAATGTTAGAGAATTATTAAATAAACTTATCGAAAAATACTTGTAAAAATGTATATAGATGATCCTCTTGAAAATCTAAAGTACTATATAAATGCAATAACGAGTACGTACATGGAAATTTCGAACTTATTTCATACGACACTGACGGTGCATAGCTAATCGTATGCATTTATGCAGCTAAACCAACTAGGATTGTTAAAACCCGCTGGATTGCGACCGAATAATGCACTGGAAGCGCAAAATTATCTCACAACTGATATATTATAGTGGTGAAGTTGATGCAAGTCTGAAATTAGGGATGTAACGATACATAATTTTGCCGATACGATACCGATACCGATTTTTGTAATAAATAATCGGCGATGCCCATACCGATATAGATGGCTTAATAGATAATTAATCAAATAAATAATGAAATAGGTATGTCTTTCTTTAATTAAATTTAAGGCCGAGCCTTGAGAAGTGTAAAGAATAAATTAATAAAAGTGTACGATCAAAAATTAAAAAAAGAAAACAATTATTTTTGAAAGATTTAAAAAAAGAACAAAAAATTTAAGTGTCAAATTAATAACACTACAAAATAACAAATTTATAAAATAAACCGACGCTAGGTCATTGTGGCAAGATCGCCGAGCGCGCGTCATTCGTTTGGTGCGGTTTTGAATTAATTAATATCGGTGGTATTATTATCGGCAATGCCGATATATCGGTATCGGAATCGGTATCGTTACATCCCTATCTGAAATATTGTATGGTATTGTAATTAGTGCCAATGAAGACTGGATTCGTAATACAGTCCAAATGAAGTTGGCGATCTGCCACTCGAGGCTTTTTGACAACATGTTATGATATTGGAGTAAAATACGTGTCGCTCTGAACTTTACGCTACAAGCAACGCTACGGTGTGACGTTGCACCATAGCAATCTACGTTGATGCTCAAACATTGTGGTTTTTCGATACGTCCCCACCCCATAAAAGTATAAAATTGATGAGTTTGGTCAAAGTTGATCTGTCACTTTGCAATAGAATAATACAGAACTTCATATCGCATAAACACAACCGTCATATTCCAATACTGGACAAGTCGGTGCGTGGACGAACGGGCGTAAGTAAAGCGACAATGGTTTGCGTTTCATCTTTAAAATTTCATAGAATTTCCTTGCACTTTTGTGCGAGACTGCGAGCTATTATCGACACAACTGAGACAGATTGCCAACTTTTTGGACTGCATATCTACATAATTAGATTCGTATATCCACATTATAGTTGTGAGAGTTGATAGTATTGATTGCAACGGATGTTGTACCGTTTTTTAAATATAGATCTTACCCTTTCACAACAAAGGTCCGTCCAGCGACTGGGCTAGGGACATCATGAGACGTCCATTACTGGCATTATATAAAAAGTATTACATAAATCCAGCAGTTCTTCATAATCATTAATGGGATTCCTAAGTCAGACAGAAAAAGTCGAGATAATCTATTACCTATAGAAATGAGACACCGGCAAAGTGATACTTCTGCTATCACTAGTGTATGAGGCTGTGATGGTCATTTACATTTAGGCGGGACATGTCTTCATTTGTTCCTATTTGTAATAAAAGTAAAATAAATTGATGGCATTTTCAACAATGGGTAGGTACACATTCTTGATGCAAATAATACGAATTATTAGGGTTTAAATATTATCTAACGTCCAAATAATATTATTCTTAGGCGTACACATAAATGATTCAGACTTGCATCAAATACCAGTAACGACCGCTTCGTGTAAAAATGATTTTGTAATTTATTAGTAAACCCGAGGGGATTGTTGTTGACTGCATATATTTTATATATTGTAAATGTAACGACGGCTCGGAGTAACAAGAAGAGTGAGGTTGGTTCCACTCGTGGAAGTGCGAAACTTGTTTGTGACCAATGAATATTGACACGATGTGAAATAAAGCATATTTTAGTTTTATAGACGTACTTTTATTTTCGTCACATCCTTTAAAATGTTATTATTCAGTCGAGCAAATTCAAGCTCTTGGTGGAACAGATGTTTAATGTTTTCTTTTATAGAAATTGCTATTCTGAACAACATTTTTGGCATCCCAAAACTAGGGCTACAAAGCTTAAACATACATAATATTTTTTTATTAAATAATGAGCGTCCTGCCCCTCTAGTATGACCACCACCAAACTCCACTGTAGTCTGACGGTTAATGCCGATATATCGCTTTATCATATCCCGTTTCGGTAGTCATGCTAGCCCCCTCTAGTCATGCTAGAGGGGCAGTAGCGTCTTATTTTTGTTCTTGCTCAAGCAATTTTATCATCCCCTTATGTCCTAAAGGGGATGATAGGCGTTCACATAAACAAGGCCTCCTTTATTTAAAAATTTAATCAAGTTGGAATTTTTTAAGAAAATTAGATCCATAGTTGTAAATTATTGTTAATGAAATGTGAGGTCAAATTTGACAGGTTTGTATGACAATCCGTAACATGGCTTATTAGATGAAATGCTAATATTGCCAAGTCGAAGAATTTATAACTGAAACATTTAATATTTTCGTCAATAGGGGTGACGAATGGGTCAAGTAAACAAAATTCTATTTATTCCGTCTTTTAGATTATCAAAAAATAATAATATTTTTTCCTTTGATGAATGAACCAAAAAAAATACAAAGGTAACACGCGTCAAAGTTTGGGAGTGGTGGGCCCCGTGACTTCACTTTTAAGTAAAAATTATGCCAAAACGTGCCGTCATGCGACATTTCAAATCAATATATCTCTGTAATGTTTTGAATTTGTGAATAAAGAAAAAATACGTGTCCAATACTTTTTGGTAATCTACCTTATAAGACTTATATCTTTATCGTCATCCCGACGTTTAAAACCCTCAGTGGTCCTTCACGGCCGGTCTTTGGAATAATGTTAAAGCACGTTTCCGTGATTTTAACCCGCATTCTCAACACGTAGGTATTCTGAGGACCTAGATCCCCAAACGTGTCGGGTGACAGATGAGTATTGTCTGCGGTTTTAGTAGGTAGAGTACTGCTTATTTCACTAAGCCCCGAGCAGGACGAATGAATATCCCTCTTGCAACTGAAACACTTTATTAACAGAAACACAATACTGCATTCGCAATGATATTATTTGTATGGATGTGTATCTATAGACATATTTGTAGTAAGGTAGGTATTTGTTATTCTATTGGTGAAAGCTGAAATAACTTGACCGCTACTCATCAATCAAGCAGCTAAGTAAATAATACAAAATAAACACCGATTCCACGAAATTCTCGTTACATTATTGACGTATGTTCTGTTGTATAAATATTTGGACCTAGGAAACACCCTTGTGTTAGTAATTATTATGTAGTTTGAATATTAGGTATTTCATTTGATCGCTCGTCGATCCTCTTTGATTTTATATGTTACTATCTATTTAATTTACAAACTGAATCACGTTGCGCTGTGAACACCCGTGTGTGAAGGCAATGGGTAAGTAATAGGTTCTCAAAATTTTACATATTAAAGTACTCAGTACCCTTAGCACGAACCAATATCGAATTCGTAACATTTGCGAGTCCGAAATGTCATTGTCACATGTGTACTGATTTTTAGTTCTTGTTATGTACTTTATGGCGCTGCTGTTCAAGTTTTCATACAAAATTTGACAATGACATTCCGCACTCGCAAACTATTCGAATTCGATAATGGTTCGTGCTAAGGGTACAGTTAGGCTGAATAATAAACAAGACAGACTTTTGTTTTTTATAATCGTTTTAGTTTACCTAAAAGTCCGCTATGTTTCAGAAGACACTAAGTGGGTCCCGGCTGCATTTGACCACTCCGTAATTATCGTCATAATCAAATATTGTATGGAAAAACCGGCTAAGTGCGTGATGTGCCACGCGCAGTGTAGGGTTCCGTAGTTGCCTGTCGTTACCATGGTTTTAAATGGGCCCAACGATAACCCACTCGATAGTGTAAACAATGAAAAAAAATCATCCCCAGGCTACATTTTTTTCACAATTTTTTTCTACCGTTTTGTCAGCGTGATTGATATACAAATCTCCACAATATTACAGCTTTCCAGTGCTAATAGTCTCCAAAGAAAACTGGGGACAGAGAGACAGACAGACATGACGAAACTAGAGGTTCCTTGTCAGGCTACGGAACCCTAAATAGCCAGTTTGTTTTTATGTCCCGTAGGGACGCTGCTTAGTTTTAATAGGAACTTTGACGATACGATACGATTACGGAGCTGTCAAAATTCGTGCTTAGGCCTCCGTTTTGTAGTCATCACACACGCATCAATCCGTACACAATTAATATCCATACTTTACATCATACATGACGACTCAATTAATATCCATACTTTTACACTAAACAAAACTAAAATTTAGCCCCTACTTGCTATTTCAGATAAAGAGAACGATTTTCAAACTGTAAAAGGTAGTATAAAGGGCGATCTGTCACAATGTACTGTGTCTGGTGGTGTATACCGCGCGATGTGGTGGGCGCGTTGCTTCGGAGTGGCGCCTCTGAGGTTTTGGAAGGCGGACCGAGCAGACGGGTGGAGAGTGCGCATCTCACCGACTGCTTTTGTGCTTGGATGCATCTTCGTAATTCTACTGGGTAGGTGATTATTAATTTCTGCTATTTCATTACTTTATACTTATTTGTCTGTGAGGTGGCTGATTTCAGCCATCACAACAGACAGGACTTTAAAACAGTGGCGGACTAAGCTCGTCAGAGGCCCGGGGCGGCAAAGCTGAATGAGGCCCCCAGCTTTAAAAAAACTTTTATACCGCAACGAAAATCAAAAACACTATTAGACTTTTTAATGAGGTTACTTTGAACGGATTTTAAATGAGGCCAATGTTTATTTTTCGACGTAAATATAGTAAATGTTATTAAATGTAGGCATACAAGAGTGAATTATTTGTACTTCATTCATTCAAGGGATACCTGAGGGAGTACCCGTTACAGAGACGGGAATTCCCCCAGCGTATTGGACGCGTTCAGCGAAGTTAAAAGAATATTAGTACCGTGTAAAAAGTCTAGATGGCTGTAGTGTTTTGATCTTGATGAAATTATGTAGGTACTAAGCACATTTTTAAAGTCTAGTTTAGGATTTGATCAGGGGAACGCAGAGGCATTTGGGGGCCCTCCAAGATCGGAGGCCCGGGGCGGGCCGCCCCTTCCGCCCCCCTGTTAGTCCGCCACTGCTTTAAAATATGTCAAAATGGAGTGTTGGCGAGTAACGCTCAGCAAAGCACACTTGGCACCATAGGTAAAGCCACCTCTGGGAAGATCTTTGGGGGAGGCCTTACTGAGGACTTAAAGCGGCTAAAGTATTATTATGTTAAAAAAATTGTTTTACCAATATGAAGGAAAAGCTGCTCTCGTCTGTGAGATGACAGAAATCAGGTTATGGCACGTAACTCTAGCGCTAAACAAAATGCGGAGGGGATAGCTGCGCATGGGTACGACTGGAGCGTGGTTCGGTCGTCGTTGCGGCGCGGCGCGGCGTGTTCGCGACACGGTGTCCCCCGAGAGTCCCTCGAACTCGAGTGGCGTAGGTATGATTCGCTTTCCGACCGTTTGTATGAAGATAGAATACTGTATATAATATTACCGTGACTGGAGAGCAAATCGGCGCAACGCACGCCCACCCGCGCACCTCATTTCCCCCCAACACATCTTAATTTTTACTTCTGCACTATAACGGTCTGCTTTTCGTGCCGCGAATTATATATGTTACGGGCTACGTGTTTAACTGGACATTATTAATAAAGACCGACCATTATTAATAATGCCCAAGAGCGATGGCCAAAGTGATTAATTTATCACTTTGACCGGCCATTTTTAATAATGCCCGACTGCCCGTGGTCCATGTAATAAGTGAGTGTTTGAGATAGCTTGGTGTGCCGGCCGAAGCCGAACAAGCCGAAGGTGTGGAGGGGAGTGATGCTTGTGACTTTGTAGGAAGGGGAGATAGGGCAGAAGTACTGGTTCTTTAGTCTTGCATCCTAGAAAATAGGGAACCATAAATTCTGAACATTTAACAGATTTAAAGAACTTTTAGATAAGGTTAATTAAAAAAAATCATGCATTTCCTCCTAAAATCTTAAGTGTGAGGGGGGGGGGGGGGCAAGCCCCCCCCCCACTTAAGTCCGACCATCCAACCATCAAAACGACCCCGAAATTCCACCATAACTAATACAGGAGTTAAGTACCTATTTTTTAACTATTATGTTTAATAGTTTATTTTTTCTTAACATTTCATGAAAATTTGGAAGCTTACTTTCATTTAATAAACAAAAACACTACAGTTCACTTATTTTGCCCAAGATACGGTAGGTATTATTCATAATGGCCGGGAAAAGTAATTAATCATGCTGTTTTAATCACATTGCCCAATTGAGTCGGGCATTATGAATACAGACCGGCCATTTTTAATAGTTCCCGGACTTATCAAATTGCTCGTAACATACATACATAACGTATTTTGCCAAATATGTTCAGTCATTGTAGCGTGATTTTAGTTACTAAGTTGTGAACATATATGTACATACATGATATTACATGTTCCATGCGTCCGCTGCGAAAACCTTTCTTTCACCAGATATAAGCATACTTGCTAGTCCATTCGTGAACCCGAATCCTCATAGCCGGCTGCGGCGCTCCCACACCCGTTGGGTGATACTGATGGCTAACTACATCATCATGTCGTGTCTGACCAGCAACGCCGTTTTCGGAGGGCGACAGCGGACCAGGCAAATAATAACATGCTTAGATCGTGTTAATAAGGTAGGTATTAGTGCATTCTTGTCTGAGTTGTAAGCTAGGTAGTGGATACACGAAGTATTTTTAAAGCAGGCGTAATTAGGTTTACCTACACCAAAAAGTATTTGTTTGAAATAAGATTAAGTATATACCACACCAATGTGCATTGAGCATAGAAGAATCTGTTTACAACATGCATAAGAACTGGGTTAATTTAAAAAACAAATATTTATTGCTTTCTTTTAAAATTTCACGACCCGCAAAAAGTACGCTCCTGCCATTGCTGTGCTTTGGATGAATATATTTAGGTAAGAGCATGATAAAATCAATATCGGCAAAAGCATTTCGTACTTTTCAATAACTGAAGTCTAGAACGAGGATTAACGAGACATGACAGCAAGAGACATGTAATCTTAATATCAAGTCACTGACGATTGCCAAATGTGGCGCCATTTAAATGTGACGATAGGAATGATATTCTTATTCATTTATATACATACTCTGTCTTTCATAAACTATTTGTAATCAGGCTCATTCTCATTACACTTAGGTCAGTAAGTGTATAATTGTTGTGCTAATAATGAAGACTAAATAAATAAATATTTCCAACACTCACACCAATTAGCCTAGCCCTAAAGTAAGCATTGCTTTGCTTTGCATTACAAGCTAGTTGTGTTATGGGATACTAGGGTAACGGTTAGAATACATATACTGATACATATATATGTTAGTATATTTATATATAAATACATTATAGCTATTAACGGGTTTGTTACCATGTACCTTGTTTTTTATGAGTCTCGGATATCATTTTACTCCGTGATCAATTTAGGGTGGAGCGTCAATGTATGGAGAAAAAAAAAAGTCATCGAATTGATTTTGAATATCTGCAAAAAGTTGCTATTGTAAAAATTATTTATAATTCTAGTTTCATTTATTTATTTTGACATATTTTTTAGCCCTCTACCTAAGCTCAAAGTTGCAATAATTTTATTAAATTAGGTAAACCATTAAACATGCATAGAACATTACAAAAATCAAAATCGTATTATATTTTAGCGTAAAGGTATCAATAAAACATGCATTTTATAAATTATAATATTTATTTAGAAAAAAAACATAAAATTTGAGATATTAAATTGAAAGAAAAATGTGTTAAATCGTAAAAAAAACTATAAATTACTACTTTTTTTGTATCTTTAAATCTTTATTTGTTTCTAAATATGGCATAATTGCACGGGATTTTATTTTAGAACGAATAAATCAATATCTGGCTTTTTCGCCAACTACACTAAACGATGCTTCAGACCCCATCTTGATATATCGCTTTACTGCTTGTGTATGACAAGGAAAATCCGACAACTCCAATGTAATATTGGAGTTTGATGCAACCACGTCTTCCACTTGTAACTGATATCTTTTAGCACTAGAGGTGATGTAACTTGTGACTCGTTCCATAAAATCATATCAGTGTAGTCATTGGCATCAAAGTTTATCTTCAGAACTTTTAAGTATTCTTAGCCCAAGTTTTGAATTTTGTCTTGCTGCGATTATTCGCCTTAATCCCAATTTTCTAACATGTGGCCGATTGTCGTAAAGCATAGCAACAATAACAGGTTTTCAGGATGTACAGAAATATAATTTCTTTGTATAACTTAATCGATAACCTTTTTATGTCGGAGCTCAAACATCGAGGGAAATAAATTAATTTGTAGACGTGAGTTGGGCCTAGTTTAAATGAACTATCTTTCTTTATATAAAACCATAAAGAAGCATTTACAATATATTCTGTGAGTTTATTTAATTGTCGTGACGAATTCGGTGTGGCCACATATAATCTCAAGATTCTGTTAGCCGTTGTTAACCAACGTGAATGAACCATTTTTCCAGGATTTCTGTTAGACAAAACTTGAGAACATGATCCGCTGCTTACTGCTTGATAAATTTGGTATAAGTATTCCTGATATGTACTTAGACTACTTTCAATTTCCTTCGGTAAAACAGGCACGTTTGACAAGATAGCAGAAAACTTTAAACTTTTCAGTTTGTTTAGATTTTGGATAGCGTAAAAATACAAATACATATCATAATTGTTTTTAAAAATTTGTTTTACAAGTTGTATGTTTACGGTTGGTAAAGAAGCCGTAGTCCACACTTTTATGAGATCAATTGCCACTGCATCGAATACTTTAGAAATAGAAGGCTCTTTGCCATTTCCAAAGAAAAAAAAAGAAAAATGCTACATCCAATGTAAACAGCTCTACTTACAAAGATACTTGCGATTTTTGTTTATTTTCTTCACTTCGACGTCATATTACTATAAACTTTGTATTAAGTTTATTAGCACATTGGCCTTTTATAAATAAAATTTATAAATTCTAAGGTATTACGAGTTACAATAACAATAAAAGAAATGTTCATTTCTTATCATAATGATGCTTCATAAATAACCTTGATTAGATGATTTTTCACAATTTTCAAGCGGCAGTAGAGAGCTAAAAATTGCTTCCGATATTTTTTTTATTATTTTATTTGTATATTTGAGAATGTAATGCAACTTTCTAGTACTATTCAATATTGAAAATAAAAAATATTTTTTGACGCTCCACCCTAGGATCATAGCGCTTGCAACAGTGCCGAAATATCGGAGACTCATAAAAAACATGGTACATGGTAACGATCTCGTTAATAGCTATAATGTTAGAAATACATATTTAAAACATCCATGACGGCTCGTATTCATCACACAAACATCTGCCCCCACAGGGATTCGAACCCGGGATCTCTCGGTAGGCGGACACCTTGAAAACCGGCGTACAAACCTCTCGGCCACGGAGGTCGTCGCATGAAATGTTAATAAATTGAGCTTCTGCGGTCCCTAATACAGTTGCTACGGGCCCTAGAGGTCAGTTACAAGAAGCTGTTCTCTTTAGTGAGTGGTCGTCACTTCGTCTGCAGAGATGGTTTGTTTGCAACGTGTATAGAAATTTTCACATCCACTGACTTTCAATTCCTACTCAGACGTATCCATCTCCACAATGACATTCATATTGCTAGCTTTTCCGTACTTCGTAAGGCACGTGAAGCTGTTGGTCCCAGCTGCATCTATAGTCGTTGGCATCTGCCAATCCGCACCGATTTGATGATGATTCTCTCTATTTCATTCATATGTGACCCAGCAGTGGGTAGGGGTCTTTCTCTCTCTCACTGGTGCCAATTCTGGCGTAATTCTCTAAACTTAAAACTAAAGGAGATTGCTCAAATTGGCCTAAATGCACAAAAAATATTGACATACACGGTAATTTTTGGCGTAATTTATAATTTAATTTACAGTCATTAGATTCCAACGGAAACCTTTGTATAATATATTTACTTTAAAAAGGTCTTATAATTTTACCGGTTTGGAAAACATACCAATCACTTTTAATGGCTATGGGTGTAGTAACATTCAGCCAAAGACTGATCGAAGTTGTTTATATAACATAAAAACAAATGTATTTTGTAAAGATCGATAAAATAAATCATTTTTTTTATTACACTGTGGTATTAATATCCACAACTATATTATCATTTTCACTAGATGCAAATATGCTCAGACAATTATTATAGGTGGTAGGCGACATCATAGTCTATTGCCATACATTTTTCGCCAAACACCTCCATAACCACATTATAATCTGTATATATGTTAGGGTGCGGCCAGAGTGCACTCAGATTCAGATTCAGATTCTGAAAACAAGCGCGAGAAATAAACAGTGTAGTCGAAGGGTACGGCCAGAGTGCACTCCTGATTCAGATTCAGATTCAGACCAGAAAACAAAGCGCGAGAAAAAGCAGGCAACCTGCTTAGACTACACTGTTTATTTCTCGCGCTTGTTTTCAGAATCTGAATCTGAATCTGAGTGCACTCTGGCCGCACCCTACGACTTTAAGGTCTATCTATGGGCCTACGTTCCGTGACTATAAATTAATAAATAAATAAAATTATAAGGTGTGATACACTAAAAATCTAAAATATGGTTATCTTAAAAACATAAAAAAATGAAGCTACTGAATACATGGCTATAGAACCTAAATCTCTTAGCTTTCTTTGGTTAACGAGAGTTTAAAAATTCTCTCTAATCTGTGGCTCATTCACAGTCATCACACAGTTTCTGTCACAGAGTACCTTATTATAACCGGAAATGCATAGATGACACCTGATTTTAAAAGTTACTCTTATGCATTAACTTTAAAAACAGGCAACTATCTGTTAATCTACATGCTCTATATACCTGAATCTAATCCATAATTTCGGTACTTGGCTTGATTTCCCTAGTTTACTATATAACTTATTTGTTTTTTATTATTTTAATATGTTCAGTGAATATGGTTTATAGAAGTTCTCAGGGGTGTCCGTCAATAATATTCGTTTCTACAGTAATTTATATATAATTTCGATTCTAGGAAACAATTTTTCATGATTATTGGTCTTTAGGCCAAACATGTATGGAAACTGAGCAATCTCCTTTAACAGTCTCTCCTTTTCATTCTGTATAGAGAATGACAAGGATATACTGCTGTCAAATTTAAGTTTAGGTTTAGAGAATCATGCTTGAATTGACACCAGTGGGCCCAATTCCGGCGTGATTCTCTAAACTTAAAACTAAATTTAAGGTCAGTCTCACCTTTTCATTCCGTATAGAGAAGGACAAGGATGCACTGTTGTCAAATTTAAGTTTAGCTTTAGAGAATCATGCCAGAATCGACATCATTGTCTCTCTAAATTTATGAGCAATGCTTTTGTCGGTGCAGTCTAAGGATCTCCCACCATCTTCCTCTGCCTACCGCCAGCTCTTTGACCCGCCTGTACGATTTTACTTTCTCCTTAATTTGCCTACATGGCTATCATCGGTCTTCCCCTGCCTGTCTTTCTTTCTACTTTTCCCTCATGATGGAATATTGTAACTGCATTTTTATATTGTAGATGGACAAAACAATAAGTGCTGAATACATAAAATTATCGTCAGGCAAAGATGTAAAAATTTATGTTATCATCATCTTGACGATTCTCATGTCGGTGTTGGGCTCGGTGGTAGACTGCTGGGAAGTCGTCCGCGTGAAACTAAATACAGACATCAATATACTATGTAAGTATGAAAATAGTGAAAAGTTATTTGTTAGGCAAGGGTGATCCATCTTGGGCCTCATCATCAGGTGGGAAGTAATCAAAAGAGAGAAAAAAAGTGCTTACTTATAGGTTTTAGTGCTCAGTAAAAATAATAGCTGGTGTAAATAAAAAGTTGCTAAATTATTTTAAAGAGAGGTAGGGAGAGAAAAAGCCCTTACTAATAAGTTTTTTGCCGGCCATACAGAATCAAGATGGTATAGCTTTGACTTAATTAAATGCTTGTAAAAGCCCTAAGCTAATTAAACGATAAGTAGGTATTGAAGTTTGAGAAAAGCTGATATGGTGCTGGAGTTGGACCGTCGGCCGAACCTGATCTGGGTTAAATTCCCAACCTTACAGAAGGTAATCAAATACGATACACATTCTGTTTAGTATGCCGTTCAGTCCATTGAGTAATGAATGTCCATCGGCCGACAAGGTGAGGCCGTATATATATCTACGGCACCAAAAATAAGTCAGAAAAAAAAACATTTTGAGAAAAGATTTTGTTTTTTTTTAAATTTTGAAATTTTTTCATTATGAAATCGGTACAATATAGGAATCGATCCTAACAGACCGAAGGGACCATTTTTCCTATATTAGGGAAAATGTGGTCAAATGGTGAGGACTCGACCAAAAATAAAATGTACTTATATAAGAAAAACTGCATTTACTTTTGGTTAAACGTCTGAGGGCTGTTTTAACTTGCAGTTGCGGACTTGAATAATAATCCAATGTTCCTGATGATGCACTTCATTGTGATGATGACGCGACTGCAGTTCACCTTGAGCTCCTTCAAAGTGTTCACAACGATACGATCAATCAATGATGTGCTTGAACAAGTAGAATTGACTTCTTCAAACCGGAAGTACATGCTTGGTGAGATTTAGCAACAATCACAAATTTTATTTATATGTGGTGACACAAAGTAGTTACTAGCCAGCTATATCAATAAAATAATAAATAAATAAATGAAATGAAATGAAATATCTTTCCGGATGGAAACAATCTGCGAATTTAGATATAGTAAAATATTGAAATTTAACGTCGTTTCTTCCAGCTGTAACGGTAAGATTTGCATAGAAAAGTAAATAAAACATCTTATCATAAAAAGTAGAAAAAACGAACAAATATTTCAGAATATTATGCTGCCGCTCTGATACCCGCCGCAATTTTTGAACAGCTGTTCCAGGTTATCGTAAACTTCGTCCGATCGAAGACGTCATACGGCAGATGTCGTCGATGTATGTGAGCGCCTGCGACGTGGTCGAGCAGCTGGACTCCTGCTGCGGCCCCAATCTGCTGTTGCTGCTGATGAGCTGCTTCTTGCAGCTGGTCACGCAGTCCTATTGGCTTTCTCAGAACTTGTGTACGTAACTGAACATTAACGCTGCATAACTGCTGCGGCCCCAACCTGCTGCATCTGATTAGTTGCTTCCTGTAGCTGGTCACGCGTTTCTATTAGCTCTCCCAGAACCTTTATACGTTAGGTACTAGGATATAAACAAACGATGTTCCCGCTGCACAGTGTTTCGACTAGAACATGCTAGGTGGACAAAATTCATGTTATCATATCCAGGTATTCTTAATTAAAAAACGTAAACAACACCCCTAAACCCCAAATTCCGAGAATTGGTCGTTGTCAAATTCCTAATTGATGAGTCATAGAGGTCAGAAGTCAGGTTATGCGTTACATGTAATGGTTCCGGTAAATCAGTTGCAATTTAGCGAATCTTTCGTGCACATCTTATAGTGGCTTGTAATAGTAATAATAATAAATGTTTTTGGTGGGATAAGTTTGTCTGAATTCCGTAATGACTACGTTGAGAATTTCCCACACCTGCACGCTCTCGCGGTCGTAAAAGGGTTTTTAATTATGAGGCGAAGGATGAACCGATCACAGACGCGAAAACACATTTTAAAGTCAATTTTTACTACTATTTATTAATTAGACTCCGCAATTACTAAGTTCGACGAACGGTTCGAACTTCTCAATTAAAATAATGTAGTTGTTCCATTTCTTCAAAAATTTAAGCATTGGAAGGATTTGGACTCATAGTTTTAAATTAAAAGAACTACAAAGTTCTGATTTTTTATTGTTGTAATTTGCACCAGATATTTTTATGAAAATATAACTAAGTATTCCATTTTGTCCCGCTTCTACTAGGGGGCGCCAGAGTACTGGTGGCACACTGGCGCCACAAGGGCTAGAGCCGCCTCTGCCTATACTATTATTAATTAGGCTTCTGCTGCGGATTCTACCCGCTGCTCATTATATGACATTTACATTAAGATCAAACAAACTAATTTTGGATAAAGGACAAAAGAATAGTTTGCTAAAATAAGTCTTAGTATTTAAGTACACAGCATTTAATTATATTTTTCAGTCATTTCTATGAGGTCCTTCCCCCGAATGCTGTCCAACCTGATTTGGTGCGTGTGCCAGATCATGTGGCTGGTGGAAATCGTGGAGCCATGTCATCGAACTAAGCTAGAGGTATGTCGATGGGAGCTACAGAAATTATTCGAAAGACAAGGCAGCAAGGGCGGATCCAGCTTTGGCGCCAGGGGGGGGGTCAAATAGTAGTGGTCAAGTCACAGTGGGTACAGATTGTGAAGTGGGTACAGATGAACCCAGCCCAGGGGGGGGGGGGGTCATGACCCCCATGACCCCCCCTCTGGATCCGCCCTTTCAAGGCAGACTAGAATGTGGGCCGCCTGATTGTTAGTGGCTGCCAAGCGGCTATCATAGTTTAAAGACGCTTACGATGCTTAGGAAATTTTTATCACAATTGTTTATATGCATTATTGTTTATACCCTAGTCTGTATCTCTGCAGTAAGTGGGGTAGGCAGATCATAAATACTGAAAAATAGGCTATTAATGTACTAGGTGCGGTAACCGATCTTCAAGCTCTACGTAACCAGCAACTGCTTTCCAATTACCGAATGCATTATGTCGGATCATGTATCTAGTACGGGCGCATGATGTGGCATGCACATTGCATTTTTCTCCCCGTCATCGACAAAAAAAAATTGTATTCCCGTATAAAATTTAATAGGAAACTTCTCCATGGCATGATTCTCTAAACTTAAAATTTATTGAGTGCTAGGTAGAGTAGTATAGTATGCAGGGCCGGACTGTGAGTTTAGGAGGCCCTGGGCTAATACTACTTAGGGGCCCACCTAAATACTCAAAGTATAGAAAATGAGAGTGTAAAATATTTAATTTATATTATAATATATTATGCCTTAGTGTTATACAACCATAAATAAATTGACAAATTATAACCTTTCCGCATTTTCCTTTAGCAAATTCTTTAATTTGCTTCTCACATCCTAGGTTCTTAGTTAAATCAACATTTATGGACCGAAAGGACAAATGGTTAAGTCTTAAGTTTGACATCGTCGTTCTGTATTTATTCTCTACACATCATCGCGATAATAACCGTACGGGCGCTTTCGTTTGATAGAAATGCATACCGGGAGTTCAGGGTTGCCAACCTGTAGGCGGCCATTACACATTCAGTCTGGATAACGATTCGCTACATTTCTCCAAAACAAAACTCTATTTCTTTCTAACATACTAGATAAAAATAATTAAAATGGTACTTATAAATAATTCTAGCAAGATAGAAAGAGACAGAGTCTAGGAGGGAAACAGCGGAGCACGATTGAGATGAATGTGTAATGGCAGCGGAATATTTTAACTGCCAGTTCGAAATACCAACACCTGAAAGTAGCCTTGAATTTAATGAATTGAATGGGTTTTATTAATTTTCGCAGGGACGCAAACTATACGATCTTTAATTTAATAAAATTATGGATTCTTTCGCATTTTCGTCTATTTTTGACTAAACTTGACATAGCCCCTTGAATCCACGGGGCCCTGAGCTGAAGCCCAACAAGCCATATGATAGATCCGGCCCTGATAGTATGCTATAGTAGTGAACGAGAAGGAGAGAATGTCAAATTTAGTTTAGTCAAGTAGGTAACACTTCACTAAACTAAAATCTGAGAGCGATCTTGAGATGCTGTTTTGTATGAAAACAGTATCTCAAGATCGTCGTCTGAGTTGAGCGATCTATTAATACGGGCGTAAGAAAGAATCATACCAATATTAAGTCCAAAACAAAATCAAGTAAGAAAAAACGTTTTCCCCACACAGAGAGAAAATACTTCCCGCTAAGGAGTTCCAGGGGAAGAATTGGTTTCAATGCCCAAGCTCCTAGAAACTATGGTGGCCGCTTGCCATCAAACGGGCGATATCCAAGTGTGCCAGAGATTTTTTTGAACAGACATTTCTCGACTACCCATGTTATTTTTTATTGTATGTTATTTCTTCAGACTGGGCGCACGAAATTGCTTATAAGCAAACTGTCCGGTGTCCTCAATACCCGACCCATCTTGGTCGAGTTGGAGAAACTCGCGCAGTATCTCGAGATGAACCAAGTCGGTTACGCACCGTTGGGTATCTGTGTTTTGTCACGTTCCCTCATTGCTGGGGTGAGTGAAATCGAGAAGTATATAAACTTGAAATGAATAAAATTATAAGAGCCTTTACATCAAGCGCTGCCCTCCAAGAGCACACGTCGTATATATGTCACTGTACAATTGCAAATACCGGTAGATTATAATCTATTTTGCGAGATTATAAACTGTTGAAAGATTGTGAAGCCTAACAGAATGCTTACAATTTAACCCATCATTTAACGGTAGATTACTATCTGTCGAAGTAAAGCTGTTAAATCGCAATCTATCGCGCGTTAAATTGTCAACTGTCCCTGATTGGTCGGTCTAACCGCTAACGGGGTGGTTCGTACGTAGCTACGTTGCGGCTACGGCATCATACCTAGCTAGGTATGATGCCGTAGCCGCAACGTAACCGGAATAGACGTCGGGTACATTTTTTTTATAACATTGTCACCAATTAGCCTAGCCTCAAAGTAAGCAGTGTAAGGCTTGTGTTATGGGATACTATAAAAGTAATGAATAAAAATGAAAGTCGTGAAATTGAACAAATTAAATCATAATCGTAGTAAATGGAAAAATATCCGTTGTCGTTCTTTTGCATGAATTAGTGATTAATTTTACAGAAATACAACACTGAGCATTTTAATTTATTGAAAATTTTAAAGATGCAATCATGCAATATAGTTTTTCTTAGTACATACCTATATAAAATTTTATCTTTTTTTACCTGTTTTAAAACTTACCTCATTTTGTTTTCAGATATTAGCGAACGTCACCACCTACCTTGTCGTTATCATTCAATTCCAAACTACGGATACATGAGTGTTCCTCCTTTCTTTATCCATATTAATATGTATTTTAGATTCATAATTCTATTGAGGAGATAAAGATCTTGGGCAACGAATATTGCTTTTTGTAGCGAAAGTAAATCTAGAACTTGTAATTTTTTCAATACTTAGCTATTTGCAATATTGCTAGTTTCCTTTTTATACCTCTATTGGCCTACCCGTCCCCGAATCTTGTTTAATGGATAGTGTCCAGAGCAGAGCTTGTGTAACGTAATAATTGTAAAAGCTTAAACTTCACTATATCTCACTTAAGTCTTAAAAACAACGTTAGCTTATAGTTGCTCACTAACCCAGTTTCTTTGCCTTATTACAATTAGGAGCTTTGGGTACAATTCATATCAATAATATATGTAGTAAATAAATAGTATATTTTCCATCCATCACTGTGTTTCATTTTAAAAGTAATTGACAACCTTGTGGAGATTTCAAAGTTCAAATTACTATTCAATTTCAATTTCAATTATCTAGGGTTATCTTAAAGACTTACTATTGCATTGAAAATATAGGTAAATACCTGGTTATTAAAAGGTCCTTAGTGCAAACGAATGCCCTTCAAAAGAAAACTTGTCTGTTTGGACATGTCTATGCGAATTATTCGGGCGTATTATGAGTAGATTGTATTTTACTGTGTTTTTGTGTTTTTTTTTCTCTCTCTTTTTTATTTATAAATACATAACACATATGAGATGTATTTTGTAATAAGTATGCCTGGGAAAATAAATTATTACTATTGTTTTTCTTTGTCATATTCAAACCTGTAATTCTTCATTTTCCTTCACGGCCATTATGGTCTCGCGCGGCCATTGCATTCGCCCAGATAGTGAAAGGCACTGGCTGCTTCGAATCCACTCTAATAACTGGGTGGACTTTTTTCTATCGAAATTTTGGTTAAATTTAAAATTCAAACAGTGAAGCATTAAGCTTCAAATCATAAAACCAATTGTCTAAACTTATCTCTTTCGCTTTCCGTTGTAAAGATAAAGTATATAATATCATTTGACCGAGTACTTAAATGGCAAGTAGATATTTTTGCATCAAACAAACAACTCCATTTCATTGTATTTTTACTCATAAAAGCCCTATCATGACTATGTTATATTAAACACGAAATGCCATCAAACGATTTAGATCCACTCCAATATCCAGGTATTATCATCATTATTGTAAATGATATGTTAGCACAGAAAAACAAGTCATTTATGAACCAACGTTAAGTACAGTTGATTGAGTGCATATTGAGGGAGCAATGGAATTGAACGGACGACACGGTGACATTGTTTTTGAATAAGAAAAAAAAGAAACAAAATATCTGGTAATTAGAAGTTATTTGTTTCTCCACGAAAATGTTTGTGGAGAAGCCGGGAATGATAAAAAATGGTATACGCTACAAACCGGAATGTTCAGTGTCTGGAGCTTTGGGCTTGGTGCTTCGTCTATCGCAATTGGTCGGCATAGGACCTTTGAGATTCAGAAAAAGAAACCGTGATTGGTTCGTCTCGTTGTCACCGTCTCTCTGCTTGATCAGCTACGTCGCTGCTACTGTATTAAGTAAGTGTTCGCAATGTTTTATGGATTGTAATATACATATAAACAGGAGCGGATTTAGAAATGGTGGAGGCCGGGGCTGAAATTGGTGCGGGGCCCATTTAAGAATATGAAAATCATCTGATTCCCAATTGTTCTAAATTCCGCTTTTATGCATTAATTAATGGGAATGTTAGCTAATAAAACACTCTCTAAGCAACTGTATTTATTAGATTATTGGCAAGAACTTTTTCCTATGTAGAAGGGAGGGATACATATACAGGTCAAATTTATTTTCGGTATTTCATGGGATGACGTGGGCCCCTGCGGGGCAACCGCTCCGGTGCGGAGCCCGAGGCTCTAGCCCTGACGTAAATCCGCTCCTGCAAGCAGACCAAGTCAACCAAAATTGACTAATTCTGTGATATAGTGTGCTGCAGCAAGTAATTCAGGTTCCTATACAGGTTCAAGGGGTAGGTGAATTAAACAAATAAATTGCAAAATTGACAAAACACCACTGAGAGACATATCATTAATTAGAAGTTGACCAAGCAAAGCCTACATCCAGGTGGGATGGAGCAATTTTCTATTGCAGGGACTTGTATAAAAATATGAAAACGAGGAGCTTGATGGTATCTTCGAAGTTAAGCGACTTTTGCAATGGCCGGTCATAGGGAACAGTGACCAAAATATTATTATTACAAGGTCCCCCATGGTTTTGAAGCTTCTTCAAGCCATTGCTTGGTCCCGGCTGCCGGCCGGCACTAGGCTCGCGTGGCCGTCGCATGACCCGTTCTCCCAATTTCATCCTTAAAGAAGGCCTACACGCCATCAGGGGCGAACTGGCCACTTAATTAGATCATGTATAAAAGTATCAAATGATTCAAAGGCTAAGTGTCGCCGCACACCGACCACAACCACAAAACGCCGCCACATACTACAAATCATAGTTGCTCGCCACCGTGGCACCGGCCACTTAATGCGCCGATACAAAACGCCGCCACACGTCACTCGCGCGATTTCCCACCCCTCTCTCCCTTACCTTAGTCGGCCGCTGTCGCGCGCTTCAGCCACTTTAGTAGCCGCTTCTAGCTTCTCGTGGCGGTGTTTGTGGCTGTGGCGTGTGGCCCGTGTGCGGCGACACTAAGTATAGATAAGAATAGATAGAATCAGCTAGTTGTTTGACAGACACAGCAGCACTGACCGGCTTATTACTCGATTTGCAAGCGAGGCCTTCGAAGTCGGCCCGAGTGTCGTCACCAACACTGAAGTTCGTGTGGGTCAGTGACTACATAGTGGTGCTGGTGATTGCCAGCGTCGCAGCATACGGTGCTCCCAGGCGACTCACCACCACGATACTGTGCTTGGCAAGAATACAAAAGGTATCAATAATTTAAATGCACTTTTGTATGTCTACAAAAAGCTTGTCTACGGAGATATGTGAGGCTCTGCCCCTTTTCTTTCAGCTTTGTATCTGTAGCTTAATGAAATGATCGGGGCCTTACCCCCCAAAACCAGATAATTCTTCTACACCGACCGCCACCGAAGCACATTCTGAGGACCTAGTTATCCAGAATGTGCATCGACAGTGCGGGCGTTTAATGTGTGTGCCCTCCGAGGGGCTACAATGGAAAACGTATGTTAAAGCAGAACCTTTAAAAAATTACCTTCTAAATATAACAAAATTATTTATATTGATCCAATACAGTAATATGAAAATTGAGGTGTTTCGTCTGAGATCCCTCATTCGGTGACTAGTAGCGTTCGATGTACAACAACTACAAATTTATCCTTCTGGCTAAAATTTTTTGGAAGGTCCTGCTAAATCTTTATGAATACGAAAGCTACGTTTTCCTCTATGGCCCCACGGAGGGTCCGGACATTGGGCGTTTATGTTTGAGCAAATATAAAAAAAATCTTAACTTTTTTATAATTCCGCTACTTTTTTATTTCCTATAATAGATAAATACTGGAGTAAGCAGCAAGTCCTCGAACGAATGGAAAACGAGCTTATTACTTACGGCTTTCCTCTTATATGTTGCGTGCGTTTTAACGGCGGATTACTGCATCTTTCTAAGAGCAGTGTTTCTATCTGATAGAGCATGTAAGTATAGTCTAATTAAGTAGTTTTTGAACTGGAAAAATCCTATGGAAAAGATGATATGGAAATGCGACACGAGTGTCACACGACTATATAGGTAATTATAATACGTGTGTATGGTATGCGTGCGCAGTTCTTCCCGAGAAGCATGAAAGTTGGAGGGTAACTCGGCGAAGGTTGAACTGCTACGAGTGTCACGAGCCTCACACGCGACAATATATATTGTTATTTATTTATTTGTTTATAATCTTTATATGTTTAAGAAAATATGTACATTTCTTTATTTTATCTTGCTGGCATACTGCAACTTCCTCTTCGTTTAGTTATCCTTTACCGCAAAGGTTGTCTGGAAGAGATCGCTGAAAGCGATAAGGCCACCTTTGCCCACATTATGTTATTGTTTTCTTATTTTTGCATTCTTTTGTGTGTGTGCAATAAAGAATTTATCTATCTATCTTTTTATTAAATATACATACCTATATATGAGTGATGCGTGCGCTGCTCCCTTCCCCTATGCCTTATGCACCGCCTAATGATAGATTATTTAAGAAAAGAAGTTTCACTCAGATGCGAGGTCCGTGCACGCATTTTTTTTATCCGTCTTTGGAGGCCCCGGGCCATAGATCTTAAGCCTGCGTCCTACTAAGGAAACACAATTGAATTGCTAGTACTATACCCATTGAATGGTGTTGCATAAAAGAGGTCTAGCACGAGTGGCCTATTGAATTTTGTAAAAAAAAGTAATGGTTCGCCGGTCTCGGAAATCGAATCCATGATCTTATAAAACATAAGAATGAAACTACTCTACCCTTCCGTTCCACCAAAACCGCAATACATACAAGAGCAGTACTTTGACTTCATACTAGCGCCAGAATCGACGCACGCACACAGACAAACGTCATTTACACGGCCGCTGACCAATCTTGGCAAGACAAGTCTACACAGTGCCACAACGACGTGCGCCGCGCCGCGCCGCCGAGAATGGTGGTTGGCCGAGTTAAGTTAGCTGCGCCGCGCCGCACGCGCCGTCTGCCTGTTTCGTTTCCATAACGTGGCAATCGTAATTATATGCACATACAATAAAAATCAAGACAAATCTGTTTTACATTTTGTATTTTCTAGCGCTCCGCTCAGTCGTAGGTATCTATTTCAAGAAAACGGCTGAGTTACGCTACTGCTCTTGTATGTATTGTGCCAAAACTGTACCCTTAGTACGAGTTTGAGCTCACGAAAACTATCATAGTTTTCGTAATTGTAGATTATGTTTCTATGTCCATTTTGGTGAAAAGTAACCAATATACTTAAAATTTAAGAAGACGCAAATGATTTAATGATAGAATTTAAACACTGTTTATTTTTATTGAAACGAAAAAAATAAAATCAGTACCTGTGAGCTCACGAAAACTATCATAGTTTTCGTAATGAGGGCTATCGCGTATGAATCCGCCGCTAGAGGCGCTAGTGTAGCGTGAGGTCTCCGAAATGTCAAATGTTATTGCTTGTTGGTTGACTACGCGGGTTTATTTCTAATTAAAATAATGTTGTGAATAATTGGTAACAATTCGGCTTAATTATGGCAAATATGAGTTATGTGGCAATGAATGTCAGTTATTAAAAATTTGAGCTTAGAAAAATGATTATGTTCCCATTTTTTCCTAATAAAACGGAACTGCGCGTCACTGTGGCACGTCTTTTGTGTTAAAATACGATCTAAATGTAACTTTTGATTTCATGTGCGTATTAATAAACTTTAAAAGTTACAATTTAGGACCTCACTCAACAGTGGCGCCATCTGGTGAGGCAGAAAACGGTAGCCCTCATTGTTAAACTCGTACTGTTATTTATTCACCTACACTAAGTTTGAAGCATTATTTTTGCAGTCACTGCGGCGTGTCTTTATTCGTTCTACTACTTCGCCTATTTCCTTCTGGTTTTGCTGGAGATGCAGTACGTATTCAGCGCCTTGGAAGTGTCCAAAACTATGGGACGCTTGAACAAGTTGATAGGGGAAGTCGAACACATGTTAACTATGCATTGTGAGTTTCAATACTTTTTCTATATAAAAGATATGGTATAAGTAGAATAACAACTAATTATTTTTCATTTTGAGAGATAACAGTAGCTTCGGCTAGGTGAAGATGGCTGTCGTCACGCCTTCTACCGCATCATCTATCTTCGCGACTGGACTCCACTAACACTTAAAATAGTGTGGGTAGGGGTGATTTGTTGCGATTCGTACACGGACCTGAAAAAAATATTTTTTTTCAGGTCCGTGGAATCGTATTAAAAAAAACTGGCTAAAAAATATAAACCTTATTAGGCTGGCAGTCGTCTGTGAGTCCGTAAAATCTAGCCAAAAATCGATTACAAGTGAGAAACTCATAGAAATATTTTTTTAAACTTTGATGGTCACTAAAATTATAGTTATTTACCGTAAAATATAAAATTAAATAACTCGTTGCTGTGATCACGGTGCTTGCAACAATGCCGAAATATCGGGCTCACAAAAATCGAGGTACATGGAGGTAAATCCCGTTAATAACTGTTTTATTATAACTCTTACAGATCTTTTACAAATTATGTACTTTTATTGTACAGATGCGTCACTCAAGAAAATTGAATCAAATGACCCCATAAAGCTACCATTGAAATACGATAATCTTATGATAGACTCTATGGATACATTTAAATTCGATTCAGGTAAGCAAGACCATGATATGGGCTTTATTGCTGTGCTGAATTTTTGTGAAATAGAGAAAGCGTTTATTAACAAAGGAAGTATTTAAAAAAAATATTAACAAAGATTTATTGAAATACCTTTATTACTTTAGATTTCAATCATTTAACGTTCTAATAATATAAATGAACCAGGCAAGCTAAAATGGCTTCATTGTTGAAAAAATCTGGTTTCAGTCTTTTGATTCCAAAGTGTATGAATGAATATGTTGTCTTCAAACAAAATAAAATTCAATGTTAGTTTCTCAACAGGGATGACAGTGGGACTAGCCTCAAAGTCGATAAGTGAAACCATTCGCCGTCTCGCTTTAACGTACATGGAAGTGTGCGAGGTAGTGAGGCAGCTGGACAGCAGCCACGGCGTCGGGGTTCTGCTGTTACTCCTCTCATTCCTTCTGCATCTGGTCATCACGCCCTACCATCTGATAGTGAAGATCACGTGTTTGTACTAAGTACACAGTACTAAGTAACAGTATCACAACAAAACAGTAAACGGAATGAAATTCTTATCTTCGTAGATGAGTACTATGATAATAACTTCAGCTTCTGGCTTCCTGGGTGAGATCCCCAGAAGAAATAAAAGACTGATAAAATCAGTATCTGTTATTTGGATTGGTGACGGAATGGGACAGCTACTGCTGAGGCACAGACCTTCCTAATGATTTAATGTGGAGAGTGAATCTTGACACTCACCACGCTGGTCCGGTGTGGATTACGACTGCTTACGACTGTATATGCAGCCGAGACCAACGGCTAAACATGTTTTCCGAAACACGGAGGAGGCCTAGTCAATACATTTTTGGTCACCCATCCGATGCCCGGCCTCTACGAAACTTGCTAAGCTTCCACGATAACAGACCGAACACGCTATCTTATGCGCCATAGAGCTCCCTCCTCGTTGTAACTTTGAAATATTTGAAAATTTTGTTCTAAGTATTACTTATTATATTTTTAGTTGTCTTTTAAGTTTTCACGCACACCACTCATTAAATGAAACACACTGATACGCATATAACCGTAATATGCTTACAATGATACGCGAGGCTATTGAGATTAAGAAACATCCAAATTTCAATAGAGAAGACGGTTGGTATATACCACCAGCTTGGGAACCCATTATTCAACAGACAAATACACACTGCAAGTTAAACAGACACTATAAGTTTATTTTGTTAACATGATTGAACAATTAGCAAGGAGACATAAAAGTCTTTTTGAGTTTTTTCACCAGTTTTTCTCTGAAGGGTCTTCCAATTTGGAACTGGTAGTAGCTTACGATAGTAAGGGTTAAATAAATAAAACACAAAAATTAAATTAAATAAAATAGATTTATAAATAAAACTAGTTTTTTACGGGTTAATGCACGAAACTTTATTTATTTATTGACGTTTCGTAGCCTTTACAGGCTACGTCGTCGGAATCAAATTTTTCGATCGGAAGTCGAAAGTCGGAAAAGCTCGACAAAATTAAATAAAAAATTGATTCAGACGACGTATCCTGTAAAGGCTACGAAACGTCAATAAATAAATAAAGTACGAAACTTATTAACCCGTAAAAAACTAGTTTTATTTAATGAGTGATGTGCGTGAAAACCTAAGAAACAAAAAATAGTTTATTGATTAAATTAGCTAATAAATTCATACATAGACGATAACATTTCAATACTCGTTCAATGAAGTATCCGAACGTTTAATAAAAGTCTTTTGAAGGAGCTCGTCAAAAGTAAACAAAAATCCTAACCTAACCTAACCTTAACCAACCATGGTTTGCTTCAGAGCATAATTCTCACGACGCAACCTGAAAAGGATGCGAAATATCAAAAAAGTTAAAAAAAGACGCATTTTAAACCCGTTAAGCATATTTCAGTTTATTTTATTTTTATTTTTTAAGCATTTAACTACACGTAAGGTAGACGTTTAAATATAATAAAAAAAATACTAGAAGAAAATTCACTCAGTCCAGCCGGCTATTCGCCAACTCTTTTGACATTTACAGGATGTAACTAAAAGAGAAACTTGCATATCTATCGATGCTTTTCAGAACAATTATCTTAGTGGCGTTATAATAAAACAGCAGTGGATAACTAAATAGTTCGGTTATTATTTATTTAAACTTTATTGCCACAATTACAAAAATGGACAAAAGGCGGAGTTTAGGCATAACAAAATCCACGAATGCGGCTATAATAAAAAAAGTGATTTACTATAAACATACACCAATAAAAGTAACCACATACATAAATATTTATTAAAAAAAAACCTTATGATCACTTCCATCTGTCAAAAGCAGTTAGCGAATAGGCCTACTGGTTTCAGATGGGATTAGAACCAGTATATGGTTCGTGTAAATCCCGTCTGAAAACTTTAATATTATTTTGTCACGGCTTCGATGAACTTTTCTTTTTGTAACACAGCTTCCAGAGGCATAGATGCCGCAGCTGCGTTGCAGGTGTTGTGGTGTGGTCTGCATATCGCTTGCACTTTTATAGTAGCCGAGCCAAGCTACCGGATCCAACTAGATGTAAGCAAAGCATTCCAACTAAGTACTATGATTATACAAGATGCATCCTCATAAATGCTTACTCTTATCAGAGGCAGCTTTGCCTATGACCAATATTCCATTTTGACGCTACATAACCTTTACTAGAGACGCTCCGGGCAATGTTTTTTGCATAAAAACGCTGTCGACAGATTCCTCCCTGATTTTTATCACTAAAGAAATGATTTTCATACATGAAATAGAGGAAGTGTATATGGGCGTATTGGTCCATTAAGATGACATTTCAACTTCCTCCGAAGCACTATCTGCTGGCCTGGTGGCTGTCCGATCGTAACTAGGATCGCCGAGGTGCGTGGTGTGACTAGTTTCGGTTTCTTCGGCTGCACCGGCTTCGTGGGCTGTGTCTCAGCTGGATTAATTGCTGACTGTATTGTTCTGGGTGTAAGAGTAGGGTGCACACTTTTGGCTTCAGCCTTATCCGCATACGTGGCCTGGGATGGCTGTTTGGCTTTTGTCTTGCCCTTTTTGCCAAGAGTTCACTCTTCTTGCCTTGTTAGATTGTGACTGAGTCGGCTCATTGCTCGGCTCGGTCTGAGGTGGGCTCTGGCGGACCGAAGTTCTAGGGGCGAGCGTGGGTTGAGTTACCTCTTTTACCTCTTTTCTTGTCTGCTGCCAGCGGGGGACGTAACGGCTTCGCGTGCGGAAGGTGTTTTTCCCAAACCTTCCAATCGGGATTTTACCATAAACCCTATGGAGAGGTGCATTTCCCGCTTGAAATCTTTCCATTTATCCTCAGGTGCGATGGACCCCGCCTTTTGCGGGAGCGCCGTTTCTTGGCGCGTTTGAGCTACGCAACCCTTTCCCAAGAGGCCGGAGACGCACTTTTGATGGGCAATTTAAGCTCATCGGGTTTGCGTGTACCTTGCTAAAAGATATCCCGCCTGTTGTTCGGCACCTTCCGATCAACCTCACCGCCGGACAGAACGTGCCGGCACACAGCCTTCTTGACAAAAAGGAGAGACATGTTGGCCACATGAAGTGGCCCGCCGAGTTGCACTCGGCCATACTACGCCCCCCTATACGGGGCCTCTCACCAGACTCTCAGCCCGCGGCAGGTCTTTGCCGGGTTGCCCAGGGTGCACCACGAAGAGGTGGTCTGTCATGCACCCTAACTAGAAGCCCAAAAATAAACAAATTCTTATCACCACTGAAGACATCTAGTGTAGCGATGCAATAAACATTTAGAAAAAAAGCAAAACGTAGAGGCCTACTATAACTACTTAGGAGTGAAATTTCTTTTACATATTTCTAATTTTCGAGGAAATCGTCGAGAGCCAAACCTCAAATTTAGCAATGTTTATTTGCAATTTTCAGCGTTAGCTACTGTTATCCATATCGCAAGGTGTTTTTCCAATTCGTGACAGCAATGATTTTTCAAATAGCTATTTCTCAAAAGTCTCTCAGGTCGCGTCCGCTCTGGAGGGTGAAAAAAAGCGTATTTTTCTTATTTAAAGAGTTGCGCTTGTGAGTCGCGTAATTTCCCTTGCGTAAATTTAACTGCATTCGGCTTCATAGTAAAGTCCTGTTTGACTCAGACCGCGATGCAAAATGAGTCGGGCCTGTTCTATCGCAATTACGTGACTCACACCTCAAAAAAAATACCGCATTTTGCCTCCTGAAATCCTGAAGCACCTGGGATTATTATACGAATATTATTTCATTTAATGTTTTGCAGGTACAGCGCACCAATTTGCTGGTCAGCCATATGCTTTTCAAATCCAACGATGCTCAGGTATACAAGGAGCTAGAGAAGTTCTCTATGTATCTCACGTTGAATGAAGTCATTTTTCGCCCCCTCGGTGTCTGCAGGTTAACGAGATCACTTGTTACTTCTGTAAGTAGACAAATAACTCAAATTTTTTCAAGAACGGTAGCTAGGGCGTAGTGGATTTTACGGTCGGATTTTAGCTCCGTCTGGGGCAATTGGGGCAGTAACCTCCATCTTACAGAAGGCCACACCACAGTAAAATAACACTACTTTTTGGTGGTGCTGTGTTTGTGTCGGTGGGTGAGTAAGGTTGCCCTGCGGGCATGGAGCACACATGGAGGTACCATGGAGCTGGACTGATGATGGGACTGGAATACGGCTGTTGGAACCTTGGACTGCCTACTATTAAACATATCGAACTTGGGCTCATTAGATTCGTCTTAACATATTCTGTTCATTTCTCCTGATGACGAGGAGCTGGCGATGGACCGGAACGTGGCTCATGGACCCTGGACTGCCTACTAGTAAACCTATCGAGTTTGGGCTCGTTACATTCGTCTTTTTTCTCTTTTTGGTCGTGACATAAACAGAATATATTACTGTTTATTTCACGACTAAAAAGAGAAAATAAATTAATAGTTTAAAAAACTAAAAACACGATTTTATTTACGGCACTAAAAAGCCAAAAATAAACAAAATATACTTTCTGTTTACTTTATTAGGGCCTTAGAGTAAGCCATGTTTATAGTTTATTTTAACATATAAGTACATAAATATACATATATATAACTGAAAAAGAGTGGGGCGCAATTCATTACAATTTTCATTTTTTCAGATCATTGGGAGCGTAGCTACGTACTTAGTGATTATAATTCAATTCCAGCTTTCGGAACAGTAAAATAGATGTAAGCACACAGTTCGTAAATAAGTCGAACGAAGCCTTAATATAGGAGAAGAGAAGAAAACTTAACGAATTTTCGGATTGAACAAGTGATCTTTCATTTTTTAAATAATATAATTATTAAATCATTTCTAAATAAACGATTGTATATACTAAATGAAAATATTTTACTATCTAATCTAATTTTGATTCTAATTAGGCATGATTTTACACAAGACCAACTTGATGTTTGTAATGGATATTTAGAGGATTTCGGAGTCTTTTCAATACTAGGCATGTCTTTATTTTATACCGTTTAAACACAAAAACTTTCCATAATTAAATATCTAAGTGATATTGAAAACAGCATCAAAATCCGATGCGAGATTTAAAAGAAAATCCTTTCCTATGTCAATGTTTACTAAATAAGTAGGTAGATAGTGTAATAGGGGTAATGACGGGGTACAGTAAACGAAATTGACGAAATTCTATTTAGTCCGTCAGTAAGATGATCAAAAAATAATGGAACATATTTTTTGCTTTGGGCAATCAACCAAAAAATGACAAAGTTATAGCTCGTCAAAGTTTGGGAGTAGGGGCTAGTGACGTCACTTTTTAGTGAATTTTCACTTAAAAGTGTACCAAAACGTGACGTCATGCGACTTTTCAAATCAATATATCTCTGTAATGTTTATATTATGTGAAAAAAGAAAAAATACGCGTCCAATACTTTTTGATAATCTACCTGATAAACGAAGAAAAAAAAATAGTCATCATCCCTATTCTTAAGTTAGCGTTAGCGTTCAAAGTTATTTAAAGGTGATTTTATAGGTACTTAACATATTGACTGTTGATGATGAAGAAAGTCCAAACAATATTTACATGCATGCATTATTTGTGAACATTAGGGATACTTTATACACCATAATGACTCCACAGGCACGGTTATTAGGGCCAGAACAAATATAATTTATCGAACATAGGTAAATTGAGTTATTTCAGTTTTATTTTTTAAAGTGAAACCTTTTTTAGTATCGTTGTGACTTGCGATTCGATGAAACGGAAGTAAAGTATTTAACACAAGATAGGTATCCGTAATTTTACCATTTACTACTTATAAGAGGCAGATAGCCGATCGGTAACGGTCTTAGAGTCGACACCAAATGCTTGGTGCTTCTTGGTGCTTCCATCCTGAGCTCGGGAAATTCTTTTAATTGTTTTTTTTTTCTTTTATTAAGCTATTATTTATTTTTCGAAACAATATGATACGATTACGGCTGAGCTTTTGTAGCAAGACTAGCATATTTAAGCATGCGTGCTTCAAATTATCTAACCTGTAAAATACAATGTCAAACGAATACCTTTTTATGTATTAAACATTTGAAAGAAGAAATAGCAATTGTAGTTATAATTTTAATTTTTTAAGCTTGTAACTGCTCGATGTTTAAATCTAAAGAAAATATTACTAGAAAAATTTCAACGCGGACCAGACATCAGACGGGACTCGAACGCGCACCCTTCGCTATCCGGTTGAATGCACTGACCATTATGCTACCGCCGCCCTGATGGCCGTTTTGAATTCTTTCTAGCCTTTCTTAAGCTGCAAGGCGGCGCCGTCTCTTTTGTGTATGGGTTACCTACAATGCGAAGAGATGGCGCTGTCCTGCAGCTTAAGAAAGGCTAGAAAGAATTCAAAACGGCCATCAGGGCCGCGGTAGCATAATGATCAGTACATCCAGCAGTAACATGCATATAATTAAAACAATAACGCACTTTTCATATTTTTTTATTCATTAAGTTATTATTTATTTTTCGAAACAATTTAGGTATAAAATAATTTATTTTGACCGAGAGAGTTGAATTTTAACACAGGTGTTGTCTTTAAGACGAACCTAGTCATGGTGGACTTTTACGTCTTTACATTTTTCTAGGTTTCACTTCTATCGCATGTCAACAGCACATGTCCGTTTTTTATTTTGAAAGTAATTCACAGAGGACTTTAACAAGAAAGGAGGAACAATGCCTCGAATTCACGGTGAGAATGCATAATATAAACACACATTTACTGTATATAAAGAATATCTATTTCACTTACACTTAGTTCCGACCGACGGACGCACGCCTATATCCCGTTCATGCCACTTCGCAGTGGATTTTGGCCATATTCGTGCAATATATTTACATTTTTTTGAAGTGAAACTTCTTTACGCACGCTTGACTTGGTGGTTAACCTGGCGAATGAGTTACGCGTTACGAATAGTGTGTTCGGGCGAGACGAACGGGAGTTGAGTGGGGGGGCAAGAGAAAACAGTGCGCGTGCACATATTTTTTCTCTCTTTCTCTTATAGCTAGTAAATGAAATATATATATGTACATACATGTATATATTGTATATATGTTACGCTCAAAGATCGAAAACGCTCAGTGAGCGGAAAAATAGCCCACAACGCGTTGTGGTCACAGTAAAGCATCCACATAGCGAAATTCGTGTTGTGGCTCTAATGAAAACGCGCACGACGCGTTGTGGCAATCACAGAAAGACCAAATAGTGAAATTCGTGTCGTGGCTGACATGCTATTCGGTCTCAACGCGTTGTGGCAATGAAGAAAAGCCATGACCCGTATGGAATTTTATTTGATTACGGCGCACACTGCTTTCCGATATGGATCCTACTAGGCCTAGGCTGGAAACGTTTTGGTAGATGTCTTTAGGAAATATTTTTTATTTTATAAAATCACTGCATAACGTGTTTGTCATTATTAAATATGTTATATAATTATATAAATTAAAATAAAACGATATTTTTTATTTATTGAATATACTTTATATTTAAAAAACAACGTATTAAGTAATAAATTACTGAACACAAAATATTAATCATTTGTAAATTACTTATAATTCACTTAAAATAAATAGGGATTTTAAATTTTCATGACAATTTAAAATTCTTTCAAGTAATAAAAATATTTGACACAAACATAAAATATGTTTATTGACCACCAATAAATAACAACAATGTACTTAAATCAATTACTTATATTAGAAATTACTATAATTGTGAAAAATAAGTATTTGATTGCTATTTATTTTTACAGGAACTATTACTGTGGCATTTTGAGTTGCATTTTATATTCTTGGAGCGACACTTGCACTTTTTATCAATACAGTATCTTTTGCAGTGGCACATTGTAAACCCTTGTAATGTCGTACGGAATTTTATTGTGGGGAAACGCCGCCGACATTCAAACTATTTTTGTGCTGCAGAAGAGAGCTATTCGATCAATTTATAATCTTAAAGTTAAGGATTCCTTAAGAGATAGGTTTAAAGAATTTGGTATAATGATGGTCGCATCACAATACATATACGAAAATTTATTACTTGTAAGAAAAAATATTAATTTGTTTCTTAAATACAGTGATGTTCACACACTTAATACAAGAAACAAAAATAAACTAACTTTACCTGCTACTAGGCTTCACAAAATCAATAATTCATTTAAAGGTCTTTGTGTTCGCTTATACAATAAATTCCCAAGCAATATCCAAGAGTTAAGCATAAATAAATTCAAAGATAGTATAAAAAAACACTTATTAAAAAAGCTTATTACAAAGTGTCTGATTATATTACAGACAAAAATGCTTGGGTTTGAACTGTTCCAATCATTCCAACAGGTTTTCTATATTAAATAAATCATGATTGTATTGACGTTGTAACAACATAATGATTTGTAAATGTTGTTACATTGTGCTTTTAATGTTGTGGAGTTTTTTTCGCTCGTTTTTCTCCGTAGCTAAAAAATATGTCCTATAACGAGTGGTAGAGAAAAAAAATGATTTGACGATTCAAAAGTGTTGTACTATACATCCAATTTGAATAAATATATATTGATTTCTGATTTCTTGCTTACTTCCAGATGATAACATAGATGCTGAGCGAAGTGTTAATGACGAAGTTCAGGACACATAGCAAATGTTAATAAAGTTAGCTTCAGAAAGTATAAACTCATTACGTGCATAAAGTCTATCGAATGTACCTTCCTTGTTTCCTAACTGGTAGAGACCTGGTGTTGCTCATAACAACACACATAACATTCCTGGGTGCTGCACGTCCTCTATCAACTTCAGGAATTCTAACTAAAACGTTAGAACCAATTTCAACACAGAGAAATTTTGAATTAGACAGTGAAACCATTTTGTTTGCCTGTTCCTGTAGACCTGATTCCTGTAGTTTCAACCTGTCCGTCGTGATATGGTTAAAACAAAGAATGCTCAGAACGCGTCATGGCTTTTCTTCATTGCCACAACGCGTTGAGATCTAATAGCATCATGAATTTCGCTATTTGGCCTTCCTGTAATTGCCACAACGCGTAGTGCGCGTTTTTATTAGAGCCATAACATGAATTTCGCCATTTGGATGTTTTACTGTGACCACAACACGTTGTGAGCTATTTTTCCGCTCACTGAGCGTTTTCGATCTTTGAGCGTAACATATATATATATAGATGGAGCTAAAGAAGTTTCACTTCAGTCGCGTGGTCACTCACACTCGTTTCTTTTATTACATCTTCACTGGCAGACATAGCGTATTCTCCTTTTATTTTGCCTTCTAAAGCAGACGGGCTACCTGATGTTAAGTAGATACCGTCGCCAATGGACGTCAGCAATGCCATTGGAACATTCTTTTTAAGTCTTAAGAGGAGCATGCTATAGTAATGAGAGAACACAGTGGAGGGAAGCTCACCTACATTATTATTGGCAGACATCAGTGTATCTCGTCCAAAGCGCCAGCGTGCATGGCTCGAGCACAGAGGCTGCTTATTAAGGGGGGTACTCTACTGGGTGCTGCGTATCTCCCAACTGGTGGGGGTGGCGCCGCTGCGGTTCCAGGCGGAAGGCAGGCAGTGGCTTGTCACTCCGTCACCTGTACAGGCGTTCATCAACAACATACGCATCATTTTTCTAAGTAAAACTTTGATTAATTTATATAAAAAAAACAGTCATTAACATTGCCTGCCTGTAGTAGGTTTATTTATTCTGATTTTTTTTATTTATTAATTCCATTCCGAGTCGAGTTACGTTAAGCGTACTTCTAAACTTGGAGTAATTTACCTGGGAGTTTGTGCTCCTGGTACCTAGCTAAAGCTGAAATTAAACGCTTAATTTTTTCTTTCATTTCCCATGCTTCATCGATGATAAACCGAAAATTAAATGTCTAAATTGACGTCCATCGGAATATGCCGTCGCGAGGAAAGCTTCCCGGCTCCCGATTGTTTTCACTAGCATCGACATGCATCTGCCAGCATTCATCGGCAATGAACGACAAGTGAAATGTCTAAACAGCGACAGCTCATTCACAGTTCATCCCTTTCGCTGTCTTGGTATTCATTCTTTAATTAAATAACACGACTATAAGTTTTTCACTCGGGATTTCTACAAGGAATAAAATATTAACTTTCATTATAAGTGCGTCCACAATAATCACAAACAATGCATTTCACTCTTCATAATTCACAAATCGTAGCAAAAATTAATTACTTTTGATGAACCGGCTAATTTCGCCTTAAGCATTAAAAAGCAATGATGGTTAAAACTAATTATGATGCTTGTTTATTGTATTGTTTAGAAAGATGGTAAAACTTTACGTAAAACTATTTCAGATATATGCAGCGTGACTGAAATTCTTCTACGGACGTACATATTTCCAAATCCACTTCTAGAATTTCCAGTCGTCGTGAACTTAATAAGTATATTAAGAATAGTAAGCACTATTTTGGGATCCGTCGTGGCTGTGTTTGGAGCGTCGTCTAGGCAAAAGGAAATGATATTGTGTCTCAATCGAATTCGTGAGGTAAAAATAAGTTAAAAAAAACAAATCAGTATACACACTCTTTATTTTTTGGCGTTTGACCACAATCTCGCCTGATGGAAAGCGATGATCAGGCCTAGGATGTTACACGCCCGCCTAGAAGATGCCAGTTCATTCTGGCCTTGAAGATGGCCAGATTATATTGGTCCGGGAAAACAGACCTCGGCAAGGAGTTCCACTCCCTAACCGTCCGCATAATGAAAGCGGAAGAACATCGCTTCGTGCGGAGGAGAAACTTCGACAACATAAGGGTGAAAGCTCTCGCCGCGCCTGGTCATCCGGTGGTGGAAAGGGGAAGGGGGGATCAAATTATGTAATACCTCCGCACACTCTCTACACGTCTTCGGTGGTCAAGGCTCTGGAGATTTGTTTTTTGATTCTGCTTCATTTCTTAATGAATACCTAAGGCATCTTGCTAAAGACCGTTGATTTACCGGGCACCGGCGACTGCGAGAAATAGTTTTCTTTGTATTGAACCGTTTGCTGTGCAAAAACAAACATATCGCGGTGTACGGAAGACACGTCCTTAACGTTCCGATAGGCTCACTTAGTTCAGTATTTTAGCTGAAAAGAAGCGTAGGCGCAGGAGAGTTCCTGCAGGAAAGCTGAGTAGCTTTCAACAGAAGTAGCATAATTTTCCTAAAATAATGTCGCTTTCGCACTTATTTTTGTTTGTCGTGTCTAAGTTTTTTTGAAGTGAAAACTTCTTTAGCGGCGTTGTACACTTTTTTGTAATGGGTACTGTTAAACTTGCGTCAGGCAGGACACGTGCCCTGATCGCGTCAGGACATGTGGCCTGATGGCGTCCGAACACGTGACCTAATCGAAAATTCGTAAGACGAAAATAATAAAACTGGAAAGGTTGTTGACTTTCAATATATTAGTATGGGATATGTCTCGCATAGTAATATTTTATTTTATCGTATTATAATAATAAGTCTCTAATTAGGACGTCCAGTTGGCAGCTTTATTGCGAAGAAAATGCATTTTTTTACAATAGATGTCGCTAGGTGCGCTTAATAGTTATTTATTATACAAGAGTGGAAAGTTCCTTTTTAACCGCGTGCTCGATTTGGATGACCGAGCAAGCGAAGGATTCTAAAGTTGAATCACGAGCGCAGCGAGTGATTCTAAATTAGAATCCTGAGCGTCAGCGAGGGAAACAAACGAGCACAAGGTGAAAAATCTTTCCACTCGAGTGCAATACGTAACTTTTCATCCCACCTCAGCGAGGAAATGACAAAATGAAAAAGAAAACAATTTATAATGACAAAATATTTAAGCAATAAAACGTGAAAAACTAGAATGGCGCGAAGCACGCAAATAAAACAAAGAAACCAAGAAGGTTCCAAATTTAAATTTTTTCACAATTTAAAAAGTTCTAATCATAAATTTGGCACCATAGAGGTTACATTAAATAGGTTTAATGACGTTTTGAATTTACAATTATATTGAGTACTCATTATATGTGATGTTCTAAATTCAAATCTACTTTGCCGCTCAAGCGAATAAAATAGAATTTTCCAGCCAGATTTCGAAGCGCAAAATTACACTTTCCGAGGTGGTGGGATGAAAATGTGATTTATGTAAGTTGATTTTTCTGAGAGATAAACTTTTTAATGTAATATAAATTGTTATGTTTGTATACGATAGCGCAATAAATAAATATTGTATTCTACCACATAAATGATAGAACTTTTATACTGATAATTAAAGCAATTCGTGCAAAATTATTCCCTAACCATTCCAAAATATCAACAAAACACAACGTTAATATTCAAGTTTTCACTTCTGCCGACAACCCGTCGTTTTTTTTCTAATAAAATAGCTATATAATGTTGTATAATGCTATCAAAATATTTTGTTACAGATTAAAAAAATCTTATGTGAAGAGAACGACATTCAATCCTCAGACAAAATACAGAAAACGGGATTCATTGTTTTTTGTCTGCTGATATTATACATGAACACGACAGAAATAATATCAAGATTGATAGTATACGATGATTTCAACGTGAAAAGTAATGTTCTTGTTTTAAGTTTTTAGGGTTCCAAAGTCAACAATCTACAAAGCACCTCAGGCTTCGTTTCTACAGAAGCGTTCCAGAAACAACATTTTTTCTTCGCTCCGCTTCAGTGGAAACACTAGCCTCTTTATCTTTACACCATTGCATCACAGCTGAACTCCGCGCAGTTAGTTCTCCTTGTTTGAATTTCATCTAGCTACGGTTTGGCCATGTCCAATAGTGAGAAGTTGCCAAACCACCGCCTACAATATTTTCACTTTCTTTTTTTTCCTCCCAGGCGGGGGATCGGTTGTGAAATCTTCATGGATACCCTACAGCCGGCTGCAGGGTTATGTTAGACTCTTACTGACTAAAACACAGCCGTCATCTGAGAAGGGGATGATGCAGCGCTGTCTTAGTTAAAACTATTGCATAATGCGCTAGAGGATGGGTGCACTCTTATGTGCAATTGTGCACCAGTATCGGATTGAGACTGAGCGACTGAAGGCTTTTCAGGATCGGTAATTTTACTATCTGCACCGGAAAGTTTAGCAGGTGGCGCATTCTACGTTTTTTCTTTCGGTTCCAGGCCAAAAATACTTTCAAGTAAAATTTTCTAGACTAAATTATATGTACATAAAATAGCTAGTTGTGTAGCTACTGTCAGTGGCTTCTAATATCCTATTGTTGCAGTGATGTTTTTGTTTTTGCTCCTGTGTTACCAGAACACTTGCGCAGCAATGTACTTATTGACTATGCAGTTTGTATACGTCACTATACAGATACGTTCTGGGTTGAAACTTCTGAATGATCGTCTGCAACGCATTTATATGTCAAAAAAATCGAGTAAGCAGGTTTTTTTTTACTTTACTAATAATTTCATAGGTTTTGGAGTAGATCACTTCACTTCAGTTTTGACTCACCGTCACTTGGCAACGAGGGTTTTAGTGGGAAGGCCCACTACTTAGTGTTGACCTAATCTCCTGTAACACAAAATAGACTATCTATTTTGTGCATCTAAACCCTTCGCTTTGTCCAGCGGTAGGCTGTATGCGTCCAGGGCCGGATTTAGAGGTTTGGAAGCCTGGAGTTACGAAGAAGTGGAGACCTGCAATTCTTTGTGTAAAGAAACAAAAAGAGGAGCGAGAACTTTTCTGTAATAATTATTAAAAAAATAAAAAACACGACTGCCGTGCTTGGCTTGAACTAATAAATTTTCTAGTATTTATCTCATTTTACAGGTAAACCCGTTTAATGATTCCACTATATTTTTATATATTTGCTATGGTCTCATTAGGATCTTTCAAATGATAGGTATCATTTGCAAGATCCTAATGAGACCATTGTAATAATTAGAAGACTTTTTTTTAATTGATGTAAATAGGTAATTGAAATTTTGACAGTGGGCCCAATTCTGGCGTGATTCTCTAAACTTAAAACTAAATTTAACATCAGTCTCTCCTTTTCATTCTGTATAGAGAATGACAAGGATATACTGTTGTCAAATTTAAGTTTAGGTTTAGAGATTCATGCTAGAATCGACACCATTGCTGTTATTTCAATTTTAACAGTTTAGGTATTCTATATTACCCGGGCTAGTAAAAGGATTCTAACGATACTACACACATCTTAATCTGTTCAGGCGTTTAGATGTTATGGTGGAATAAAGAATTGTACACACATACATATATGAACCCTGAAAAAATTACACTCTGTTTTTGGGCAGTCGTGTAAAAGGACAATTATATCATTGTATCTACATAGCATAAGTAGTTTATCTAACGGCCTTTTAATTTCTGGTTGTAGGTTTAAGAAAAATATATTTAATCGATTGTGCGATAACGTTAAACAAAAAGTCTATTAGAAATCATAAAAGCACAATATTATGGTATGATGGGCAGATAAAACTGTTTTCTCACAGGTACTGAGATAGTAGAAATATCAGAAGTTGACAGAGAAGTGATCAAGGATATAAACGAAATGTATCATTCGTTCCCTGATATGATCAAGCAGCTGGACAGCACATTTGGTGTGCATGTCGTTTTACAGACAATAATGTGCTTTATAAACATTGTGCTCTTTGCATATTTGAAAATCGTAGAGGAATGTAAGTACTATTATTTACCTACATGTTACCCTACCCTTAAGCGCAGGGGCCGGATTTAGAAGTGTGGCCCTTAACGTGGGCGTATTTAAAAATTAGGCACCCCTTCCCTTGTTGGTGTTCCCAGAAATTAGGACCTGTCGAAATTTGGTTATTTTTATTTGCCCCCTGGGGCCACCGCTCCTGCCTGCCACCTGGGGGATCAATTGCCTAACGGGATTGCTATGGGTATCGCTATCGCTTACGATTTTGTTTCGTTATTTCTGACCACCGATGGCTATAAGGTTAAGGTTACCTCACGCTCATTTTCTTTAATATTGTTATTTATTTATTTATTTGATTAGGAACACATACAGCTATTACCAATGCAAAAGAAAAAAAACGAGCGCGAGAAATTTGAAAACCTTCAGCAGTCAGAAATAACGAAATGAAATCGTAAGCGATAGCGATAGCCATAGCAAACCCGTTAGGCGTTGGCACTCTGCTCTGCCTTAAATCCGGCCCTGGTTTAACATTTGGATTTGTTATATCATCAAAACTTAATACGCTTTGCTCTTTGCTTTCAACATTTAAAGATTCAAATATATATGGGTACCTAATAATTTTGTGTAATACTAAAAAATATTTTGAATTTTTTCTACAAAAATAATTAATTATTCTGAGTAATGTGTATTTTTTGTGTCTGTGTTTGTTTAGTGAACGATTCTCCTAAACATTTTATGCAACATCGTATAAATTACATCATTCTGCACTTCTCACTGTTGATGGTGATGATGGAGACAACCCACGGACTATTTTGTGAGGTAAAATATTTAAAGTTTATAAATAAATAAATATTTCTAATACATATTCACTTCAATTAGCCTAGACCCAAAATTAGCACTGTAGTGCTTGTTTTATTATGGAGATATTAGGGTGAATACATATATACTTTATACATATGTAAGTACAATTATAATTATCTATAATTATAATAAATAATTAACATCCATGACTTAGGTACAAATGCTCGTATTTATCACACTAATATTTGCCCAACCGGGATTCGAACCCCGGACCTCTGAGTAGGCGACCCCTCTAAACCCGGTATACATACTCGATTATTGAGGTCGACCAAAAGTTTCTTATTTCATAAGAAAGATCTGATCCAGAGAAACAGTTACTCAGTATAATAATTTTCCTATGTCTCGATGGTGCGCCAGTCATCTTTACTTTGACAGTTAATTAAACGTTGGTAGCGCTTTCATTAAGTTAGTGATATAAAGTCAAAGTCATTGCACATACAACTCTTGAATCGTCCAAATTGTTTTACGTCGGTACACTTAGCGAATGAAGTTTCATGAATCACATGCTATCAAGTTGCTTTATTGGTACCTTGAGTTCAGTTGAGTTGAAACCACTGTTCAAGTTTCATCACTATAAAAGCTAAACGGCGGAGAGCAAACTAAAGCCACATCAGTGATATCAACTTTATTTATTTATTTTAAACTTTATTGACCAAAATGCAAGAGAATGGTACAAAAGGCGGACTTAATGCTAATAGCATACTCTCCCAGCCCACCTTAGGGGGAAAAAACGCGGACGGCGGTATTAAACTAAATATACGAGTACACATAAATATTGATATATTAAATAATATTAAAAATATATATGAATTAACACTTTAACGGATGTTGTTGTCGTATGTCCAGTGGGCTCGCACCAAAAGCGAGGTAGGGCAGCTGGCGAGCTTGTGCCGCCACCCTCGCGCCGCCGACCAGCTGGCTGCCTTCCAAGCGGGCCTCCGCCTCAGCGACATGACTTACTCCATCACAAAACTGCACTCACTTTCCAGAGTTCAGATATTGGAAGTAAGTTAATCCTAGAAGATAGGGTATCCTCCTTGGTAGAGAAGTGAGCAGCCAAATGACATTATTATGTAGTGTTGGGTTACTTCAATGGAGGTTAGAGATAAGGAGAATGATCGCTACGTACTAAAGCATTAGCCCGCCTGCCCTGAAAATTTGTAGAAATTATAATTCATTTTTCAGCCACCAGCCGCGCTGCCGTCGGTAAGCAGTATCTGTGAAGTTAGCTGTTTATTTATGGTTGCTTTCCAATTACAGAGCATAATGCGACTCAGTGCCGCACAATGCCGAATTATGCTGATGCTTAATTGGAACGTGAATTAGTTTTCAAATGCACCAGCAGAGTGTGCTAAGTTCAGTGTTGAAAAAAAAAGTCAATGTTTGTACCTTCATCCATATTTATATAATTTTTTTTAACACAGTTTGAATTAACTTTGATTATTTTAAAAAAACTATAATAAAACGAAAGTTTTAATAATTTTTCAACAATAAATAATATTACTAACGATAATATATAAATAAAACATTTCGACCAATGCCAACTTAAAGAAAAAACACTTGTTAATTTTCTGTCTCTGAGTTGGTACGATTGCACGCATCACACGAAAGCATTACTTTTGAGAGTGCTCGTTTGTGCAAAGCATTGCTGTAGTTGAAACACTCAACGTTAAGCATTATGCCGCATAATGCGCAATAATGCTGTTATTGGAAAGCTACCTATGGTAGCTTGGAAAGCTACCTATGGTAGCGTGGAAAGCTACCTATAAATAGTTTTTTTAATAATCAAAGTTCATTCAAACTGTTAAAAAAATAAATATAAGTATGGATGAAGGTACATACATTGCCTTTTTTTCAACACTGAACTTAGCGCACTCTGCTGGTGCATTTGAAAACTAATTCACGTTCCAATTAAACATCAGCATAATTCAGCATTGTGCGGCACTGAGTCGCATTATGCTCTGTAATTGGAAAGCAACCTATGAGTACAAGTAGATGAACTTAGTTGAATATTGTACAAATTTTCTTCGCGGCATTGGTCACCTAGCGATCGCAGCGCTTCACTTATTTTGTTCATATTTCTGGGATACTATTTTCTAGTGATCGTTCTCCTTCTCTCTAACCTCCATGGCACGGTAATATTATCTATTATTACCGTGTCCATGGTTACACAGACATATAACTAGTATGTGTCTGTGCATGGTTACTACTTCAACAGATCAATGTCTGATCAATCGTTATTTAAGTATTTAGGTTTCTCACTATGTTGAACGAAATATTTTGTTTCCAGATATGCAGTAACGTCGCCGCATACATATTGGTGATTGTTAGTTTCCGAGGGCATACATAAAGTTACATATTTAAATGATGCATCAGTGTGATAGATATAAGTAATATAATTTTGTCTAGTGAAATTAATTTTCTTCTTTGTAAACAAACGTATATAAATAAATACTTACTTCTAGGTTTGTACTTTCATTCTAGGTACTTATATTTGGGGGGGGGTTTGCATTATGGGGCAATCCTTTACCTCAAAATGGGCTGACATCAGTATTTCTGACCGCCGAAGGTTTTCAAATGCCTCGCGCTCTTTTTATTTCTTTTGCATTGATAATAACAATATTAAAGAAATACTACTATAATTAGGTATTGGTGTCGATTCTGGCATGATTCTCTAAACCTAAACTTAAATTTGACAACAGTGTATTCTTTTCATTCTCTATACAGAGTGAAAAGGAGAGACTGATGTTAAATTTAACTTTAAGTTTAGAGAATCATGCCGGCATCGACACCATTACGTAGTTAAATATTCCGTACAAAAATTACTTTATTATTTAATAGCCAACACTAGCCTCAAGTATGCTGTGTGGGATGCTAGGTTATCGAATAGTTACATATAATTTTCTGGATAAAAGTGTAAATAATACTTACTATATACTATGTACTAACACAGAAATGAATTGCCATGAATTAAGTGCAAATGCTCTTATTTATCGTACAAACATTTGCCCCACCGGAATTCAAATCCAGGACCTCTCAGCAAGTAATAATTTGAAAACCTGCGTACATACAACCAAATACTTTAGAACCGGAGAGTCAGTAGTAGAACTCGGTGGAGTTTCTATAGTATTTGATACAACTCACACCATGGAGGTTATTGTCATTAATGCTATTAAAATTGCAGAATGGTTTAAATATGCTTGTTAAAATTATAAAGACTGACGGTTTGAAAATAAGAAAAACTCTAATTATAACTTGATATTTAAACTTGGCTGTGACAAAGAATCCTTTGCCTTATATATTTAAAATAAACTTGTATTTTTTTTAAGTTCTCGCACCAATCAACAAGGTAAAGGTTGTTACTAAACACTCCATACATCCTAGTTTTAATGTAAATTTCCATAAAGATCTTATCTTAAACTGATGATGAGCAAAATATTAATCAGAAATAATACCGAATATAATACAAGATATATAGCATATACTTACTTTACTCTTTAATATATACTACAATTGATTATGCCGGCACTTCACTCGGTTGTTTGTATTTGCTATTGGTAAACTTGACAACAATCTGTCCTTATTATGCTTTGTAGAGTGTTAGAACTGTAAAAACTTTATTTTATAGAATGTTGTTTTTTAGTTTTATTATGAACAATATGTGACAATGCTGCCTGGTCCGCGTGGATTTTTTTCTAGTAAACTTTTCTTTAGATTTAAATATCTAGCAGTTAAATGCTTAAAAATAAAATTATAAATATGTGACAAGTTGAAAGAAGTGTTAATAAATTCGTTGAGCACATTGCACGTCTTTTCCATTGTATATTTTCAGCATACTAATTATTAATCAGTTAGTTAAGTTAGTGTGAATTAATAAGAATAAATAGATTTCACTTAAGAAATGAAAAGGCCAGACGACTGTTAAGTGTACAAATAACAAACACGAATTACCAAGTGTAGTGCCGGTTTTACTTTAGTTTTTCTATGTCTGTGATTATAATTTATCACTTTTTTGCTATGGCAACATAAAACATGTTTTCGCGAGAAAACTGTGAGAGCATTGTGAATGAATTTTATTTTGATCGTGAAATTACTATGAAATAATAGTGAATATACGTCTTTGTGTAATAATATTGCAGTGTTCTATGTTTTATGTGACTTCTGTGTAAACTGCCATCCAAGTGGAGCTGCTAAAGAGACTTCTTGCCATGGCAGGCCCGTCCGACGGGGAACCCGAAGGATGGGTCGAGTTCTGTGAGCGTCAGGCGAAAACCGCCGCCCAGGACTTTGCCAAGGCATGGATACAATACATACACCCCGGGGGCAACGACCCAACCGCCCGCCCACCGGTCACCAACAAGGAAATCGTAAAGAAATTCTGCGAATGCTTCACCGACCAATTCGAGTTTGAAGTGGTGAAATTAAAAACATCACACAAATTACCGAATGGAACGCACACAGGGCACGACGAGAGCGACTATTCGGAGGATACTGATTCTCCTAAAACACAACACAAACCGTTCTTCAGGAGGTTATCTTTCAAAGGTCTTAGGCGTGGTAAAGGATTGTTCCACAAACAACACTCTGACGAAGTAGAATTATCGTCAAACCTAAACAAACATAACAAGACTAAGCTAGCTAAGATAGTTGTAGAATGTAGGAAAGAGGGCCTGGTAAATTATTTGACTCCAGAGAGCTTAGAGCAACCTGGTGGTCCACAGAAATGGGAGAGATGTAGACTGGCTTTAGTGAAGACTGTTGGTGGATATATGCTCGAGTTTTATTCTCCACCAAAAGCTCAAAAACCTCGTAGTGGAGTATTTTGTTTCTTAATATCTGAAGCAAGAGAAACTACTGCCCTTGAGATGCCTGATCATGAAAATACTTTTGTATTAAAGGTATGTGTTATAAATGTATTGATCAAGATCCTTCCTCTATTCCTCAAGATCTCTATAGTAAATTGTCCATTTGTCATGGTGGTATTTTAGTTGGCTAAACCATACTTTCTGGGCCCAGTAATAAACATTTTACACTAGGTTAGGTCATTGTTGTGATCATATTGATCTGATAAAAAACTTGGTAAATGGACACTTTTCAATATAAAATTGTGAAGTGTCAACTCCTGGACCTAGAAAGTACAGTTTTATTGTTTTGTCTTTTATTTAACAACCTAAGTATATTATGTTGAATGTAGCATTTTTTTAATATATTTTTTTTGTTTCTATAATCTGTACCTGCATGTGATGCTGATGTACGTTTTTATCTTAACACATGCAAAATCAATCAAAATAATGTGTGCCTCATATTGTGTGTAAAATTCATTTATAGTTTTCTTATCATTAGGAACAATTCAAATCAATTAAAAAGGTAAAGCAATCACGATTGAACCTTTTTTATTGATTAATACGCATTTTATATTTCAGGCAGACAACAATATGGAGTATGTTATAGAGGCTGCTGATGTGGATGACATGAAGTCATGGCTAGCTACGATAAAGTATTGCATGCGATCACCGCCTACCACACAGCCGCCACCCGATGCTCTACCAGGAATGCCAGAGCCCGCTCCACCTGACCTGCCACCACGAAGAGATCTACCCACTAGTTCTAGTAATGTAGACTTAGCTACCGATACTCCTGAAGAGGCTGAATTAGGTATGGAGAACTGAGCCCCAACACAAATTTTGACAGCTTCGTAAACACATTGCAACAACAAATATTTGACGATACAATTACGGAACTGTCAAAATTTGTTCTTGGGCTACTGTACATAGTTATTTATAATTTTTTTTTAATTAACTTACCTATGAATGTTAAGCAAAAAACTGCTAGATATCTTAAGATTGTTAGTCTGGTAAACTTTCTTGAGATATTTTAACACTTATCAGAAAGATAAGGAAATATTTTACTTCAATCATCAGAAATGTGTCATCATTGAGGAGTGATTATGGATGATATAATTAGTAAGTAAATATTCTTCAAATTATGTTTCTATCATTTGTGGAACACTGTACTAAAGTGCTTACATAAGTGATTAATTTAAAGAATGCTGTTTAAAGATAAAGTTTGTTTTGTCAAATATCATAATGATGATTCATAAGAATCTGTGTCTTATAATTCTTTCAATCTTTTGCATGTCAACCAAGGCTGATGTACAAATATGTCAATAAGATGTGCATGCTTTTATAATAATTTATAAGCATGCGTAATTGCATACTATCAACCACTTGATGGGTGCAGTTTTATACACCAAAATAACTTTTATTCATTCAGTAATTAGTGCTTTGTTCTATGATAGAATAAAATGATTGTTGCCTATAGTTATTTTTATTTGCTTATTTATTAAATTATAGGCAAACAGCACTTCACTGTTGAGCCTATAATATATCATGTAGTGTTGAAATATTTAATTCTTTAATTTTTTCTGTTTACATTATCTTCTCTTACTTAAAATAGTTTTCCTCGAGATTAGCACAATATTCATAAGGATTGAAAGCTTTTAAAATTGAAATATTAATGATCCTGATTGCGCCACTTCACATAGCTATTTGTATTTGCCATTTGTTATGTTGACAGCAGGTTGTCCTTAACATACTCTAAGGAGTAAAAAAAGTTGTCAAACGTATGAGGTCTCAATACTCTGTGTGGAGCCACAGGTATGTGACACCATTTGGATGACCCTATCCCTATGAAATCAGTTATCATTAAGCCAAGACTCACATATAACGATTGTCCGTCTGTTACGTCTTAACAGCACAGCACAGCAACACAGCTTTAGTTTATTTTTCTGTTTGGTTACGCATCATGCGGCCAGTCCATCTTAATTTTTGCTGGTCTATTTGGGTCAGGATGTCAGTTACTTTGATCTTCTGTCTGAGATCTTTGTTTTTCCATTTATCCCTTTTTGTTATTCCTAACATACTCCTCTCTACCAGTTAGTTTAAAATAAACATTCGCGCCAGGTTCAATAGCCGAAGAGGGCTGCGAGTCGTCCCGCATCTCGCTGGCGGAGTGGCCATGGTTCCACGGCACGCTGGCGCGGTCTGCCGCCGCCGCGTGCGTGCTGGCGGGCGGGGCGTCGGCTCACGGCTGCTACCTCGTGCGGCAGAGCGAGACTAGGAGGGGCGAATACGTGCTCACCTTCAATTTCCAGGTGAGGGGAGAACAGTATATAAATTTAATCTGTCTGTCCAACTATTTTTAATAAATTAAAAATATACATAATGCAATGATAAACCTGAATAGGAACAGCTTAATTATGGGAATTCAAATGATTCATGAAAGTGTGACCAACAAATAAGTAAACTGGCTTTCGCATTCCTGATGGTAATTAGCATATTGTACCCTTAGCACGAACCTATATCGAATTCGAATAGTTTGTCAATGTCAAATTCTGTATGGAAATTTGAACAGCAGCGCCACAACCGACGTGACGATTCAACTATTTGAATTCGATAATGGTTCGTGTTAAGGGCTATGCTAATTACCATCGGAAATGCGAAAGCCAGTTTTTTTATTTATTGGTGACACTGTTATGCCTCATTTGAATTCCCATAACTAAGCTGTTTCTATTCTGGTTTATCATTCCATTTTGTTTACTTTTTTATTTATTAATAATAGTTACACAGACAGATTACATTTATACATAAAATTTGAAGCTTTTGTCCTCGAAATACTTGAAATTTTCTTACTACGTGGATGTTAACTACTGCAGAACAGATGCAGTTGTGATTGTGACTGATGGTTTCCGAAATATGAAGGAACTATATGTATATAATAACTATATGTTGACCGGTCATTACGAAAGATGTTTAACTTCAATATTCTCTAAACATTGTGACTTCATCATTCACCTGTAAAGTTCTTATAGTTTTTGTTGATTATTCTTTTGAGTAATGATCTGAAAACGGCGTTGTGTCTAAAACAAACTGAACGGCCCGAACTTTGCGAAAGGCGTCCTGTTTTACTTAGCTCACAAATAACGTCTGCTACACTTCACGTGATTATTCGTATTTGCTATTTGTAAACTTGACTAAAGTCTATCCTTTTCACTCCCCATATAGTATGATAAGGACAGGCTGCTGTCAAAATGACAAATGTCAAATAAAAATAGCCATGTGAAGTTCCAGCATAAGCTAAAAAATGATTTGACCATCTACTTTTTATTCTCTATGAATCATTTATTTAATTATTTATTAAGGACAGCCAACAAAACAAACACCAAATAACAATACAAATTGAGAAAGAAAACAATTCTTAGTGCTGCCTTACTTAAAGGCTTGCTTGCATACATATCCCTTGCAGGGTTGATGGAGTGACAAGTTTTTTTTTGTGTACAGGGCAGAGCGAAACACCTCCGAATGACCCTCAGCGACTCAGGCCAGTGTCGGGTGCAACACCTGTGGTTCCCGAACGTGCACGACATGCTGGAACATTTCCGAGCCCATCCCATCCCCCTGGAGAGTGGGGGGGCCGCTGACGTCACGCTGACAGAATACGTCGTGTGCCAAGACGGCGCCAGGCAGCAAGTGAGCCTAGCTACCGGCGCGTAGACCGTGCTTTCCACTCTCGATTGTTCGTTGTAGTTCCGCTAGTCGTCAATAGATGGCGTTAGTTTAGTAGCCTGTGTGTTAGAACTTGCACGATATTCTGAAACCTTTTCGGGCGCATCTGATCCGTCTGCAGGATGGAGGGGTTGTTGACGTTACGCTGACAGAATACGTCGTGTGCCAAGACGGTGCCAGGCAGCAAGTGGGCCTAGCTACCGGCGCGTAGACCGTACTTTCCACTCTCGATTGTTGGTCCTAGTTCCGCTAATGGTCAATAGATGGCGTTAGTTTAGTAGCCTGTGTGATGGTTTTAGAAATTGCACGATATTCGAAACATTTCAAGCGCACTCGATCCCTCTGCAGGATGGAGGGGTTGGTGACGTCACGCTGACAGAATACGTCGTGTGCCAAGACGGCGCCAGGCAGCAAGTGAGCCTAGCTACCGGCGCGTAGACCGTGCTTTCCACTCTCGATTGTTCGTTGTAGTTCCGCTAGTCGTCAATAGATGGCGTTAGTTTAGTAGCCTGTGTGTTAGAACTTGCACGATATTCTGAAACCTTTTCGGGCGCATCTGATCCGTCTGCAGGATGGAGGGGTTGTTGACGTTACGCTGACAGAATACGTCGTGTGCCAAGACGGTGCCAGGCAGCAAGTGGGCCTAGCTACCGGCGCGTAGACCGTACTTTCCACTCTCGATTGTTGGTCCTAGTTCCGCTAATGGTCAATAGATGGCGTTAGTTTAGTAGCCTGTGTGATGGTTTTAGAAATTGCACGATATTCGAAACATTTCAAGCGCACTCGATCCCTCTGCAGGATGGAGGGGTTGGTGACGTCACGCTGACAGAATACGTCGTGTGCCAAGACGGCGTCAGGCAGCAAGTGGGCCTAGCTACCGGCGCGTAGACCGTGCCTTCCACTAGATTGTTCGTTGTAGTTCCGTTAGTGGTACCTAGATGGCGTTAATTTAATAATGAGTGTTGCACGAATTGCTGGAACATTTCCGTAACAAAATTTACAGTACAGTAAATGTTGTTACATTATACTTTTAATGTTGTGGAGTTTTTATTGTTCGTTTTTGACTACAGCTAAAACATGTCCATTAACGAGTGGTAGGGAAAAAAATCTGGACGATTTAAATGATTTGCGCTATACAGTGGAGCCCCGGTAATTCGGCCCCTGGCTAATGCGGCACCCCCTATAATCCGACATCGTCTATTACATACAAGTATTCGCTAATTCACGATTGAACAAGTTACAACTTGTATGCACCATCACTATTGTGCTCGACGCGTAGAGTATTGTTTTTTTATATTTTTTTGTAAATTCTATAGCATTAATGACGTTACTTTTATAATGAAACGTAATCTTTTTACTTTTTTACTTAGGCAGTACTCTATAATCCGACAAATTCGATAGTTCGACACTGCCCTGCAAAATGTTTGTCGGACTACCGGGGATCCACTGTATATCCAATTTGAATGAAGATATATTGATTTCTGATTTTTGAGTAGTGGCAGGCGTTTCGCCAAATAGCACCGTGAGCCATCCCAGTTCCAGTAGACAGTTTCTACTCTCGATTGTTCGTTGTAGTTCCGCTAGTGGTCGGTAGATGGCGCTAGTCACACTATGATAGCTTACAAACTTGCACTTGTTAGTAGTATCTACAAAGCGTCATGGTTTCTGAACTTTGCTGATTGCTATAGCATTCCTCAGCGCACCTGATCCCTGTCAAGAGTAGTGGTTCACGTCTCATCACCGATTATAGTCGTGATGATCCTAACGTAAATACATTCTACTATCGATTATTCCTTGTAGCGCTGCTGGTGGTACCTAGATGCCGTTAGTTTACAGTGAGTATATTATAGTTACTGGAACATTTCCATCCCCTTGGAAAGCGGGGAGGGGGCCTGCTGATGTCACGCTTACAGAATGCGTCGTACCAAGACGGCGCCAGGCAGCAAGTGAGCCTAGCTTCTGGCGCATAGACCGTACTTTCCACTCTCGATTGTTTCGACGTTGTAGTTCCGCTAGTGGTACCTAGATGGCGTTAGCTTAGTAGAATGTGTGATAGTTTTCAAACTTGGACGACATGCTGCTGGAGCATTATTGTCCAGAGAGCACCGGATCTCCTTAAAAGTTGTGGCGCTGCTAACGTCTCACCGAATATAGTCGTCAGTGAAACAAAGCTTCTGGTCCGTAGAAGGCGTTAGTTATACTTGTTTTTTTGGATAGGAAGTGATCTTCACTGTGAGCTGTGCAATTATTCTTGAGACTACGAACTGTTCATTTTGTTCAATGTATCTGATTTTGTATCGCATATGTAATATATGAAGCGCATAGACTATAGTGGAATACAATTGAAGCTGACTTCACACAAATTAACTCAATCCAAATACAAACTTAAGTTTTCTAGAGGCGGCCCGCTGGTCAATGTAGTAACAATCTTTCCTATCTATTATAGTCGTAGTAATGGTATCTATTACTAATTAGGACGAAAACCATCTGCCAGCCCTCAACAAGAAAACCGGTACCGTACCATATGATACAGCGATTAATCGACACTTAACTGTCAAGGTGCAACATATTTTGACATCCGATGGTGACATATCATTGAACTTTTATAGTAACTTCCCATAGGAACAATCGAGAATGGAAAATGTCTCACATCTAGCAATGAGTCTTATGTATGTACTTTGTATTTATTGCTCAAGTTTAACTTTGTTTGAGCCCACCAATGGGACATCAATGTTTTTCCTTTATTTCTCATGCGGCACTTCACTTGGCTATTCGTATTTGCTATTTGTGGACTTGACAACAGTCTGTCCTTGTCATGCTTTATAAGGAATGAAAAGGATAGACTTATGTCAAGCAAACACGAATAGTCAAATGATCTTTGTAAAATGAGTTATTGTGGATGCTTATAGAACCATCCAATAATAATAATATATTAATTCATCTAAGGGTTTTAGTTAACTCATACTTTAGACATAAAATGCGTATGCATATAAATATATATGCAACTTTGAATTTATACCAGAGATTGTAAAGAGGCATTTAATTTTAAATTCCCACCGAAAGTTGAAGTCTTTGCAGTAATTCAAATCGGGAATGCGAAAGAGGGGTATTTATTTTCTTGATACCAAAATGAATTAGATTCTTCTATTCTCTGTTAATATAGTACAATATTTTTTCTAATTATTTAATTTGCCGTTTATGCTGTCGAGAACCATGTTAAAGCGAAAATAGCTTGCACCCATTTCTGGTAGCTTATAGAGTTTGCTCCAATTAGTTAAGTCGAGTCCAGAGCAATGAGGATCATTACTAGGTCAGCAAATCAACTCAAAATGAACAGTATAATGATCTAATAAGCATTTTAATTAATATAGTTTTTAAATCATCGTAATCGGTTCATTCGTTGCGATTTTATGGTAGCCAATGTTCACCGGCGACCGAAACGTGTGACGTCATAGAGTTCGATCGTGGTTCACTCAGGTCGAACTTCAATAGCGTCTACGCACGCTCGCGCTCGAGCGCTAGAGCTCTGTGACGTAACAGCCATCACTCGGCCAGCTGAAAATTCGTTTAGTAATTTGGTTATAACTTCGTCATTATTTGTCGTAGAACAAAAATTTAACCACTGTATTCCTTCTCTATAAATCTGCATTCTCAACTAAAATCGCTACGGATTCTCATTATCGAACATAACGTAAATTTTGGAACGATTGAACGAAAAGCCTTGTGTGTTTTAATTTTGATAAAACAGAGTGGGCTCATCTGCGTGAATTACATATTTTTAGTAAGTCATAAAAACATTTAAATACTCTCAACACTTAAAAAAATAGAATAGTAATAAATAAGTTATTAGTTTCAGTGGAAGTATCTATTTAAATACATGAGAATGACAAAGATAAAAACAGCTTCGTTAATTTACACTTCCAATAGAGTATGCTTCTATAGTTGATAGATCTGTAGATAGTAGTTTTTAGTGCATTTTGCTTGGCTCGACAACTTACGTATAAAAACAAGTAGACTTCCAATCGCTCAACAAAAGTGCCTCAAAAACGTCCAAGCGGCGCTGTATTTTATATATACACATCAACATAGATATAATTATTCTCATTAATCTAAGTACATCAACTCATACAGATAACATTAACACATTTGTTTAAATGAACACGTTTTGTCGTGGCACTAAGGTATAATTTTGATTGTTTAAGAGAGAGAAAAAGACAGTTTCATCACGTGACACATGCGGGTAGCTAATAAAATGTAATGAAATTAGCAATACGGTAAAAAATGCCAAGATAGTTGCGTAATTCTATTAGTTTAAGGGACAATTACCTGAAATACGACGTAAATTTAAAAAAGTGTGTATTGGTGTCATTTGCACATATTTTAACCGAAAACTTAGTCATTGCGAGGCAATGATTGCGCTACGTTATAGTCAAAGCGAGTCGTCGAAACACGACTGTTTGAAAATTACGCCCTATTGACGCTGGGGCGTAATTTTGATTCCGACACTTCATGGAGCGCGATTGTGATTCTACTTATTTTTATACGACAATGGGCTCAACACTGTGTTTTGCATGTGATTCAATAGACAATGTCATTATTATTATCATTTAACAGTTGACAATTAAATATCTTTGACAGGCACCTAGTAAATAGTTAAAAAGAGCTTTTTTTTTCAAGCACATCTAATTGTAATGTAAACATTTTCTTTTTGAAAATCCTTTTATATTTCTGTTTTGTTCAATTTTGAAAAGCTTTAATTTTGCACGTTTTTTTTGTTTTACGTCCTGAATGGACTGTACTGTTTTTAAGCTTTCTTTGTGTAAAAAAACCCGGTCAGTTCTCGTTATAATTGCGAACGAAAAATATTTATTCAATAAAATAATTAAAAATGCAAACATATTAATAATATTTCTGATTAGAGATGTTTTATAATTGTTTAAGAATTAATTAAGATCTCAAACTCATTAAATGGATTATAAAGAAAAAAAAGTCGTCAAGTTATTTTGCATGGTAAAACACATGTAAATTTTCACCTGACATGTAAAAAATATTTATTTAGTTGCATAATTTTTTATTTTATTTTCATGCATTGATTTATGGTTTTGCTTGTTGATGATCTTCTTAGCGGTTGGTAATTTTAAAGATTACCAAAAAATAGGACTATTTACTAAATCTACTCAACTCATTTTATAAACTTTAATGTGTAGTATGTTATCACAAATTTGTAACGCCTATTAATATTTTTAAATTATATTTAATTATTATGTAGAAATTTAGTTGTATTCTGTTCGTGAATGTTCATAATTATTTTGCCCTTTTAGAATATTTCATCAAGTTTTCATTGTAATACACTCGGCGTCAAAAAAATCGCACCTCCACGAATATAACTTTCAAGCGTTATTAACACACGCATTTACCCCCACGAATATTGGTGTCATTTGAAAGCCCGTTAAATAAAATTCAATTAAGGCCTTGCAGCTTAAGGCTAGGAAAATTTCGACGCGGCTAATAGGGCCGTGGTAGCATAATGGTCAGTGCATTCGCCCGGATTGCGAAGGGTGCGGGTTCGAGTCCCGTCCGCTGCCTGGTCCGCGTGGATTTTTTTCTAGTAAACTTTTCTTTAAAATTCAATTAACTTTTATTTTTTATTAGAATAGTGCAAAAAACAATAAAGTTTACAATACAATAAAAATCCTTAATTAAGCCTTAATTCAAAAACAGACGGTTGGATAGCGAATAACCCCCATTTTGTTACTATTTCGAATGTGGAATGTGCGCGGGCCGTTAACAAACGGGACGGTCGTTGATGTCGGTTTTCCCCCTTCCTAACCCCCATTGAACCTGTATTAACCCTTTTATACTCACTAAAGGTAGCGCAACTAGTGACCCTTTTGAGGAGCAAAATTGGCATATTTTTTTAAAATCACATTTGTGGTGTCAAGCTTTTTTTAATGAAATGAACTGAGTTTTTTTTAAGTTTATTTAATGGGGTTTCATATGACATCAATATTGGTTAAGGGTTAATAACGCTTGAAAGTGTACTTTGGCGGAGGTGCGATTATTTTGACGCCGAGTGTAGTTAATTGTCGTTTCTACAGATTTTCCATAATAAAAGAATAGTTGTATGTCTATGTAAAGATGTAGTTTGAAATCTTTTTAATTTGCATTGCATGTAAATGATATACACTTAGAGCATATAAAACTACTCGGAAAACAATAAGTATTTTCCGACTTTTTATTTTAGAAGTTACTTTTTATTTTGCAATATTTCATTTTTTGTCTTGTTCTTATGTGTTTCACTATAGTAGATCCACAGACCCAGATTGAAGTAGACGACGCATTTACTTCAAATTGTACGGAAACAAGCTTATCAGATTTTGAGTAGGTCACGAGAACAAATAAGTGATTAAATAGCATGAGCCCCTGTCAAATGGAAAAATCCTAATCTAAAAGATGAAACGGAAATGCGTCACCAGCGCCACACGACCACATAATATACCTTTATATATGTGTGTGTGTATAGGATGCGCGTAGCTCTTCCCGACGAGCATGAAAGTAATTAGTAACTCGGCGAAGGCTGAAACGCTACGAGCGTCACACGTGACAATAGGGTATTTGACAAGTTTTAGAAAACGATCTCACGTTATTGACTTATGTTTATGGAGTCCGTAAAAAGTGGATATTCATCATTCTGTTGTGTATTTCAGTAAAAATAATCAAATCAAAAACTCCATTTTCAAGTTGTCGCGAAAACGTTTTTCTGGACAATATGGCGTCTTACTAGTGTGTGACGTCACACGACTGTTATTAAAACGTCAAACGATACAATGAAATGTCACTTTAACCGGAAGTTTTCTAGCGTGTGACGTCATTTTAGGCTCCGCCAATCCCAAGCGTTTTGGGTCACGTGACAATAGATAAGAAAACTATTATCTTTTCGTGGGTTTTTTAGTAAAATTATGAATATTTTTTTTTGTAAAAATATTAAAAACCCCTGCCAATATTCATTCTACACACAGATGCTAACAATTGGCACTTTATTTTTAATACTGTCAAATACCCTATTCCCCTATGCCTTATGAACCGCCTAAGAACACAGATGTGTGGTCGGTGCATTTTTTTTTTAAATATAATTTTTGACGTCCGGTATTGAGTTGACGCGAAGAAAAAAATTTGCGTAAAAGGAAACCCATTGGTCTCCCTTTTGGAACACGAAGTACATATACTTGCGTTATCTATTTCGATCTGTCTGTGTGTAGATCAGTTTATGCATTATTTCATTTAAGATGATTAGTGTTTGTTAATACTAACGGTATGTGTTTATGTTTAAACAGATTTATATTTATATGTTGTATTTTATAGAAATGGAATGATAGCTTTGTCGAAATCTCCGGCTTAGCCCCGGAGTTGAGTGTTTAAAATGAATTTTGGCATTGAATTTACTGCTGTGACAAAATAATGATTAAATATCTAAAAGATCGTAAATAGATAAATGTTTTGAACTTTTTATAGATTCTATAAATGCTAGTAAATAACTTGAAGATTTTTATAATATATAATGGATGTTCAACATACTTATTTAATATAAAAACAAACCTCTTTTTTTGTCAGTATCCAGTAGCAATCATAATGAGAACAACTTGAAAGTTGAAAAAGCGATTATTTAATTTCTATAATGTACAGGTATTGTGTACTAGTTGGACCATTTTAATAAGTCTGCACTATTGACAATTTCTCATTTGGCAACTCTGTATTTTTTTGTAACGCTAACTAAGCCAAAATGAGACTATTACAATAACATATTATAATTGTATTCATTCGCAATATTGTGGAAGCTGGTCTCGAACTACAACTATACTTAAATTTGACAACAGTGTATCCTTGTCATAATCTATACAGAATGAAAATGAGAGGCTGATGTTAAATTCAGTTTTTTTATAGCTTCGAGTTACAAACAGCATGTTTATAAATGATTGATTGTGTTCTTCCAGTTGTTGACAATTACAGAATAAATACTTATATAAATGGTCTTGCTGTAGTAGTTACATTTCAACGTTGTACAAAACTGATACCTAATATTATTATGTTCTTCCAAGCTTTAAACGTAATTTCTTGGTTGTAAATTTTATTACACATTAAACTTATTGTAATGAATATGCTTTCTTCATTTGTTTTTTTTATTCGCTTATTTATTTATTTATTCTCTATTTTAGTTGTGTGCCTTGAGTTTGACTGTGTTTTTGGTAAGTTTTTTGTTTTTCTTTTTTCAATATAAGTTAATTAGACGCGTAGTCAGCAAAAGTAATATGTTTAGGACCTTCTCAAATCACATGATGGAATTACTTTCTATACTTTTTGTGATAGACTGATTCAATTTGAGATAGTTCTATTATGTACACCCGCAAATTATTGTTGGTGACTACTATGCTTGTTTCATGATATCTTTATATGAATTGGCTTGCTTTATAATTGTGTTTTGAATGGATACAACGGCTGTAAATTAGAAATAAATGACATTACATTCTCGTATAAAATGTCCGTATCATGTCGTGGTATCTGTGCTACAGTTGCAAACTTACCAAATACAATAATTAAACACTGTCGGAGATGCAAACCCCTTGTATCATACATAGAAGATAAAATTGTTTGCACTGTAAGCATCTCCCGTTATAAAAGCGCATTTTATACTGAGACCACCACAGAAACACAAACTTTGAATGCACAAAGCTAAATGGGTATGCTCTTGTATACTAACTATACTGTAAATAAGTTTAAAAATAATGCTTCTTTAATAAAATCGACTGTATAGGCATGAAAACGTTACAGACAGACAGAATAGAATATCTACATTTTAGGGTAATCTTATATAGCTGCCTTGCTTAAGGTCATACCTTAGAGAAGACGAACTCTGTTCTTCCAGTAAAATTTCTAGAGTTCTGTGGTTAGGGAGTTTTCAAACCATAGACGACCTTTGTGGCCGAGTGGTTTGTACGCCGGGTTTCAAGGTGTTACATCCTCGAGATGTCCCGGGTTCGAATCCCAGTGGGGGCAAATTTTTGTGTGATGAATACGAGCATTTGTACTCCAGTCATGGGTTTTTAATATGTATTTCTATTTAAATATATTTATATATGTACCAGTATATGTATTCTATTCGTTACCCTAGCATCCCATAACACAAGCCTACAGTGCTTACTGGGCTAGGCTAATTGGTGTGAGCGTTGGAAATATTTATAAAAACTATTATATAAAAAAAACTTTTAAAAACTATATACATTGGCCTGATTCTGGCGTGATGCTCTTAAAGTACAACTAAATTTGACAACACTATTACCCTTGGTCTATAGAAAATGAAAAGGAGATAATTTACATTAAAATTCCATAGTTGTCTTTTGTTTATAGCAATATTCCATAATTTTCCAGGTGGTAGTTTCCCTCGGCAGTGACGTGCGCATGCGCCGCGCCGAGCTGGAAGCGTTGTCCGTCGCCAGTGGAGCTCATCACGACGTGAGAGCAGTCGATAATCAGTACAGCTTTGTCTAACATCAACCAGTCTACTGTGAAGCCAGGTTTGTCTGCTGCATCGGAGGTACTATTGATGAACCCGTATCCGTGTGATTCAAGGTAAACTTAGGACGATCACGATCAAATATTAGGGATTTTTATTCTAGTAATTTTGATGGTTTTTGCTTTCGGACTCCTTTTTCGGGTGTTTCTCGTTTTCAGTCCACGGGGCAAGTACGACTTTATTCACGTAGATATAAAGACCATCTTCTTTAAACTCGATGGGCTAAAAGTCCGCCGTCGAAAAATTAACTCTGCCTAGCTGAGATTCGTGCGGGTACTCCTAAGTTTATCTTTTTAAGGAGGATTTTCTGCAGGTTTGGTTATTGTTCACTTTGATATACACAGCTGTAATATAATATATTATATATCATACAACTGAAAGTCACACCGTATGCATTAGATGTTTCTTTGCCTTTGCAGTCAATATTTAGTATTTTCATCAAAACTGCAGAAAACAGCAGGACATCTAAGGAAAGAGATTACCGATCCGTTAACACCTCAGTATAAAAATAACCAATGATTTGAATAAATAGCGGGTTTGGATTTCAGAAATCAGCTCCATAGTAGATAAATTAATCATTCTCGACTAATTATGAAATAATGTTGTTAGTTACTTCCATTATTTCTTTTATTTTCTAATTGAAATAGGTAATTGTTGCCTTTGCTATTATTACAGAACATCATAATCAATAGAGTAAATTAAAAATGTTTCTAATTCATTCAGAGTCGATTAAAGGAAGTTTGCTTGGCACCACTAAGGGCGTGGGCTGCCTTAAGCAGGTTCACGGAGCAGACGCCAGCTCCGCGTGCAGTTTTATGTTATTTCATAGAGCAGCGTTGCGTGAAGCGGGCCTCCGGCAGGGTTACCAACCCTACTATGTTAGGGGATTAAATACTATATTTCTGAAAAAAATATATAGTAGGCGAAACTACTATATTTTTCTTAAAGCAAATTTTTGACAGTAAGAGCTTTCTTAAAAATTACTAGAAATTGTTAATATATTATAAGTAAGACAAAGAGCAACAAACATATATTTATTTCAATAATAAAGTAAATATTTGAACAATATACTATATATTTTTATTTTTTTTTTGTTTAACGTAACGCTTCGAAAATACTATATTTGATAGAAAAAATGTTGGTAACCCTTGGTCTCCTGTCACAGCGCTGATCTATGAAATAATATGAAACTACACGCGGAGCGAACGCCCTCTTCGTGCTCCCGCTTAATGCAGCGAACGCCCTAAAACTTAATTTATTTAAATTCCAGTGTAGCAATGTTTGTTTGTGCAATAAGTGTGGTGTGTTATTTATTCTAGATAATAAGTTATTATTTATATTAATTAAGAAAATGCTCTTGAGGCTTAGCCAAATTCGTGTAATTGTAATGATGTATAATGCTATTTCACATATTGGGAAATGTGCTTAGGGTAGGTAGGTAGGTAGATAAATATGTATAATACTTATATTAATATGCAGCAAAGTATTTATTGATTGCCCCGGAAGGGACTTTCTTAGTGTAGATTGAAGTTTAAGGAGTTTTTTTTTCACCAAGTCAAGTTGTGGATCTAGAGTTGAGACATTAAAAAATTTGGTTTATAATCGTTTCATAATGTCGGAAGCTGCCCTTTTTTCGGTAAGTTCTTTTTTTAAACTATAGACAACAGTATAAAATAGAATAAAGGCAGTTAAACGAAACTTAATTGAGTGTTGAGAGAATGTATTACGGAACTGCCAAAATTACCAAACGATTTTCAAGATTATTGGTTGAGTTAAAAATTCAAAATCAATTGCTACTTTGTTGCTTACAACTACACAATACAAGTGTATTTAAGTACCTATAGCCTTTTGTGAGTGATACTTAATGCCTTTTTCTTATCACTGCATATAAGAGCCACACGACACACAGCATTCCTATAAAAGCTAGTAGTTAGGACAAGTTCTCTTCTAAAAGTGTTGCCAACTTAGGGGTTTTCCCAAATTTAGGGGGGAAATACAAATAATTGTCGAAATTGCCTAATGTATCCATATCTATATTTTTTCCCCTTCGAAATAGGACCGGTCGTGTCACTCAAAATTAGAAGATTTCAGCCCCTGTAGCATGGGCACCGCGATTATTTTATTTATTTTTTTGGCACCGCCGTCTATGTTTTAGCTACCATTCTCCGGTTGACTGGGAGAAAATGCCTAAAGGCATTAAGTCCGCCATTAGTTCACATGTTTATATCATGTTTAATTGTTAAATTACTATGGGGTTTAACAGTTATACGCGATAAAAAAATGTGAGATAAAGTTACCTCTGGTGCTCATGCTACGAGGACAGGTGTTTGTACTTTAGCTTTAGGGGTTATATTGGAAGCTTAGCTTATATTGGAAGTTGGTAACACTACATACTAATCCAAGCGTCTACCTATCTGTAATAGATTTCAAACCACCGAAGACAATATCGTACCTCGTCCATAAGAATTATTCAATTTTTGTTCGCCAATAATTTAGTCGAAATATTTGAGTTAGCATACAGGGGCTAGTGTAATTTCAATTTAGTGTATTGTCACCCACTTATCAATGTTAGTACATAGTACAATACTAACCATTACGATTTGCGGTCGGAAGTTAGTAAACTATTATAAAAAGACTCCTTCTATGCTTACTTTTGAATACACAGCAGCTTTAGTTCACTTAGCTGTATTAGTTCGGTTCAAAGTTTTAAATGTATTGCAAAGTTATCCTCGTTATTGGTAATGAGGGTTTTCTGGAATGACTAGTTCTGTTCAAAGTTTTAAATGTATTGCAAAGTTATCCTCGTTATTGCTAATAAGGCTTTTCCGGAATGACTAGTTCGGTTCAGTTTTAAATGTATTGCAAAGATATCCTCGTTATTGCTAATGTTTTCTGGAATGACTAGTTCGGTTCAAAGTTTTAAATGTATTCCAAAGTTATCCTCGTTATTGCTAACGAGGGGTTTTTAGAATGACGGGCGCCAGGTAGCAGCACTGAGTCGGAAGGTCTACTCATCCATCAAATCACGTTTATCGTCACAGTCTATCATCATTAGCCCAATGGACGTCCACTTCTGGGCATAGGCCTCCTCAAGGGATTTCCATAATATATGGAACGATCCTGCGCTCTCCGCATCCAGTGTATCCCCCCAGCTCGCTTAATGTCGTCAGTCCACCTCGTGAGGGGTCTATCGACACTGCGCTTCCTGGTGCGAGATCGCTATTGGAGCACCCTGGGACCCCAACGTTCATCGGTTCGCGAAGCTATGTGCCCCGCCCATTGCCACTTCAGCTTAGCAATCCGTTGAGCTGTCGGTTGGACTAGTTCTTCTACGGATTTCTTCGTTTCTGATTCGATCACGTAGAGAAACACCGAGCATAGCTCTCTCACTCGCTGTGTCACAGTCTATGGATGAATTTAAATTGAAGTTTTTAGCGCGAATATTAATAAATTCGCGCTAAAAACTTCATACCAAAGACCTCATGTCACAGTGGCGTCAACTGGTAACGTAAATTTTCCTAATCACCCTCATTACATGTTGCCTGTTGCGTTGTTATTAGTATTTCTGTGTTTAAAGACTAATGCCTTAAATTGCATACAGTTAACATTTAAACTTCAGAGTGGAGTCTAGTACTGCCGCCAAATTTGATTCGAGTTCTTCAGGGAGAGTTATATGTCGTCCCAGATGGATAATATAATGCTATTCAAGAAGTCGGCGCAGCATGTAGCGGCGCAGCAAACGAAATTTAGATATACGCGGGGTTTAATTAAACTTCGTATAGTTGTGCTCGCTGCTAACCTGATGCCGGGACTGCACTTGGCTATTCGTATTTGCTATTTGTAAACATGACACTAGTCTGTCCTTATCATGCTTTATAAGGAATGAAAAGTTCATACAGTACCCCTAGCACGAACCAATATCAAATTCGAATAGTTTGTGCTGATTTTTAGTTCTCGTTACGTCCGTTATGGCGCTGCTGTTCAAGTTTCCATACAAAATTTGACAATGACATTTCGGACTCACAAACTGTTCGAAGTCATGTTTAATCGCAGCTAACTTCAGGGCCGTAAAATTCAATGGTTAGCATTTAGTATTAATTTAGTAGACATAATTTGTTAGGTAAATTTTAAGCGGAATCGTCCTATACTGCGGAAAGAAAATAGTATAGTAGGTATCACACGAATGATTGCAAAAGACTCATAGCGTCACTAGTATACTCTCATTTGTAGGACAAATACGAGAGTTATATGTTAATATCTTTTGTTTGACGATTTTGCGTCAGATAGGACGATTTCCGAACAGGAACAAACAATAGTATTTGCTGAAACGAAATGTTACTCTTAAGATGGTCCTTCGAGTACTAATAATGAAATAGTGACTTAAATGTAAAACAATGAAAATTATAACTAAAACTAAATGAAAGTGTAATTATGTATGTACTTGTTGTTGGAATTGACGATATTGATAGTTATTGTAATAGTTATATTAAAAATTGCGTAATACAATTCGTTGTTCTAACTGAAATATCTGTCTGGTATATATTAATGTGTAAAATTGTATTTAAACCATGATATGGCATGAATGTCATAAGTTTGTACAAATTTATAATGGCAAAATACATTTTTGTAAAAGAAATCATAAAGGTTAGTTAAGTTCATAATCGATTGGCACTTCTCACAGCTGTAATAATTTTGTTTTTATTATTGGACAAAATAAAAAAAAACGATTTATTTATTGCGCTATCTTACACAAACATGACAATTTATATTACATTAAAAATCTTTCAGAAAAATCAACTTACATGAATCACGTTTAAGCGCTCTTAGCGCCATCTATTGTAAAGAAATCAATTTACATGAACCACATTGAAGCGCACCTAGCGACAACTATTTTAAAAAATGCATTTTCTTCCCAATAAAGCTGCCACTTGGACGTCCTAGATGTTTCGTCCAATATATTGAAAGTCAACAACCTTTCCAATTTTATTGTGTGTCATGATGCGATCAGCCCACGTGTTTAACCTGACGCGAGTTTAACATTTTTTACCCATACAAAAAAGTGTACAACGCCGCTAAAGAAGTTTTCATTTCAAAAATATGTTTAGGGGGGGGGGGGGGCAAACAAGAATATGGCCCGCCTGATAGTAAACGGCACCATAGCCTATACAATAGACGCTTGTGATATCGAAAATATTACTCGCACCGTCGCAACCTAATCCCGTGGAGCCCTGCAACCTTATTCACCGATAGAAAAATAACACCACCATATAAGGTAGTGTTACTTGTTCCTCCATAAAGTAGATGGATGATACTTCCCCGGACGGGCGTTTCAATTCGAGCGGAAAATCCGGTATGCCCCATCTATCTCTCTTAAAATATTTCATACAATTTTGACAGAATGAATTTATTTGGAGGAGCTCGATGGCGCAAGTGGTTAGCGCGTTCGGCTGCGATCGTTGAACTTAAGCGACTTTCGCGGTGGTCGGTCATTGGATGGGTGACCAAAAATTACTATCTCGAGCTCCTCCGTGCTTCGGAAGGCACGTTAAGCCGTTGATCTCGGCTGCATCTGCAGTCGTTAGCACCCACCAATCCGCACTGGGCCCGCGTGGTGGGTCATGGCCCAATCTCCCTATTCCATCCATAGGGAAGGCCTGTGCCCCAGCAGTGGGGACATTAATAGGCTGATGATGATGTATATATTTTCAGTTTGATACAAACAAAACAGTGCAATCAGTGTGGAAGCATCCTAAGATTATGAATAGAATAGTTGTACGCTAATATTATTTCCCATTTGAATATGTATCAGTTTGCATTACATGTACTTATATTGCGTTGGATATTTCGTTTTAGTTAATGGTATTTTTAATGGCTGATTTTTCAATATTCGGATAAAACTTATCTATCAAGTAAATAATTACTAGGTCAAAACAGACTTCAAGTGAAATACCATAAGTTACATGAATGACTAAACAATTTTTATTTAACTAATAAATTATAAACTGTTAAATTATCTGATGGATAAGTTTTATCTTAAGATAGAAAAAATTGTATTATCAAGAAGCAGTCTTAATAAATCGCACTGCGTATGGATGTAACCATAATGTATACAGGAAACATTCCTTGAATAGAAATATATGTATGTAACTTTGAAACTGAAATAAAACATATATTTTGTATGTAACATTCGTTTTATTTATAAATTAAAAAAAATATCAACAATGTCCAATCATCACAACTGATCAATCGTCTAACAATGGTACGATATAAAATTCCGAAAACATTTGTCTTTGATCCTCTTTTTCCAATTTCAGTTGCAGTAGAAGAAGTCCGTTTGCGCTGCATCGTAACACGACCTGGCAAAACACAATCCGACTTAACACAAACCTCGAACCAACTCACATGAAATAGTCTGTATGTATACTATGGCTGTTGTGAAGTTAGCAGCGAGCGTATAACACGTGCCTACTTGCTACGACTTGCGCTAAGGGTGCTTCTACACGGTGTAAGTAGCTGGAGAAAGTAAAGATGCGGGGTTACTCGCGTAGGGTCGCCAGGTCGCAGGCCAGTGGAATTCTTTACCCGCGCAAGTGTTCCCTCCTTCCTATAATCTGGGGTCCTTTAAGAGAGGCGTAAAGAAGCATTTTTGCAGGCCGGCAAGGTGAGGATGATTGGTGTAGCAGTTTATAACTGCTGTACCAGCTATCTTCCAAAGGTATTCCAAAGGTAAAGGTAAAGTACAATATGGTATGGGACCTTTGATTTTTGTTTGATGGTTGCGTAGAATGCCCATCCCTGTGCTAGTATAATGACGAGACTGCTGTTAAATTTACAGAAGGAGCTCGATGACACAATGGTTTGCACGTTTGGTTGCAAACATTGAGGTTAAGCAACTTTCGCAGTGGCCGGTCATTGGATGGGTGACCAAAAATTGACTGTCTTGAGCTCCTCCGTAGTTTGGAAAGCACGTTGAGCCGTTGGTCCCGGCTGCATCTGCAATCGTTAGCACCCACCAATCCGTACACGGCCCGCGTGGTGAGTCATGGACCAATCCTCTACTCTATCCATAGGGACTTAAGGCCTGTGACCCAGCAGTGAGGACATTAAAGGCTGATGATGATGATGTGCTAGCATAATAAATATAATATAATAATCTTTGTTATTTGGTTACCTTGGTGGATATCGCCAGCGCCTTCATGATGAGACGAATGTGGTGCAATTGGTAGCGCAGTGTGACCGGTTCTTCGCAACTAAAAGACTGCACCATGTCTGAAGACTTTGGCACGTCTATACACGAGCGGTCCTTTAATGTTAGAAAATGTCGGTTATTGAAGATTAAGACATTAACGCGTTCGATAGAGGAAGCAATTAAGCAACTTTCCTTGTGGCCAATCAGGGGCCGTTCAAGTATTACGTAAGCACAGTACCCCTATAGTATACCCGGCAGGGGGGTCTTTTCTTTGCTTATTTTTGATGACATGGGGGTGAGAGGGGGCGGGGCAGGGGGGGGGGGGGTAGAGAAAGTGATTACGTCAGCATTATGTGCCATGGACTGAAGACATTTAATTGGAATTAATATGTTTACCAAAAATTCGAAAGAAGTTTGTATTGTTCGTAATAGTACTTAATAATATTTGTACCTTATATACTCTATGTTGAATACTGTGTCAATAAAGTTTGTTTAAGCACGGCTAACTGCATAAAAAACAATTCACACCGTTCGGTCGTCGTTGCGGCGCGGCGGCGCATTCGCGACTCGAACTCGAGTGGTGTAGGTATGACTCGCTTTCCGACCGTTTGTATGAAGATAGAATACTGTATGATATTATTACCGTGTTTCGGGTTCATCCATTTATTACGATAATTAACGCTGATGAGAACTATTTTACTCAAACACTATGGTTCGAGAACAGGAGAAATTTGTTTTGATTATTTTAGAATGATCATGTCTTCATTTGAAGAGCTTTTGAGTTTATTATCTCAACTCAACGACGGTGGCACCACACGGGAGCGCAATGTGGATTGGAAGGTGCTAATGCATGCTTGCAGACGCATCCGGGACCAACAGCTTTAGAACGGAAAGAACTCGAAATGACAAATTTCATCGGTCACTCATCCTGTGAGGGGCCGTTCAAGTATTACGTAAGCAGATTTATTACAATTAATTACGCCCTCCTCCCCCTTGTTAGCAAAATTAAGCAAGACTCTTACCCCCTCCCCCCCATGCTTACGTAAACTTTGGTACCTATATGCATTTTTCCTTCAATGTATTGTTTTTTTTATTGATTCATGAGCTCCATGAGCAGCCGAACTTAAATAGCCTTAGGATGGAGGACTTTAACGCACATAATTTTCATTTAAACGTGCGTTTTGTATTGTAAATATTTGATTGAATTAAGTAGATACCTACATAATTTAGTATGGAAAAGAACAAACGACGACCAATATCGTACAACAGCACAATTGCTGTTTTTGGTTGCTTGAACTCTTCAATAACACACCCAGAAATATCATTTTTTAAATTACCTGAAATATTGGAAAGATGTCTTACCTTTATAGAATATTTTTTATATACCTATCTACTAGTACGTAATTTGTTTCTGATATTTAGATTTACAAATGTAAATGATATAAAAAATATGACAAAAATATATTGAAAAAAAAATGCGAGGAGGTTTGTGTGAGAATTCTAAATCCGCCAGCAAGCCGAGTGATGCTGGCCTGTAGATCTGCCTAACAGTCTACTTCTTACTACCTGCTTACTTTCATTTCATACGTGGCGATGCTGATGGCCTGCGGATATGTCTAATACTACCTAGTACTTATTTGCATTCCATCTTTCGTTCTGAGCCGCAATGCTGTTTTGACCCGTATAACGAACTACTTAGTACTCACTTCCCTACGTCTTACTCTGGTCAATTTTGTTGGGCTGTCTGGGGTCGTAGCAGTATCGCGGTAGCGAGCGAAAGCAAAATCTTGTTCTAAAAGTACTCACTGTTTCAAATTGTAATACTTATGTTAATTTCAATAAAGTATTTTATTATTATATGTAACAATGTTGACGTTAGGATGTTCTGTGGACAATTTGAGCTCTATTACAATCGTAGGAGCGTTTTTAATCCGCCAGCAGGTCGACAAATTTATGTAATTATTATCTACTTACTTGCATTCCGTATGTAACAATGATGAAGTTAGGATGTTCCGGTGACATTTTGAGCTCTATCACGTCGCAGGAGCGTTCTAAATCCGCCAGCAGGCCAACTAATTTATGTAATATTATCTACTTACTTGCATTCTGTATGTAACAATGCTGACGTTAGGATGTTCTGGAGACAATTTGAGCTCTATCACGTCGCAGGAGCGTTCTCAATCCACCAGCAGGCCGAGGAATCTCTCTAATATTAAGACTGTCTATGACCGTTATTGTTGCAGGAATGATGGCCTGCTGAATGTCTATTAGTATCTACTTACTTGGATTCCATAAGTAACAATGCTGACAATAGGACATTCTGGGAACAATTTGAGCTCGATCATGTCGCAGGAACGTCCTAAAGCTGCCAGCAGGCCAAGGAATGCTGGCCTATGGATCTATCCTGTATAACCTAAAGTACTTACTTGCATTCCGTATGTAACAATGCTGACGTTAGGATGTTCTGGAGACAATTTGAGTTCTATCACATCGCAGGAACGTTCCAAATCCGCCAGCAGGCCGAGGAATGCCGGAGCCTTGAGCACCAGTTTGGCCACCTCTTCGGTACCTTCATCCCGCAGTTCTAACACGGAGTCCGCTGTCTGAGTCGATATCTCACAGTCTGTCATCACATTGTGCACTGATTGCGGTTGTAAACTGAAAAGAAAACTGGCTTTTGCCACTGAGATTCGAACCCGGGCCACCTGAGTGGGATGCAAACTTTCCACCACTGAACCACTGGTGCTTATTGAAAAGATCTGAATTTTTAAATAAAATTAAAAATGTAATGACACATGCCAAAGATGTATGTAATAAGTTTAACTTTAAAAATACAATAAAATTATATTATTATTTCAAGCTATAAAATATATCATTATTATTATAAGTGAGGAGCCACTCCATGTGGGTTGTTAGCGCGTTTGGCTGCAATCGTGGAAGTTAAGCAACTTTCGCAGTGGTCGGTCGGTCATTGGATGGTTGACCAAAAATCTTCTATCTCGAGTTCCTCCGTGCTTTGGAAGGCAAGTTAAGCCGTTGGTCGCGGCTACATCCGCAGTCGTTAGCACCCGCTTATCCGTACTGGGCCCGTGTAGTGGGTCATGGCCCAATCTCCCTGTTCCATTCATAGGGAAGGCCTGTGCCTCAGCAGTGGGCGCATTAATAGGCTGGTGATGATTATTATAACTTAATGAATGGATACAAACACTAAAAGTAAAGGTGATCCTTCACCCCTGTAATACATTTTTAGGCTGGATTCTTCCCCTGATCCGAATATATTCAAGCATTCAGCTAAAACAGCAATACTTATCTGAAATTATAAACAAGGAAAAATTTATGTGGGTTCTGTGCAAAGATGTTGCATTACACTATTGAATGTTCAATATGTTTAATAAAATTAAATAATGGGGATCCCAAGTTTTCCATTCATTCAATGTAGTTAAAATTAATTATACAAGAACATTCAATTTTTTCTGTCTTAAAACTTTATATATTATTAGGGATGTGTTATGAATGTATTATTTACATTTATTTATAATATTTAAAATGTATGTATGTATTTCTTCATTTCAACATAGATATGGAAGGAATGCCATGGACAAAACTTTAGAAAACCATGGAGAGGCCTCTACCAAAAGGCAATCGGATTAATACTATGTTAATATAAGTTAGTCTGAATAAAGAATAATTTTATTTATTTGTGTATTTCTTATTTTAGGCAATTTTCAAAAGTAATCTTTAAGTGAAAGAGGCATGTTATGTCTCATTTCTGCAATAAAGTCTGCCACTTATTCATTAACATGGTCCAGACACAACAAATTCTTATTAAATCCAGTTCATTCCACTTTCTCCACCAAGGTTGAATTTGTCTCCAGATTTGTCAGCTATCTCATTGTTTGTGATTAGTTTACCTTTATGTACTACATACCTTGAACATAACGTCCACATTGTCTCTAACATGGTATTCTGTGAAGTTGTCAGAGGGTACGTAAGCAGATGCCTGAACACATTTCCCCTCCTCAACTGTGAGTTTTAGGCCTTCTGGTAGGGCACACAGAACTGCTGACTAAAACAAATAAAAATTATTGGTAAATAGCTTAGCCCGTAAAATGCTTTGTATTTTAACCATTACTAATTATTATTGATAAAATTAACATTTAACATTAAAAAAAACTATTACTAATTAATATTTATAAACAATAACTGATAAAAGTAACACATTATATATACAGTGGATTTCACATCTTACGACCTTGGTTGTAGCTACCATTTACCTATAGCGACATTAAATCTTGAATTTAAAGCAAAGTTAAGTTCAAAAATCATGTGGCTATAGCGACTTTGGATGTAACACTGAGTTTGGGTGTAGCAACTGTTTTTAATGAATCATTTGTAACAAATTCCTAGAAATCCCATGCAGATATTGCCACCAGAGCCACAAAGATTTCTTTCTTTCACAAATGTTTCTTATCTTTTGTTTACATCCACACAGATGGCCAGCAAGTGTGGAGACCTTTCCCTTTTGTTTATATATATCAGCTAAGTAAGTAGGGAAGTACGTTTTGGAGTTAAATTTATGGTTCAGTTACAAAGTGATATTCTGAGTAGCAACTGGATTTAGTAAACTTTTGAATAAGTATGGCTGCAAGATGCACATTCACTGTTAAAATAAAGGCAGAAGGTATTTATAAATGAATATAAACTATACATGTGTACGTCTCTGTGACTTTTTACCTTTGCCTGTAACAACTTCAGGATATAACGACAAAAATTGAGTGGTCCCTTCATCCTCCTTATACCCAAAATTCACTGTGTATATACATATATATATATTATTATTTTTATTTATTAATGGTAAGCCCTTGGTTTTTTGGCTCTCTGTCTGGCTTGAGAACTGAGATGGGATCTACGGTGTAGCGAGCTAAGCCAGGAAATTAAGATAGCTAGCACTAACTTAATTAAAAAAGTTCTCGATTTGATTATTTCAGTGTTTGAAAACTATAATTTTAATATCTAGGGATCTATTAGGGATCTATCACTGCAAGACTGTATTTCACATATAATTATGTGAAAATGAGTGACATTCCTCACAGAATTAGTAAAGATTTTTATACTGACGAAGTTTTTATTATGTATGTATTATAAAACAGAAATATGCAGAACATAGCATTTATAAATAGGAAAAAAAAGTTATAATTTACCTCCTGGAATTGTATAGCCTTCAGCAAACTACAGAGTGTTTTACCAGAGTCCATAGAAGCAGTAAAATAATAATCAGAGACAGCGTCATCCATTTTTCTCTTCCAAATCAAACATAGATTTTACTAACATTAAATACTGGTCTTGAGTAACCTCATGAGAAACAGTTCTACCCAAAATCTTTGCAAGACGTGCTGCTAAATAATGTTTACAACAGACTTCACTTTTTTTCTCCAAAACTTGGTGTTTAAAAGCTTGGCAAGGACAATAGTTGACCTTCGAAAATACTCTGTAACAATGGTTGTTTTCACCCTTGACTTCAATTAAAGTTCTTGTCTTTTTTGAAGTAGTATATTCTACCAGTGAAGGATGCTTCTCTAGTATGTCAAAGGCTCTCTGTAAGACTGTGCCAAAAACTGAATACAGTGATGCTAAGTCTTCATCTGAAACTGGTATTATAATTTCTTGTTATAAGTACCCATAAGCAAAATTCCATCTGGCAAGATCAATTACGCACTTGATGTTATTGTTAATAGAAGTATGTTATCGACCTTCCCGAATACTGTTTCTATTTAGAAATTCTAGAGGTTATGAATAATAAACAAAATTAATTGCTTTAAACAGAAAGTACATTACAATTATTTGTTTCACGACTTTCCAAATAATTTAATAGATGCCCCGCAAGTTCAGGTACCCGCGAAATATTCTCAATATTCATTTTTGTTTAAAACTACCATTTAGAAAAACTTATCAAACCGCGAAAATAATTGTTTGTTTTGTAGTAATTGTCAAGTTGTTTTTTTTTTAAGATTCTCCCTTTTCAAGGAGCGCAAAGGGACCAATGCCCATACAGTCTAATCTTAAGTATTAATTTTTATGTAAATAAAATTAATAATCTTTTTTTTATTTTGTATATTAGAAAGTCGGTGTGACGCATTATAATGTTTCTTGGAATGTTTGGCTCGAAATGTATCGAGTGGGTTTTTTCGATAAGCTTCTGTGGTAGTCAACACTACAATAAAGATCTCACATTCGTCCGTCCACAATTTATTAAACACTCGGGTGGTTTTCCAATTACAGAGCATAATGCGACTCAGTGGCGCACAATGACGAATTATGCTGATGCTTAATTGGAACGTGAATTAGTTTTCAAATCCACCAGCAGAGTGCGCTAAGTTCAGTGTTGAAAAAAAAAGTCAATGTTTGTACCTTCATCCATATTTATATTTAATTTTGACGTGACAACGTCTTAAATTAGGTTGCGGCTGGGAGTCACTTATGAAAAAGTGTAACGCTCGGTAACGTTACGATGAGTCTCTCGTGTTAAGTTTAAGTTTACATGTACAATGTTTTAGTAAACAAAATATATTTCTATAGTTAAAATTTGTGCAATTCTTATTTTCATTCAATTCCTTGTTCCTATTGTGCAATTTAATTATATTCATATCAATAAATATTCTACCGAGAAAAAGACGTTGTCACGTAAAATCTTCGCCCGTAAAACCGACTTTACAGGCAACCATTTTTTTTAACACAATTTGAATAGGGAAGATGCAATATTTTTATTTTTGTTTTCATTTTAAAGAATTCCATGTAGAATAAACCACAGATATATTAAAAAATTAAAACATTGTGATTTATCGGAAAAAATGCGGTTTTAAATTGACAATTTAAATTTTCGCGCGAAAATGAACCTATGGTTGCGATGACGTCACTCCTGTCAGTCACTGGTCGTAATTGTTCGTTGCTGGCTTTAAAATTTCATACTTTTGCATATTTTTTCGACTTTCGAAATATTTTTTTGAAAAATTTAAAATCTACTATCCATCAACATCATGACATCATGTGATCATAACAATACTACTAATATTCCGAAAAAAAGCCGTGTTGACTCATGTTTTGTGCCAATCTACTTCAACAAAGTTCCCAAATAAATTGTTTTTGACTGGAACTTCTGACCCAAAACTGAAAAAAAAGTGGTTTCAAGCTGCGAAGAGAAATGACAATTATTCTCCAAAGACCATTATTCGATGCTGAGAAGATCACTTTGACGTATGTCGGCGAATATACTTGTTATATGCTTAATTAATCTGCTTGTACGTAAAAACGCATTAGTAACCTACCTAATACTTACAAAACCTGTCTATAACATATTTTTAATTTTACAGTTGGAGAATGACGTCGAAAATTAGATAAAATAAAATGTGTAGCACAATCTTCACATTGGCAGGACTGAACCAAGCTTTGCGTTTCATTTAAAATAACTGTAACACGATAACCTTCTTTACGTACTTTATGCTCCGGAGAACTCGACCTTTTACTGTACATAATTTTCCATCTCTTTTAATTTGGACATAGCCGATTGCATTATCGCCGTAAGATTTGTAGAAGCCGCTGAATAAAATACGAAGTTTAACAACTACGATTTTTACATACCGTAGTAATTTAGTCCCTTTCATTTCTACACTTAAAAACTCTGCACTTTGGACAAAAAAAGTTATAACCATGTCAACGCTAACTCTTGGTAAATTCCTGGAGTCTGCTTTGATAAACGCAACTTCCATTTTTATTAAATGTAAAAAAACTCAATAAATATTCCCATAAAATAATATTAACTTTAACAACCATAACCTCAAAGAAGTTGTCATAACAGGAGTGACGCTGATTGGTGTTTTAATATACGTTCCGTTTCAAGTATTTTTAATTCATAATAATTGTTAAAAAACAACATTATGTAAAATAAAAACGTAGCAGTGGCATTTCTTTTATATTTTTTTAACATTTTAATCATAAAATTTTCATAAATATTATATATGCATCTTCCCTATTAACTTCGATTATTTAAAAAAAAACTATAATGAAACGAAAGTTTTAATAATTTTTCAACAATAAATAATATAACTAACGATAACATATAAATAAAACATTTCGATCAATGCCAACTTAAAGGTGAAACACTCAACATTATGCCGCATAATGCGCTATAATGCGGTAATTGGAAAGCTACCTCGATGAATTCTCGCCAAAAACCCCTGTCATTTCGACTCGATATATTTCGTGCCAAACACTCCAAAAAAAGAATGGTGTCAATACTGGCATGATTCTCTAAAGCTAAACTTAAATTTGACAACAGTGTATCCTTGTCATTCATTGTCTTTACCGAATGAAAGGAGAGACTGATGTTTTTAGTTTTAGGTTTAGAGAATCACGCCAGAATCGACACCACTGTGATGTGACACAGTGGTGTCAATTCTGGCGTGATTCATCCACATTCTGTTTTCAGACCACATTCTGTTAAATAAAAAAAAACCAGAAAACTCCTGAAGACTACACTATATGGGCATTGTTCCCTTTGCCTTCCCTAAAAAGGAGAACGTTAAAAAATGACAATGACATTAGGGAAATCGTGAATTGTATTTGCAGCTGAATTTTATTCAAATTGTAGAAATGTTATAATTAATTCAGTATTCAACATTTTAAATATGGGTCATTATTGTTAATTTACTAAGCAATATATATAATTCGATATAATTGCCTTTAAAATTCAGGTTTGTATTTTAATTATTTATAGATACATGCCAATGCTTGGTGATGGGATATTGCTATATCAGTTGTATTTATAAACATTTTAGGTGTATTGGATGGAAGCAATGCCTGAACATCTGGAACTTCAACACCTCGTGGACTTATCAGCTGGCAGTGGTGATGAAACAATACCGAATCTATTGGAAAACAAGAGGCCCCTTATAAAAAGATGTCCTTATCTGGGTCTGATACTGGCTACCCTGTCGTCTTTGTTTTTCTCTTTATGCTCAGTTATCGTGAAGAGCCTCGTTAATATCGATCCAATGCAACTAGCCATGTTTCGTTTCATAGGGGTACTTTTGCCTACAATACCAATTGTTATTTATACAGAACAACCTATTTTTCCGCCGGGAAAGCGATTATTGCTTATTCTGCGATCCATTGTGGGGACAGTGGGACTAATGTTAAGTTTTTATGCCTTCCGGAATATGCCACTCGCTGATGCATCAGTGATTGTGTTTTCAGTGCCTGTTTTTGTAGCACTGTTTGCAAGAGTCTTTTTAAAAGAGCCTTGTGGTATATGGAATACAATTTCGATAATATTGACTCTAATTGGTGTAATATTGATAACGCATCCACCATTCCTCTTTGGTAGTGATTTGTCTGTAGAGCACAATCAAAACTTTAACAGTTTGAGAGGTGCTGTTGCTGCCTTTATTTCTACAATATTTGGAGCAAATGCTTATGTTTTGTTGAGAGTGCTAAAAGGGTTGCATTTTTCTGTAATCATGACCAACTTTGGTGCTATTGCCATATTGCAAACTTTTTTTTATTCCTTTGTCTTTGGAGTCTTGTGCATGCCTAATTGTGGCACTGAAAGGTTTTTGGTTGTTTGTTTGGCTTTGTTCAGTTATCTGGGACAGATTCTGTTGACCATGTCCTTGCAAATGGAACAGGCTGGCCCAGTGGCTATTGCGAGATCAGCCGACATTGTATTTGCATTCCTTTGGCAGGTGATGTTTTTCAATGAAATACCCAGCAAGTTTTCCATATGTGGAGCGATTTTGGTGTTGAGTTCAGTAATGCTTGTTGGTCTGAGAAAGTGGGCTTTAGCCTTACCTGCTGACTCACAGTTAAGAAGTAAATTAGGTGTTTTGGCACAATAATGTATTGAAACATGTTAATTAGATCTCACATGTTTTGCTTAGTTTATATGAAGGTAAAGATACTGTAAGTATTACCTTGTTTGAAATCATGTTTTACAAAAGAGAGTTACTTAATATTATGTTTTAGATTGCACTTAATGTTGCTTGTTAATTTATTGGTTATTTAAGGCTCTTTCCTAGGTATTACCATATATGAAGTAGGTGTAACCAAATACAATAATGACATAGTGTAATGAATATTTAAGTAAGTATAACTTTTACCCTCGAAGACTGTTATATAAGTCCATTTAAACTTGTGTTGTGTACCTTGCCTGTGATGTTATGAGCAAATGTCCTTTTTGAGTTTGAAATATACTATTTGTTCATCAATTTTAGTTTTTTCTATTTATTGTTAAAAGGATCATTATGACAAACTTTAGTCTTAGACATATATATATTATGTTGTTATGTATATTCACTTGAGATATAGATTGGAGTTAATTTGTATATAATTGGCAAAATAATTTTATTAATTTTATTGTGTACTTAGAAGCAAATTTTTATGTAATTAGGATTCATCAGACTCACATATCATTAACTTTTATTTTAAGTTTGCAACTTTATTTCATAGATATCTTTACTTATTAGTATGTTACCAAATTGATTGCCATTAAAATGTTTATAGTTAACTAGGCAATGGTTATGCAGTAATGAAAATATTTCTTATATTTACACAAGCTGCTTTTAATAGTTTTAAGATAACAAAAAACATAATTCATCTTCATATTCACCATAAGATGCTTTGTTTCTCACTTTGTAAATACATACTTATGAATTGTGATATTTTTACCTCTAGTCCTGTCTGAATTTTATTTAGTGCTTAAAATAAATTATGTTAAAAGATCCATATTTTTATTATTAAATTATAATATTAATTAGCCCAACATCACATGAAACTTGAAGGGATAGTTTAGTTAAAAGTTTTTTATGTATTTAGATGTTTACCAGTTGAGTAGGAATTTTTCTAACAATAAAATCCTTACATTATCCCGTGTTCGAATGGGATTTCATTTATGAAAACTCCATTGTCACTTGTCAACCCAAACTCGAAAGCAGATGTTTTGGTGGCTACATGTACAGGATTTGCGTATATGGATGGAGGACACCACGCAGTGCTTGGTGCGAGTTTGGTGCTGCAGAGGACTCAGCGCAAAATACCCTAGAGTTCCGCATGGGAGTCGCAACGCCGCACCGCCGCAGCTGTCATCGGAGGGGATTTCTCACTGCTCAATATGATAAAAGCGGGTCTGCGAGGCTGACGATCGGAGATTTGACTGCCTCCTCCCGCTGTAATCGAACCCAGCGGGCATAAGTCAAGTCATGCTTACATTCCACGCCCTCGATTCTTTGGGGTCGATTCTTAGATTGACTTAGGTCTCTTGTGCAGTGGCCTGGCGTAGCTGAGCTTGCCAGGACGTGGTTGATTTTAATAATGAACCCACGCTGCTTTGAATATTCGTTGTTTATCCAGCAGGGATCTAATATTCCGGTGGTTTGGTGGATGGTGCCCTCTCATTCCAAACAGTCATGAAGCCAGGCCCTGGGGTTGGCTGGGTGGGTAGGCCGAATGTGGGAGAGAAGCTAATTCACAGCAACGCCTTGCCCAGTGGTGGGGAGGGCAAAACGCATTACACTCTCAAAAAAAGGACGATATGGCCCACTTGCAGCAAAATTACTAAATCTCGATTCAACTAAATTTAACTTTTATCCATAGAATACTGTCAAAACGTCAATATCAATTTAATATTCTTTCATGTGCTATATCTAGTTTTAGTTAAATTGAGACTTAACAGCACAATTGCTGCAAGTAGACCTGAATATTAAGTTTATTACACAACAACAGTACATGCGGCCGTTCTGATTATTAGTTACGAAAAATATTGGCGTCGATTCTGACATGATTCTCTAAACCTAAACTTTTACAAGACGTGAACAGAAAAGGAGGGGATGATGTTAAATTAGTTTTAAGTTTAGAGAATCATGCCAAAATCGACACCACTGTTAATTAAACTTTTTAACAGAATACATCGAACGAAATCTTAGGTCAATCCATCGAAATTGTAATAATCTTTATCTGTGGCTAAAAGGGTGGCAAACAGTTAATCGCGAGGAATTACCCGTTCTGCGCGGAATAGAACTAACTACAAGGAATACAGGTGGAATATCCACTGCAATCGGAAATTGCTTTTAAGTCCAGTTATTTTCAAACCCAATCTGTGGAAAAATTCCTAGTGAGCTGAATTTTCATTACAAAACGTCCAAGTATCAGATAATAGATTTTAAGACACATAGCAACATAAATAAAAATCAATAGAGTTTACGTCTTTGTGGTACGGTATACAATACCGTATATGAGTGCATTCTAGTCACTTTGTCACCGCTCTATTCCAAAAATTAATTTGGTTAATTTAACAGAAAAATGCGAGACTGAGGCGAATTGATTTTAATTTTAAGATTAAACAATGAAGCCTAATGTTTTCTTTTTAATTTTTGAATTAATATAGATGCCTACCTATGTGTAGTTCCTATTACAGAATACGAATTCCACATATACTATGAAATATTTAAGGATATACTGTACTTCCAGGGCCCAAAAGTAAAAACTTCACAGTTTTGTTGGTTGTAATTTCGCATTTTGTTGTTAAAAAGGTTTCTGTTAACCACATTATTAAAAAAAATGTCACACTTATGCACTGGTAGTTTTTTGGAAAAAAATATTGAAAATTTTTACTTTTCTTATCAAGTGGTGATACTTCACACTAGGTTAGTTAGGTTAGGTTAGTGTTGTGACCATAACGCGCGAGCCGAGCGAGCAAAGCGAGCGTGCCGCGGCAGCGGCCGGCGAAGCGCCAGAAAAAAACACTGTTAAAAAGACCTTTTCTACAAAAAAAAACAAGTATCACCTTTTGGGCCCTGGAAGTACAGTTTTACCCAGCTGTGCTTTTCGCACAATGATGCGTATTTCCTAAGGAAAAATGTATAAACATGCCATTTTTTTAAAGTTAACTAATAGTGGCAACAGAGAATTCGGCGAATTTTTCATAGATAGGCAAGCAACACGGAATGTGACATTGACAAGATGCTGGTTTGGTTGGTTGACTGACGTTGACATGTGATTGATAACGAATCTTGCGTGCCGTTTCAGAGTAGGTACCTAGTTTACAATTTGTTTTCTTTGATTTTATCAAAAATTGTATACAACTGATAATAAACCACAATGGCAGACCGCCTTACACAGCTGCAGGATACAATTAACCAGGTATGTGACAATCTTATCTTTAGGTTTAATTAGAAATGAATAGAACAAGTTAAAAGCTCATACTAATATCAAAATAATTTGTTAACAGCAAGCCGAGCACTTCTGCAATAGCATTGGTATATTGCAGCAATTTTCAACGCCTAGCAAATTCCCTGGCTTTGACCGTAGTGGCTCACAAACGCCGCAGCAGCAACAAAACCAAGAAGATTATGCTATGCTGTTTGCGACTTTGATATCCAGATGTGCTAAGGATATAGACACTCTTATTGAATCACTGCCCAGTGAAGAAAGCTCTGCTGAGTTACAAGTGCAAAGTTTGAGGCGTTTAGAGGCTGAGAACAAGGAAGCTGCTGAACAACTTGAAGAGGTATGTTGAGAACCTTATGTAATTCTTTGAAATAATTGTATTTGAGAGAGTTGTAGTCGTAACAAGTTAATTTCACAGTTTATTTTTTATAGAAATAACAATACAATCATGATTTAAAACAACATATTGATGAATACCACAAAAAATTATAATAACTTCTGAAGGCAAAATGCTTCACATATTGGTACTTTACATCTACTCATTCACTTCGCTTGAAAAGTTTCCAAAATATACTAAAACAAACATAAGCCATGTATCATACACAGTAATTAGATTTTATTGATTTTCTTCAATACTTTACTAACTCCACAAGGAAAATAGTGTATTTCTTTGGATGTATGTATGAAAAATAATATAAATAATTTTTGTTCTAGGTTGTTCGCCAAGGTGAGATTTTGTTAGAGAAAATACAGGGAGCTCTCAGTGATATTGCACAATGCCAGCTGGACATGCAAAATCCTTTACTTATACTGAACAAAGATGTGAAACCACAGTTATAGGATTTGAGAAAACACGGTGGCTACCACCATAGGTGATTTCTGTAACAAAAGAATTGCAATTGGTGGTTTTGAGCACCATTAAAATTTATCTTGAGTTTATTGATAATAATTCTGTTCTGAACTATTTTTTTGAACATGTGATAAGTATTTGTGGTAATTATTAGCATTTCAATTTACATAAAGTAATAAAAATATTACGTAAATGAGGAATTGTAAACAACAGAAATGTTAGTCATGATTATCTAAACCTAAACTTAAATTTGGCAACAGTGTATCATTGTCATTCTTTATATAGCATGAAAAAGAGAGACAGATGTTAAATTTAGTTTTAAGTTTAAAAATCATGCCAGAATGAACACCATTTTATTGCTATATATAAACTAAAGTGACCGTGTATTTTTTATTAGATCAGCGATTATTTCGGTCATCATCACTATCTTTTAAAAGAAGCATAAAGAAGATATTCTATATTCAAACAGTTTTCAATTAAAAGTGTACAAATTACGATAATAATTCAATATCTGATTATTATGGTCAAATATTGAAGCAATACTCTTTATCTTGAATTTTTTGGTAAAAATTATTGTCACATTAGGCAATGCACCTACCTGCTGCATATTTCAACACAACTGTTATCAAAACATTAGACAATTCAATAAGTTTAAGGTCTAAAACATGAATGGTTTTGTAATAAGTATTAAGTTATCTATTTACATATGAGTCGAGATGAATAAACATATAGATAGAGTAATCATATAGTTTTCCATTAGTAGTTTGGTCTAGTTTCATTGCATTTTGTATTAAAATTGTTTAAATGTGTAGTTTATATAAAATAGATCTGTATTATGGAAAATTATATATAAGTTTACCTACATTTGGAGCACATTATTAATGTATGTAATTTATTTACCTTTCTGGAAAATATCAAAAAAATCTTTAAAACAGCCTATTATCCAGCTGTCAAAGTGAAGTAAATCTTGTTAGTAAATATTTGTTTCGATTTTTATTTATATTATAATATTACATATATTTTTTATAACTTCCTAACAGTAGTAATTAATATAAAAATGTCTTAGTTAATTTTTAAGCACTGGCGACACTGGAAAGCGCAAATGCACTAAAAAAGTTTATTTCTCATAGGAATTGCACAAAAATGCATTATTCACAATTTATTCTCAAGTATCGAGAATGTAGGTACAAGAAATCTATGGCAGTGTTGATTTTCGTGTCCATATTAATGCTTTCGATCTAGATCTAGTAGAACAGAACTACTTTTAATTAAGCAGCCAAATAGCCTATTTATTCTATAATTTGTTTCCTACAACAGATAACACGAATAGAGGTGATGACGGGGTACAGTAAACGAAATTCTATTGAGTCCTTTTGTTAGATGATCAAAACATAATGGACACGTATTTTTTCTTTGGGCAATCAACCAAAAAAATGTCAAAGTTATAGCGCGTCAAAGTTTGGTAGTAGGGGCTCGTGACCTCACTTTTAAGTGAAAATTGTACCAAAACGTGACGTCATGCGACTTTTCAAATCAATATATCTGCAATGTTTATATTATGTGAAAAAAGAAAAAATATGTGTCCAATACTTTTTAATAATCTAAAACGATGCGTCCTGCTTACAAGTAAATCTTGAATACAGTAATCTCGTAACGTAAAATCTCGATCGCATTTTGATGTCATTGCAATGTAGATAATAATAAAAAAAAATCAATTGGGTCAATTAGTAGCTAAGTTAATAGTTTTGTAACGACTTAGGCATACTTGATCTACTTACTTGTTAATCTAAATATTCAAAGGGGTTTTATAAACCGTAATTACTTCCTCTATATATCTCATTATTTAGAGGACTTTTATAAAATATAAACTAGATTCCGCCCATGACTACGTAAAAAAGTTTAAAGCATGCGAAAACTTAATAAAAATATGTAAGTATGAAAAGGGTAAAGTCGTTCTCAAGTTATGGCCGTTAAGGAAAAAATGGGATTCACTTTTTTAACCGTTTAGCCATATTAAGTATTTTTTATCGAAGTGTTTCTGGGATCCAGGGCCAAATTTAGATAAATGGAGGCCCTGGGGTAACGAAGGGCTTATGCGGTATTTACGCTACCTAATTTTAAGGGACCCTTACCCTGACTTAAGGATGGTGTAATGTGAGTAAGGGACCCGATCTAGGGCGATCGGTGCCGTGTAATAATTGCTTACCCTAGCTAGGGGCCACACCCACCCTTTCGATTGGGTCCTTTAATTTGGGTAGTATAAGTCCCGTTTTACGATTCGCAACCCCTCCGGCTGGAGACCCGTCGAAATTAGGTTACTAATTTATTCTGTCGTCCTTAAAACTAAAGTGCGGCTAAGTGACATGTGGTTGATTTTTCGGTCTTAAATTGCATCTTATACAGTTTTTAATTCTCTATCGATCTGTCTTTAACAAGTATTCGTATCTTTTATAGTTTAAGTCTAAAAATCGGTCATGTGATGAATGGTTACAAAATAGCAATAATTTAAAGTTTACGCGCCGTTTTTTGGTCATAGCTAAAAAGTTGGTTTTGTCAAATAGCCGCGTTTTAGCTTGAAGACGGCAGTATTGTCCGCTTTTCCTGTGGAGGCCTCGTGGCCAAAGCCCTGCCTGCCCTGCCTCAAATCCGGCCCTGCTGGAATCTGAGCAATGCATGCACCTTCACCCGTTGTGCACTGCATTCTACGATGCGCTTGGTCCATCCGCAATAGCCGGCGATCGCCGCTCGAAAACCTTCACGCGAATACACCGCGCTACCTCTCGCTGCAACCGGCTCTCCAGTTGATAACCGACTGCTTTGCTCTGCACACGTAACGCCCGACGCGTTCAATACGGCATCGCAACGTAAGAAATTCAGTGAAATATTTGAAATTTCGAACATTTGTGTTCTTTTTAAAGTAAACTTAAATTAGCGCGGGAAATGTTCATCGTCTTGTTTTTTTTTAATTGTGAATGCGACGAAGGACCTCGCTAATCAACGAAAAAGTTCTTAGACACTCGTTTGTGTTTCAAAGACAGGTTTAAAGTGTTTTGTTTTTTTGTTTGGAAGGGATTTTCAAATTTCAAACTAGATTGGATGTGAAAAGTGGAAACTGCCCGGAAGAACGGGTTGACTCTCCCTTGCCGCTTCCGCGACAGGTATGTTTACGTGTTACAGGTGTTGGTGAAATTGTTTGCATTCTGTCTAACTACAAATAACAAGTTGATTTGATGTTGCGATTTTCAGTAGGCACTTGTTCAAGACTTGTTATGCAAAATCTAACGAGAGAGTTATAAAAAAAATGCATTTGCCTCTCTATTATTCTAGATAATTTCCGTTTATATACTGTAAGAATAACATTGTAGTTCTTACAATGTTAATATTTGTCTAAGATCAAACAGAACATTAGTAAAAAAAAAGTCTTAAAAAAAGTATCATCTGAAATATTTTTTGGGTAAAGGTTTTTCATCACTTTTTCATTATTTAATCGTAATTTTACCTAGCAGATTTTTGGTATCAAAGCTAAACACTTTATATTTTTAATTCGAGAAAAAAAACAGTTTATTTTGAATGTTACATATCAGTAAATATTTCACATGCGTCGTTTTCATCACATTCAATAAGTTAATATATTACGTGGTACCAATTATTCGCTTCTAGCTGATGCTGATGTTTTATAGAAAGTAGCTGAGTATGCAAAACGAAAATACATATTAAATCAGTTTTTGGCGGCATGATTAATGATCATACCTACTACATAAGTACCTATCTACTTATCTACATTTCATTAGGTAGGGAGCGTTTCAATTTCAATATTTATTAATTAAAAGTATAAAATCAAGTACTTAGTAATATTAAAAAAAACGGGACTTATTTTTAATTAACCATTTGGTAGCCACCGACCTAGACGCCCTAGAATAATTTGATTCTATACAACACTTACATAAAAGTTATATTTTTATTTTTGTAAGCAGTTAACTGCTTTATGTTTAACATAATGGTAAAATGGTCAATGCATTTACCCGGATAGCGAAAGGTGGGGGTTTGAGTCCCGTCTGCTGCCTGGTCTGTGAGGAATTTTTTGTAGTAAAATTTATTTAGAATTATGTATATCAAAGAAGGTATATGCATAACGTGATGATCTTCCAAAAGTAAATATTAAAAGCTCGAGGCCGACTCCGCTTGAGAACTCTTCTGAATAGCAGAATACACTATGAATGTATTTTTAGTTCCGCGATCAAGTGTCATTTTCGCTAAATTAAGTTATACCACATTTCTCAGAATTAAATTGGTAAGTAAGAGGATGAAAATGTTCAGTAGGCATGTATAATAAACCGAGAAAGTATATTTGAACAGGTAAATAAATAATACGGTTGCGTTGTGGCCATATATACATAAATTCAAGCAACATTCATTGCGAGGTTGACACAGCACCAAAGGATCAATCAAAGAAAAATTATAGCGGATTTTTCGCCGATAAGAGTGAAAAGGTAACAGAACACAGAAAGAGGTTAGAAGTGTTATCATAGATGGTTTATACGCAACCGATGTCGCCGGCTCGACCCCAATACACTTCCAGCCAATAGATAATAGCGAATCAAACGAAGCGACATCAAACAATCGAACCAATCAGCGCGCACACCCTAGAGCAATGACGCAATCAAAACCAAGTTTTGGTCAAGTTATGAGTATTTGCTCAAACATAATTGTGGCGCGCCTGCCCCGCCCACAAGGTGCTTCTAACCTCTTTCTGTGTTCAGTGGGTAGGGCATAGCGGATTTCCTGCTCGAATTGGTGCGCCCCCCTCTGGGGAAGTAACATAACAAACATATCACAAAAATATCGCCCAATCCCGACCAAGGGCGGATCCAGCTTTGGCGCCAGGGGGGGGTCATATAGTCGTGGTATATTAAATATTGAAAGTACTTAAATAAAATCCCCCTGGGTTTGGTCCATCTGTACCCAGCCCAGGTGGGGGTCATGACCCCCATGACCCCCCCCCCCCCCCCTGGATCCACCCTTGATCCCGACAGAAACAGTACACCTCCAAAAGGTATAATCCACCTTATAGAAGATCACAGTAATAGAATCTGTGCGGAAAGAGAATGGGCGTGGCGAAAAACGGAACTAACATTAAGATTTTTATTTGGCAATCAAACCCAGCAATCTGTAAAACGTCGAAGTTTTGTATTGACACGGATTTGTTTGTTGTTGTGATTTCTTCCGGTTTTTTTGTATTTAATCATGTCTAAAAGGGATAAAACCTTACGAATACGGTAGAAAAGCACTACAGCGCCCTCCAATCTAAATCCCATTCTCTTTCCGCACAGACTCTACCTGTAATCTTGTGATCTTCTATAATCCACCTTACACAAGACAATATATACCTTATAGACACAGTAAAGTAACACCTTTTGGAGCTGTACCGTTTCTGTTGGTAG